CGGCGTACACCAGCTCCGGAAAGATTGTGTACGGTCGGACGTGAGGTGCACCAGGCTGCACATGCGCAGCCGATGGCGAAAACACGGCGCAGCAGTTCGGTCGGTCAATTGGTCGGTCGGGAGCAAGAGAAGGCCGGGTGGCGTGCCTGCCGCCTACCCGAAGCGCGGGAAAGGGGCCTGAAGAGTTCGTCCGGCTCGACGAATGGAAAACTGATGTCCTCCTCGCACCGCTCCAAGACGCCGAGACGTTCCCAGCGCAGCGCCCTGTATCCGTCCCGCTCGATATACCGTACGCCCTTCTGCGCATGGCACCCCTCTGTGCCAGCGCTCCCACTCCTGCCTCGGTATTGAAGTGCGTGGCCCCGCTCTCGACGGACCATCCAGAAAAAAATCAAGGCTCACCTTGCTTGAGTCATTCGAGCGAGCACACGTCCTCCGCATCTCACATATCATGTGGTCCACTTCTGACCTGCGGGGTTCAGAGTACAGCTGAATCCACATCAGCTGAGGATGCGGAGAGAGAGCGCGCGCGACAGGACCGTGGGGGAATTCATTGGCCCGTCCACACGCGCTCCCCCCCTCCCTGGCGGCATGGAGCACCGACCCCCTCACCCATCCCCAACACTTCGTCGTCAGATAGGTCACCCAGGATGTGCACAGGCCATATGATGACCCTACCCATCCGTCGGCATATACGTGCGGTATGCCTGACGCCGTGGGTGATTTAGACTAGGCCAGCCCGGGCCTGGCAACACGAGCCCATGCCGCCCGCTCGAAGAAACGAGCTCAAAGCAATCCGCCCCGATGTCGAAACCATGAAGGCGAACGTAGGTCGACAACATGCGCTTAGACCGAGCGCTAATTAGAAGAGCGTACGGTGCTGACCGGCTCCGTTGCGCTATCGATGATGGTGAGCGAGGGCATCGAGCGAAATACGAAAGAAATCCATCGAGCGCGCTGGGCTCTTCGCCGACTTTGAGCGGATATCGCCGGCCGGTCAGTCGACTGGAATTCGAAATTTGGCAGGCCAACCCAGCCTGGGCCGGCCTCGCGCCGCTCGCCATTCCTTATCGTCCAACCCTTTCTTCGCCCTAGCGTCCTGGCTGGGCTGGCTTCATCCTCCCTGGCATCGCTGAGTCCATCCCGCTCGAATCGATATCGCACCGCATCGCATCGCAACGTCGACGCCGGTCCTCCATCGACAAGCGGGGCTTTCTGCACTCGATCCCAATTGCGCCACCGCTAATTTAAGGCGTCCTCCCATACAGATGTCGATCCATGACATGGCCCTGCCTGTCTGGGCGTTCATGTATGGATCGATGGATCGTCGCTCAAACGACGACCGGAACGCACCCCTCGATGGAAAGGCCAAGCAACAGATCGATGGAGGCCAGGCCGGATATCGGTACGCAGGATGGCGCTGCGGTCCATGCTCGATGGCGGGCGGAGTAGCGCGCGTGCACGTTGCACCGTACGCCCAGAGCGACCAGAGCGACCCGGGCGCAGGCGTGACCGAGGGAACGAGACCAAGCCCGTCACCGTATCCTCCTTGCAACCTGCACAGCCCCTCGTCCCGCTGTCATGGCAGGAGCGAGGTGGGTCGCGACTGCCTCTGCCTCGTTCGGCGGTCCGGTATTCCTTGGCGGGAGGAGCGTTACGGCCGAGGCTTCGTGGCAGCGGAGGATGAAGCCCTTTCCTCCTTGCTTGGTTCCTCGCTCTTCCCCCACGCGTCCAGACGAAGGGCGGCCGGTTGGTTGGTGGTGTGACTGCTGCTGCGAAGAGCATGGCCTGGCACGCCCCGGTCCGGAGCTTCCGGCCGCGATCATGCTGGCATCCGCGCTAGGGCCACTCGAGCCCATCGCGCCCCTCATCCCATCCAGAAAAGTCCTTCGAGAGACCCTTGACTCTGCATCCTTGACCGATTGAGTCTATCGACACGCTACTGCGGGCTCGAACCCGATCGATGGAGCGGCAGCATGGTGCGCCGCGGCGCGCTCGCTGTACCACCAAGCAGCTTGGCGGTCGAGCCACCCGGCACACCGGCGACAGCGGCGCCGTCCGCCATGTACGACCTCGTCATGTTCAGCGGGAGCCATGTGCGCAGGCAGGTGGGCCACATACACTAGCGGGAACGAGTGGAGAGGGTCCGTCGAACAACGATGATCCGCATCGGCGCTAGTTGGAATCGATTGCATTCGAAGGGACGCACGCATCCCGCTCAGCCGAGCCTCTCCATCTATCGTCTCGTGCTTGCTTGTCGTCGAGGGACGACGCCGGCGCTGCTCTGACCGGACCGGGGCGCTACTCGCATGCACAATGAGCGAGCCAAGGATCCTTCCATCCTGTTTGCCTCGGACTCTCGGACACGGGACCGCTGAGCGTCGTCGTCGCCGACGGAGATGGTGCTGCGGCAGGTGCTCTGCGGGCACAGTGGGCGGGATGTGCTTCCATCGGTACTGACAAACAAAGGGCACACAGGGGACCGACTGAGACTTCTGAGCACGATTGCATTCCTCCCTGCGAGTCGGCCGACTGCGGACACCGGATTCCGCTCTGAGCTCAGCTCGACGCGCCATTCCCACTCCAGTCTGGCAAAACGAGAATGACCGACGATATCGACCGGACATGGAATTGCACGAGGACTCGACAGCGGAGATGGCACGGATGAGACAGCGACCCCGGATCGATCAACTGGCGACCGCGACGGTGCAGAGGCACTTGGAGCCTGCCGAGGAGCCCTCATCCACATGACGCCCTTCCAACACTTTATCGGCCGCAGTTGATTGCCCTCGACTACGGCCAGGTGGGAGCCGTTTCTGTAGCTGGGCAGACAGATTGTGGGGCCACAGAAGTGAGTCCGCTTGAATTGAGACGGCACTCCAAAGGAAGCTGTCGATCGAAGTGCCTCTGTCAGTGGCCCGTCACGCGAGCAAGTCGTGGTGCGAGGCTGCCATCTCGTGTAGTCGATGGCGGTCGACGTTCCTGAGAAAGAGATGGATGGATGCAGACGAGCCAGCCACGTTGGTCGGTGTGCCGGCAGTGCCGCTTGCGTGCGACGACCAGAGAGGGTCACATGTTGGAGTTTACTCGTCCCCCGCTCGTTCGACGACCGCCATTTTCCCTGCAATATCGAAGGCCACTTTTCAGCCCCAACCGAAGTGGGCGGGACAGACGAGATCCAGACGTGGGGCTTGTCTCTTGGCGAGGAGAGAAAAGTGAGATCGAGCATCCTTTTCTCGGCTCCCGAGCGGATGACGGCGTGGGCAACAACGACAGCGGTCGGCAAAGATTGGCATGTGAGAGGACAAGGCTCGTCGAACACCTGCCATCGTGTGGTACGTATGTACATACAGCGGTCCCTCGAGGCGATCAGGCCTCAAGCAGCGACCAAAAGGACGGCGACGGCAGACGACGACGACGACGACGACGACGGCCGACTGAACCCACGGGTCCAGCCACGGGGGGTGTCCTCGGACCTCTCTGTTTCCCATCCTGGTCCCGTCCATCGTGACGAGGTCGTCTGTCCTTCGTCGCCCATCTCCGCCCCGTCTGTACCGCACAGCGGCACGACATCGTAGCGCGGGTTCCTGTGCCTCTCGTCTGGCGGATCGGAGGGTCAAACAACACCATACGGTACCTGTATTACGACTATGCAAGCGCCTGCAGGCAGGCAGGCAGGCAGGCAGGCGGACAGGGAGGTACATAGGTCGGACCGCGCGCTGCTCTACCCTGTGCCTCGTCCCGCGCGCCAGCTTGACGAGGGAAGCCGACTCCGCGCGCTCGGGATAGGGGCACCCGCCCGTCCGGAGGCATCGGAAAGCCGCTCAACCATCGTGTGATGGTGATGGATCAGGACGGACGTACGCACGTACAACGATCTGGCGTCGTCCTCGGCTCGTCGATCCTGGAATCAGCTGAGATGCTCGTCATCCATCCGACCGCGCCTCCTATCTTTCTGCCCAGACAAAGAAGTCCTCGCTCTCGAGACGTATCAGATACTGCGATCCCCACGGGCTGCCGCCTTTGACCCTCTTCCTCGGGCTCGTCTAGCGAAAAGCATCCGCCTCGGCGGCGATAGCTCAGACCAAACATCTCTTGCTCCCTCCCGTTCCGGGTTGGCTCGCGATGCTGAGCCGAAAGCCAGCTCTGGAGCTGAGGACCAGGGGGACCGACTAACGACCACCTGACCGCCAGCTCTCGCGCCAACCTCAAGATCCAATCCGCTGGAAGCGATCAAATGGAGGTGATTCAGCAATGCAGATGTGTGTGTGCGTGTGTGGCAGACAAAGCACGAAGGCAGGCAGGCAGGCAGGCAGGCAGGCACGCGCCGTCTACCTACCTTTGTCGACCCCGCATTGGCCTCGTCAGTTCACATCGGCATCCACAGCGCGTGCGTGATACAGACACAGACGGTCGAGCATGTGCGTAGGGACGCTCATCACTGCCAGCTACGGTATGTACAGTACGTACACCCAGAGCTTACTCCATCCTCGAGCCTGCCGAGCAAATGGGAGCTCCTTTTACCCCACAAAAAAGCCTTCGTTCATGAACGTGGATTGGGGCTCCCCCTTTCCCCGCAAAGAAGCATCGAGCCAGCTAGTGAGACTGAGACACGACTTGACCGTCCATCGGCCCACCCTTCGAATCACGATGATGGAACACCCCCCTGGTCCCTCGGATCGGAGGAGCGAGCAAGTCGTGTACCGCTCTTCGGTCCCGCTGTCCTCCCCGATGGAAGAGGGACCCGATGGAGCGGTACCGGGTCGCTGCCCGTCGAGCATCCAGCAGCTCCAGGCGCACGCAACTTACACGACTGAGTCGAGATCATTTGGTTGATTGCCATTCCCGGCTGAGCAGGCATGCGTGCTACGAGGCAACGGAGAAGAAAGGAAAGCGGTCGGTGATGTGATTTGGGGTTAGGGAAAAGGAGAGGAGACGTAGGCAGGCGGCAGAACGACGCGCGCTGACCGAGGATCTCTACGAGGACCGGGCCGACGTGCTCAGAACTTGAGCGGCTCGAACTGGTATCCGCCGGCCTGGTAGAACTTGCTGCCGAACTCGACCCACACCAGTCGGATCGAGTGCAGCATCGAACTGAGTCCCTCCATGCCGCAGAGGATGCCGATCGAAAGGATGAACCAGAGGCCAAAGGCGAGCACGGTGGCAACGACGCCCACCACGCCCGTCATGCCAAAGACGTTCTGGATCGTCATGGTCCAAAGCACCTCGGACAGCTGGGCGTGGGCCAGGCTGAGGGCCCACAGACGCAGGTACGAGGCCGTGTTGGAGATGCAGCCCAGGCAGAACTCGATGGTGTGGATCACCTGGTGGATGACGACCTCGCCCAGCTCGAAGCCGTGCTCCTCCTCCATCTCGCCGCTCTCGCCGCCGCCGCCGTGGCCGGGGGCGCTGTGGCTGTTGGAGCGCGAGTTCTGGACGAGGCCGGTCGACTCGTCACCGTCCTCTTCGTCGTCGTCATCGTCGCCGCCGTCGAGGCCAAGGCCGCGGGAGCCGTCGCCCTGGCCAATGGCACGGTAGCCGCGCGCCTTGGTCTGGTTGTGCTCCTTCCACTCGAGGTAAGGCGTGGCGATCAGCATCCAGGGCACGCAGACAAACGCGACGAGCAGCAGGACCGTCTGAACAAAGGCCTGGCCTGGGTACAGGGCCGTCTTGGGGTCGACGTCGCCGGGCTTGAGGAACATGTAGATGAGCATGTTGAGCAGGCCGGGCGGGTTGTTGCGGAAGACGGTGCCGCTGGCGTCGGTCTCGTACCAGTCGATGCTCCACTTGTAGACGATGCAGAAGACGAGGTAGCCAAACAGCGACTGCATGAAGAGCATCTGCGGGATAAACTCGGCCCAGATCTTGCGCCTCTGGCCAAACTGGATGTAGTTGGGGACGTTGAGGCAGATGCCGAGCGTCATGTGGGCGACGCCGAGGATGACCGACATCTTCATCTTGAGCGAGTTGGTAAAGACGAGGGCGTTGTCGGCGCCGTGCCACGCCGGGTCGATGCCGATGGGGTAGGTGTGGCCGTTGGAGACGGCCTCGACGGTGCCGTTCTTGTGGGGCCAGTCCCAGCCCGAGTGGAAGAGGTGCATGCTCTTGCTGGCCACGTCGTTGTACATGAGGCCGGTGAACATCGAAAACGTGCCCATCATGAGCATCATGTAGCGGCCGTAGAAGAACATCTGGAGGATCTCGTCGTCGACCTTGGCCAGCTTGCGCTCAAAGGCAATCATGCCGAGCGCCGCCGACGTCATCAGGAAGGCGTGGAAGAGGTCGCCAAACATGACGGCGAAGAGGAAGGGGAGGATGATGAAGTTGAAGAGTCCCGGGTTGACCTCCTTGTACTTTGCGATGCCGTAGCTGTCGCTGACGCCCTGGAGCGCCTCAGTGTACTTGTTGGTGCGGTGGAAGGTGGGCGGGTCCTTGTGCGTCTTGAGCTCCTGGAGCACGGGGGCGGCGCTGGTCCCGGCGTTTTCCGTGGCGCGGCGGAGGGCGAGCTGGATGGATCCGAGGTCGCTCGTGGGGCACCAGCCCTCGGCGACGAGCGTCTTGCGGCGGTTGTCAAAGAGGAACTTGTTCATGGTCGAGTAGGTGAGCTTCTCCTTGCGCGCGATGTCGGCCCAGGCGCTGAGGACCTCGGCGATCTTGACGAGCTCGGTGCGGCGGGTGGCGCTGGTGCTGTAGAGGACGTTGTTGAGGTCCTCGATGCGGCTGAGGACCTCGCGCAGGCTGTCCTCGCGCTTGTCGGCGTTGCTGTCGATGGGGTAGAGGGTGCCGCCCATGCTCTCGCTGATCTTGCGGATCTTGGCGAGCAGCTCGGCGCCGTGGGCAAAGATGATGAAGACGTTCTTGCGGACGGGCTCGTCCTTGGTGGGGTCGTCGAACGCCTCGTCAATCTCGGCATAGTTCATGTAGAGGTTGCCGCGCAGCACGCGCCAGAGGATGCGCTCGAAGGTGGCCATCCTGCTGCGCTCGATGGTGCCGGCGACAAACTCGAGGTCGAAGGTGCCGTAGCCGCCGCCGCCGCCCTCGTCGCCGCGCTGGACATTGAAGGCGCGCGACTCGACGTCGTCGAGGAGGGGGGCGTTGGCGTCGTCGGTGCTGGCGCGGACCTGCTCCTGCCTGCCCTCTGCCTGGTCAAAGAAGACGGCGGTCTCGCGAAGGACGTGCTTTGCCTCCTCGAGCTCCTGGAGGCGCTTCTGGAGCGTCTCGTAGGACCCGTTCATCTGTCCGAGGCGCTCCTCGTGGTCGCGCAGCTTGACGGCGAGCTCGTCGAGCATCTGCGGGCCGCGGGAGCCGTTGAGGCCGCCAGAGCCAAAGTTGACAAAGGGGAGGGCGCTCTCGAGGGGCCTGACGGGAACGCTCTCCTTTTCCATCTGGGCGTAGAGGAAGCGGATTCGGCGCTCCATTTCGTCCACGCGGCGGATGTCGGTGACAAAGGAGCGCTGGAAGGGGGAGACGTCCGGGTTTAGGTCCTTGAACTGGACGTTGCCGAGCTCTCCGAGCTCCTGCACGGTTGCGTGGGCGGTCTCGGTGGGGATGTAGAGCTGGATGAGCGACATGGTCGCCGACCGGAGTGGACTCTCTTCCTGCGCCATGATGGGCAACGACGACACAGGGGGAGGGGGAGCCGAGCTGGCTCGATCCCAAAGCTGTGTGTGTGTGTGTGCGAGGGGTGAAGAGGATAGTGGAAGGAATACACACGCCAGAGAGGGGCGGCAGAGGTGTTTGTGTGTTGATGACGAGGGGGTGGTGGCGGTGGTGGAGATGCGAATCTGAATGCGACGACGACGGTGCGTGGGGCTGGCTGGCTGGCTGGCTTGGCTGCGCTTGCCCCCTGACGGCCGGCTGGCAAATGGTCGACGAGGCCAGACGAGGCCAGGCCAGGCCAGGCCAGGCTGAGGGCGGTTCCGAGGCCAGCGCACGGACTTTTTGCCTTGGCTGACTTGGGTTGGCCGGCCGTGTTGCTCCACACCAGCTTGGCGCGAATCGCGGGCGCCGGCCAAAGACTCTGATGGACCCGAGGCCAGCAGGCCGTACGCGGCCATCCGTGCCTGGACCCTTTCCGATGACCCTTTGACTGCAACCACCACCCGTCACCACCGTCACCAACAGCTCGCGTGCAAGTCTGACGTCTACAGCTCAGCCGAAGGTCGCATACCATCGTCCATACGGCTCTGTTCAGCGTCGCTTCGCCGATTCCCTCGTCCTGACCACGGGCAAGGCGGTGGTTTCTCGGGTTGATGGCACCGCTCGCAACGACCAACATGCCGTCTCCGCGCTCAGCCTCGACCTCGACCGCGACAACATCGCCATCACGGCCCTCCAGAACGACTCGTAGAAGCCCAAGGAGACGGGGTCGCCTCTTGCCGGCCCTTCTGGCATCGGCAGCCCTCGTCCCGACAGGTTCCCATGCGCTCTTCGGCTTCGGCGACAAGCGCTTCAAGTACGAGGGCCTCATCAATGCCGGCTCCCTCGGCCTCGACCGCTTGACCGGACAGGTGGTCGCATGGGGCGACTGGAACGGCGACCAGTTCCTCGACGCCATCACCCTCGATTCAGATCGCAGGTCCATAGCCGTCCACCAGTGGAACCACAAGACCTTCAGCTTCGAACCAAAGGCGGCCGCCACCCTCTCGCTGCCTCCCGGTATCGCAGCGACCAACATCGTAGCGGCCGACCTCAACTACGACGGCAGGCTAGACCTCCTCGTCATGTCTCAGTCGGCCACCGCCTCCTCTTCCGACGAGCTCAACATGTCCGTCTACCTCGGCACTACCGATGGCTCGGGCTTCGAGCAGCAGCCGATCCCGGCCCCACCGTCGACCCTGGCGCAGCCGCTCTCAATCGACGCAGCGGGCGACATGCAGATGGATCTCCTCGGGCATCCCTCGTCGAGAATGGGCGCAGCGCCCGGCTCCGATGGCTCGTCTCTCAAGCTGTGGAGGAACTTGCTGGCCGAGTCGAATCGCACCAGCACCGACGCCTTTGACATTGTCGATGCACCGTTCCTCACGCCCAACGGACCTGCCCCCGCCTGCAAGCTGTCCAATCCGCACAGCTCCGCCTATGTCGATCTCAACGGCGACTGCCTAGCCGATCTCTTCCTCGTCTGCGGCACGCCCGACCAGCTCACCTACCAGATCTGGACCGCGACAAAGCCAGAGACCAAGCACGGCGAATCTGGCTTCACGTTGGCCACGAGTGGGAGCCTGCCACCGGGCACAGGCGCCCTCAGCTTTGCCGACATGGACCGCGATGGCACGATTGATGTCATCTTTCCCACCTGCGACTCGCGCGGCGACAACTGCTTCATTAACGTCGCTTATAACCGTCAGGTTCCACTCTGCTCGATCAAGAGCGACGGCTTGTTCGGATCTGGGCCCGGCTCAAATGCGGCAGCAAAGAGACGCAGCATCAGCGACGAGGCGACTGCGGAAGGTCTGCAAAGGCGCGCCCTACCTCTGACCTGCCGGGACCCACAGGACCTGTGCACGGCCGACGACAAGTTCCGCTTCGACTTCTCCATCCGCGATGATAATTCGGTAGGTGGCGCTGCGGCTTTGGCGCCGTTGTCATGGCAGACTGTTGTGCACTCTGCTCCCGATAGATCCTGACTTCTCGGGCCAACTTCGCACCGCTCCTCACAGGATCTACTTCGGGTCCCGCTGCAGAGTCTCACTGGCGACGCCCGATATCTGGCCGCAGATTCCCTGGCGCCATCGGGATCGGCTGTGCCCACCGCACTCCAGCTCGGCGACTTCAATAAAGACGGACACCCGGACATTGCGCTCGTGACGGTGCCTGCGAAGCGAAGCGGAGGTGGATCAAACGATGCGAAGGGTCTAGGAGAGACGCGAGTCCACCTCCTGCAGAACGAGGCCTGCAGCGAGATCGACGCCTCTGACCGATCGAAGCTCGGCTGCAGGGCGGGCGGTGGGCAGGGAGACGGGCGGACGTTCATCAAGGTTCAGGACGGAGCGGAAGTCCTGGGTGGGTTCAACGACGTGCGGACCGTCAGCTGGATCGACGTCGACGAGGATGTGAGTGGCAGCTTGGCGCGCGTGGGGTATGCATTTGTCTTGTGGTCGAGGCGGCTGAACCGCCAGGCCCTTTTCGCATGTGCCGGTCCATCTGCAGGGTACGCTGGATCTGATGCTGCAGCGCAAGCCTGCAAACGGCGACGGCAAGGACGGCAGCCGCCGCGTCACCTTCATCCAGAACAACTACTTTTACGACGCCTTCTTCCTCAAGTCGCTCAGTGAGTCTTGAGCGAGGCGAGGCGCCGCGTCCGCTGGCGACGGTGAGAACGGATCCTGACCTCTTGGAACTCTCATTGTGCAGCGCTCAACGGGGCTTGCCAGAGCTTTTGCGAGCCTGAAGGCCAGCCTCGTTTCAGGGTGAGTGCACGCCGAAACGCTGCGTGCTACTGCGGCCGGATGCTGACCTTTCGTCTCCTCCGACTTTCTCTACTCTGCTGACCCGGCAGCCATGGGGAACCAACTACGGAGGTGCATCGTACAAGTTCACCGTGCTGGATCCAAACGGCATCCGTCGAGCGCAGCAGGGTGAGCTGGACTGCCGAGCAGCTTCGACGAGACGAATGCAAGCATTGCAGCTGACCCTCGAACCTCTCTACTCGTCGCTGCGCGCGTTCCGCAGTCGGACAGCTGCCACAGACATCGTACCGCTCGCTGCTGACGCCCTACAGCTACTTTGGGCTGGGGCGAACGAACAACTACGTGGAGTCTCTCTTCATCGGGTCGACGCGGCGGCAAAAGGAGCACTACCTCGCCGTCGAGGGCATCATACCAAATAGCCAGGTCGTCATCAACCCGTGGCAGGGCGGCGATCCGACGACGGCCGACCGCGGCGATCCGGGCATGTGGACCAAGCAGCTCTACCTCTCGCCCGGCGACTGGATCCCGTGGGTCACCGTCGTGCTCATCACCACGATCATTGGGCTCGCCGTCATTGTCGTCGTGCTGCATCTCAACGAAAGGGTGAGTGCTCGCTGAATTTGCCAGGATCCAGCTGATCGCAGATGCCCATGCTGACCAACCATCCCCTACCCTGCTCTTGTCGTGCGCCGCCTTGGCCGGCCGTCGCAGAGGGAAGATGAGCGGGAGAGGAAGCGTGCGGTGCACGCCATCAACTTTGACGCCCTCTGACCCGCCGTTGCAGCTCCTTGCTTGCTGCCACGTTGCTCGCACGTCGCATAGCCTGTCTTTGAATACCCGCCATCATCTGTCGAGCCTGCAACCTTCCGCCCGCACAATCGAGACCGCCTGCTTGCTATCGCTGCTGATCCGTGCAGTCGCTCGAGGTTCAAGGACCAAAGAACGACTCTAGCTAGATGTAGAGCCTTGTTCGGGCCTGCGAGGGTCGAAATGCTCTGCCTGTCGACGTAGAAGAAGTTTGAGGGCGAGGTGGACATGGACGAGCTCCGACCCGAGGCTCTACGCGACGCGTGCCGGAGAAACGAGCGTGACCGACACCCGGCCTGGCCTCGACTCTGATTCCAAAGCAACTTTGGAATCCGCGCCGAGTCCAACACTTCGCTTCACCTCACTTCACCTCCCCTCACCACACCACACCACGACTGGCTGACAAACACCAGGATGCAGGCACCATCAACATCACCACCACCGTTAGGCACGACGACGGAGGGAAAGACGCTCTTCCTCGCCTATCCTTCTTCGCTCGTCGTCGCACCCACCTCAACCGATACCACGATGACGACGACGACGACGACGACAACGACAGCGGCAACGACGACAGCGACAAGACGATTCCTGACTCTGCCTCACCCGCGAAGCCACGTTCCAGTCTATTTCCTTCCCTGTCCTGAAGCAATCTACGAGCAGACGACGATCGGAGGCGAGGAAAAGAACGCACGGAGCTGGTTCATCTCCTCCTCCGGCGGCGGCGGCGGTGGCGGCGTGGTAGAGGACGCGGGGATATCGAATCAGATCCACACCCCCTCGACCCTCACGCTCCTCACGCCCTTATCGCCCCTCTTCCTCGTGCTTTCCATCCTCTCCATCCTCCCCAACGGCCCTGATGGAGAGGGGAGGTTCCTACCCTACGACGATATCTGGGATCAAGCCGCCCTCGTCTTCTACCGCAGGAGAAGGGAAAAGTTCGCAGCGTACCTCGACTCCGCCCGAAAACGGGCCGGAAGCAACGCTACTGGCGGCGGTGGTACCGGTCAAGTTCAGGGGGAGGAGGATGGTGGTGAAGAGTCGTGGGAGGATATCGTCTCGTTCGGTGCGCATCCCCTCGTTCAGAGGACCGTCGAGAGGTGCTGTCAGGTTCAATGTGAGTCCTGTCCCCTCCTCTCTTCTCTTCGTCTCCCTTTGTCTGGCCCTCTCGGATGTTCAGGCTCTGACTCGTTGATCCCACGCGCAACAGCCATGCCGGACGGTCCGACGACCTACCGACTCTGCAAGTCCAAGGCCTACGCCCTCCTGGACGACAAGCTCACCCGCCTCGCGAGCCCCGACACCTTTGCGCGCGCACCAAACACCCTCTCCAGGTCGTTTGATCGGCGGTACCAGGGTGCGCCTGGCACTGAGGCGTCGGAAGAGGCACAGGTGTTGCGCCGCCAGATCGCGGCCGAGACCATCATGGGCTACCTTTCGCCCGACGTGGCGAGCGAATGGTCGGCATGTTCAGAGGTGCTCAATGCGGGCGCAGAGGCGAAAGACGAGGCGCGGTAGAGCGCCCCCCTGGCCTCGCCGGTTTAAGCTTTGAATGGGGCAAGACCCAACGGACGGCAAGAGATGTGGCTAGGGTGTATATTCACTGCTGGCAAGCGCCGATCGAACGAAGCAGCAAAGACAAGCGACACCTCCACGATACAGTTGCTCGATGACATGGAGGCAGGCTTGCCAGGTGCGACTGCGAGCCGCTCCGCCATCCTCGTCGTCACCAGCGCTGCCGGCCGACCGAGCAGATTAGCGCTGGAGGTGGTCCGAGGCAATGTTGGCGGCGATCTCGGCCTCGGCGCGGTCGCCGTTGGCGAGGAGCTTCTCCTTGTTGTACAGCAGCTCCTCGCGCGTCTCGGTCGAGTACTCGGTGTTCTGCGTCTCGACAATGGCGTCGACGGGGCACGCCTCCTGGCAGAATCCGCAGTAGATGCACTTTGTCATATCGATGTCTGTAGCGGCGGGCGAGGGTGGAGGAAAAGACGGCGGGTCAGCCTCAGCGCATGGCGGAGCCTTGGGGAAAGGGGGTGGGCGGGGTTAGAGCCTGGCCGGAGTGCTCACCGTATCTCGTCGTTCGCCTGGCGCCGTCCTCGCGAGGCTCGCTCTCGATAGTGATGGCCTGGGCGGGGCAGATGGCCTCGCAGAGCTTGCAGGCGATGCAGCGCTCCTCTCCGGTCGGGTAGCGGCGGAGGGCGTGCTCGCCGCGGAAGCGCGGGCTGAGCGGGCCCTTCTCAAAGGGGTACATGATGGTGTATGGCGGTCGGAAAAAGTTCTCGAGGGTGATCCACATGCCTGCGAGAGAGTAATAGCGTCAAGGGAAGCGGGTGTGAGGGTCAGCCGGACGATGCTACGCTGCTTCGCCACCCAACTTGTTGCCGGCAATGCAGGGGAGGCGGCAACGCACCTCGAAGAATCTCGGTGAAGAAGAAGAGCTGGCTGGCCTTGTCGAGCGCAGAGGGACCCTTGGAGTAGTCCGGGTAGGCTGGTGTGTTTTCCGCCAGCTTGTAGGCGGACTGGGCGTTCATGGTGGCGGTCTCGATGGGGTTGGGCGAGGCGGAAGGCCCTGATGGGATCTGGGTGGGGCCAGTCTGCGGCGTCGCGAGGCGGCGAGCTGCTGTTGTGGAGAGCAGCCGGATCGACTGGGCGGTAGCGTATGGCGAGAGGCCGGCGGTGGCGGTGGTGGCGACGCGGCCCGAGACGAGCGCGGTGCGGAAGAGGGGCGAAGCCATGGTGGCGAGCGCGGGTGGCGAAGTGTGCACGGAAAGGGGGACGAGAAAAAACGGCGAGTCGTGGGTGTTGAGGAAGGAAGAACGAGACGCCTCTGGGTCAGAAGGGCGGAGTAAAAAGACGGTCAAGGGCGGTGGCGATCAGCGAGGAGGCGAGGGTGGCGAAGTGATGGTGATGGCGAGCGAAGGTTTGACTGCGGGTCCAGCGCGGGCCTAGGCAGGCCTGACTGCAACCTGGTCGCATCCGCCCCGCCCCGCGGCTTGGGTGGACCAGCCGGTCAGCGGGCCAGCCAACCAGCCAGCCAGCCAGCCAGCCAGCGAGGCGGGCCTCTGTTGGAAATTGGAGATTCTTCGGAAGCGCGCCTCGACGAGCAGCGGCCCGCCAGCCAAGGCCAGACCTGACCCTGGCTGGCTCTGGACACCGGCGAGCAGCGAGGCCAATCAAATTGGCCCAGATTGGTCAGGCGATCACCGGGGCCGGATTACAAAACGCACGCACCCACCGCCCCTCTCGAGCGACCGCTCATTTACGCGCGAGAAGAGTGAGCTCACCCCAGCCCGCCCGCCTCTGAGGTCAGCCCCCCCGCCCCGCCGTCATCCGTCGAAGCGGCCGAGGCCGCCGCCGCCGCTCATCCTTCCAAGTGCACTTGCTGATCGCCATCACTCGCGCCACACCTACATCCGCGCTCCCCTCCGCAGTCAACCACGACACTCGCTCACACTCACATTCACACACGCACATCGCCATGGCCGCCCTCCGAACATCAGCACGCACCCTTCTGCGCGCCGCGCCGTCGCTGGCCACCGCGGCCGCCTCGGGCTCGTCGCGCATCGCCGCACCTACCGCTGTCCGATGCCTCTCGACGAGCTCGGCCCGCGCCTCGGACGCTCTGTTCGTCCACCGCGACACCGACTACAACAACCCGGACATCCCCTTTGAGTTCAACGCCGAGAACCTGAAGATGGCAAAGGAGATCATCGGCTACTACCCGCCCCAGTACAAGAAGGCCGCCGTCATCCCGCTCCTCGACCTCGGACAGAGGCAAAATTCCGGCTGGACCAGCATCAGCGTCATGAACTACGTCGCAAAGCTACTCGAGATGCCTCCGATGCGCGTCTACGAGGTCGCCACCTTCTACACCATGTTCAACCGGTGCGTGTTACCCGGCAGCAGCCAGCCCTTGAGCTTGGCCAGCGGAAGCTGCTCTCCTCCCGCTGGCTCTGGACCTCTAAGCAAGGCAGACAGACGAGTGCTGATTTCCATGTTCTTCCCCTGCTCTCCTCGCCTTCCTCTTCCCTCCCATTCCTCGATCACCTCTACCAGCGAGCCGGTGGGCAAGCACTTCCTGCAGCTGTGCACGACGACGCCGTGCATGCTCGGCGGGTGCGGCAGCACAAAGATCCTGCACGCCATCCAGGACCACCTCAAGATCAAGCCGGGCCAGACGACCGACGACAAGAAGTTCACCCTCGTCGAGGTCGAGTGCCTCGGCGCGTGCGCCAACGCCCCCATGGTCCAGATCAACGACGACTACTACGAGGACCTGACGCCCGAGACTATGGTCAACATCCTCGACAAGCTCGCAAAGGGCGAAAAGGTCAAGCCTGGCCCGCAGAGCGCCCGTCACTCGTCCGAGGCTGCTGCCGGTAGGACCGCATTGACCTCCGAGGTGAGCAGAGCGGTGCACCCTAGGCTTTCGCTGCGAAGGGAGGGGAATGTCGAAACTGACATGCCCCCTTTGACCTCTTCTTTCCCTGCGTTCGCCTTCGCGCTGCTGCAATTTGCCAGCCCTACGGTCCTGGCCAGCACTGCGTTCCGGAGTTTGCCTGAGCATAGACAGCGTCGCCTGCAGCGGACGTCGCTCCCTCGCACCGCATCGGTAATGCAACAACCAATACCTGCCCCAGACCCGACTGCCTCGCTTTCGATCATACGGTGCTATGGCAGGAATCGTTCTTCGACGCCCAGATTCGCACACACGCGGGACACACGCGGAGGGCGGATCTGGGATACGCTGTTTCACGGGGCTTGGTCGACGCCAGCCGCTTCTAAGCTACTCTCTCCGTCTCTGCTCGCATCGGCTCCGACCTGATGCGGACGGCCTCACTTGCCAACGACCATCAACGAGGCCAGGCTGGCCTCAGTGTTGACAACGTCGAGGGCCTGCTGGACCTCGAGCCTCTTTCGCGCGGCGCTGAGCCAGTCGGCGGCGAGCGTCTTTGGCCAGCCCTTGAGCTGGTTGAGCTGGCGCGCGGCGCTGTCGAGGTCCTTGCGGTCGAGGTGGTACTCGACGCGCGCCAGCACGCTGGGCACGTCGTCGCCCTCGACCAGGCCCTTTTTGTGGAAGAGGAGCGGGCTGAGCGTCGCGCTGGCAATGTGCGACAGCAGGCCCGCCGTCTCTGGCGCGGGGACGAGCGAGACGCCGCGGATCTTGGGGCCCACCTTGTCGGTGAACCACTGTCGCAGCGTCACAAACGACTCGACACCGGTATCCGCCGCGCCGCTCGCGTCGAGCACCTCGAGCGCGGCCGAGATGACGGCGTCGTCGCGCGCCTTTGTCGTGTTCTTGAGCACGCGCAGCTGGTCGGCAAACGGCTGCTTGGTCGTCTCGTCGTCGATGGCCGACCGCACCGCGCGCACCGCCGTCCAGAGCGTGTGCACGTTGACGTTCTCGTCGAGCTGGTTGCTGTTGTCGAGCGTCACCTTTTCCAGGTCCTTGAGGTCGGTGGCCAGCTCGTCGAGCTTGGCCAGCCGTCCGCCCCGCTCCTCCTCGACCTTGGCGCGGATCTCCCTCATCCACCGGCGCTGCAGCTCGATACCCTGCGCGATCACCTCCTCCTTGAGCCTCTCGTTGATGATCTTGGACTGCGTCGCCAGCTCGGCGTTGAGCTTCTCCTTGAACTCCTCCATCTGCTTGGTGCGCTCCGCCTCGAAATTCTTCTGCCAGTCGGCCTCGCGGCTCGACAGCTTGTTGGCCGCCTCCTCGGCCTGCTGCGAGATCTGCGTCTCGTACCGCTTCGCCTGCGACGCCAGGCTCGTCTCGACCCGCTTGGCCTCCTCGCGCTTGATCGTCTCGAGCCGCTTGCTCAGCTGCTCGAGGTCAATCTGCGCGCTCTCGAGCACGCCCTTGGCCTTGGCGCCCGACGAGGGTGTCTCCTTGAGGAAGACGGTGAGCTCGTCGATGGTGTCGGCCAGCTGCGCAATCATCGGCTCGGAGCCCGACAGGCTCTTGATCGAGGGGGCGAGCAGCGGCAGCTTGGGCGCCTCCGGGTCGGGACGCAGGCGGGCCTGCGACTCGGTGGGCGCCTGCAGGCCGCGGTCCTTGCGAGGCGCGACGTAGCCCACCGGCGGCTCGTGGTTGACGGGCAGCTCGCCCGTGTAGGGCGCCTTGACCTCGCCGCCGGGCGTGGTGGGCGCACGGCTCTTGGAGGGCGAGGCCTTGTTGTTGGCGCCGATGTCGGTCATGATCTGGACGCTGTCGAACGCCTTCTTGAGGACCCCGCGGTCGTCGCCGGCGGTGGTCGCGCTGCTGCCGGCGCCCTTGGCGCTGACCTCGCCTCGCAGCTTGGCCTCGGCCTTGTCTGCGGCGGCCTTGGCCTTCTCGACGAGGTGCGCGGCATTGTCCTGGACGGTGCGGACGGCCGACTCGGCCTCCTTCTTGGCCGCGTCGCCGGCGTCCTGGACCTTGCTGGCCGCCTTGCTGGCCTCGGCCCTGGCGCGCTCCCTGGCCTCGGCGAGCTGGGCGCGGGCGTCCCTCTCACCGGCCATGGGCGCCTCGTTGCCGCTGGCCACCCGGCCGACGGCCTCGCTGACGCTCGAGTAGGCGTTCTTGGTCAGGCCGATGGCCTTTTCGCCGTAACCTCCGAGGTTGACGTTCTTGATCTCCTGGCCGACGTCGTGGGTATCGAGGTAGTCGATGATCTTTTCGCCGAGGGGCACGCTCTCGACGAAGAAGTCCTGGTACCGGTCATTGTTGAGGGCGGCGACGGTCGAAACGCTGTAGAAGACGGCGCCACCGACGGTCGTGTATAGGAAGAGGCGGACGGGTAGCGAGCGGCGCGGCTTGACGATCTCGGTGACGTAGGTCTGTGACGGGTATCGCAAGGTGCGTGCCGGAGGTGTCGGAGAGAGGGGGAAGAGAACCAGGTGAGCTGGTCAAATCATAGACGAGGAGTGTGTGCAAGATGCGAGACGATGGGGGTTCACTCACACGGGCGGAGGAAGCGGTCGAGGATCGGCCTGCCCTGAGTACGTTTGAGGACGAGGCGGCGAGGGTGGATGCCCTAGAGAGGGCGGCCGCTCTGCTGATCATCTTTGATCGTGCGTCGAGGGAGCCCTTACGAAACAGAGGGAGTAGGTGGGGAGGGCGGCGCTGCAGAAGGGATGTGTAGGGGGCGGAGACGAAGCCGAAAAGGACGAGACGAAGGTGTGAGGGATAGATGGTGTCCAGAAGAATGACGATGCTAACGAGCTGCCAGGGACGACGTCGCGATGGAGGGGCCTTCCAGGGTCAGGCTGGCCGACCGGGGAGCGAGGCCAGCTCAAGCACGGTCGCCCGTCCGCCCGCCCGTTCTTCCGGACGCAGCGCAGCGGCCGCCCATCATCGACATCACCGTTTTTCGATGACCGGCGCCCGCGCCAGGATGCCTCCCCTTGCCTGGCTGGCCTTGCTGGCCTGGCTGGCCTGGCTGGCCTCCCCCGCCTTCACCCGCACACCTCTTTTCTCGTGCGGGAAAAAGAATTGGAGTCGTTGCGGCCTGCCCCTTCGCCTCGCCCTTGGGTTCCCGCACTTCGACACCTCCGGTCCCGCCTGACCCCTCCGTCCCGCCCCTGCGGGCGATCAACGACCGCCGTGCGACTCATACATGAAGAAGAAAGAAGAGGACATGGCCATGCTGGCTTTGCGGTGCGTGCTACGGGACTGATTAAGTGTACAATTTCGGAGGTCGTGAGGATCGTCGTTAGGATGGCAATCAAGGTATCGCTGTAGAGGGAAGGGGTAGGGACGAAGAGCGCTAATCGATGCCCGATTCCATCAAGGGGCCAAAGAGCACCTCGATCGTCTCGGAGAGAAGCCTGATAGGGCCCACGGTTGGGGGATGGACTGGGAGCCGAAGGTGAAGCGAGCTAGTTGGCGCTGCGATACCGCTCCACGCTCCTCGACCTTGCGCAGCCCAGGGCATGCTCGCGGGCGCCCTCAAAGGGGGAGAGCGCCTTGCTCGAGGACGGCGTCGCGGTCTTGTCGTCCTCGCCGTGCAGGGCGCTCGGCATATCGAGCCCCGTCAGGATCTGCAGGCTTGCCTTGTGCCGATGATGGAGCCGGTGCGCCTGCGATCTCGCCGCTTTCTGTCGCGACCTCGAATGCCGGTGGTCGTCGCCGGCTGTGTGCAGCGACAGCTGGTCGGTCACCTGCCGTTGGTGGAGATCCGAGCGAGCCTCGACCTCCTGCTCCGACACGTTATGCCTAGACTTTCGGCTCGACTCGACGACTTCGTCCCGCGGAAGGTAAGCCCTAGCGATCCGCCGCGGCACCGATGCCCGAGCACAGTAGAACTCGGTGGGGACGCGGCAACGGCCGCCAAGTGCCCAGTCCCACTCGCACTCGACGCGGTAGCGAACCGGCTCCGCGGCGTATTCGGACCCGCACGAACCGCGGTCCTCCTGATCTCCGTAAAGCCGGGCGCGTGCCCGCAGCAGCGTGGCTTCCTCTTGCGGATCGACAAAGTAGTGATCCATCCGTCTTGACCGGTGGTTGGCGCTCGACTGGAGGCTTGAAGCTTTGGACCCTGTGTTCTTGCTGCTGGACGCATTGCCGAAGCCCCAGTCCCACTCGCGGGGTTCCGCTGCGGCTCGTCGCGCGGCCTTCATGAGCGAGACGTCGGCGAGCACGACCTTGGACGAGAGGCCGTCAAAGTCGAGCACCAAGCTCAGCGGTGCGGCTCCATTCTCCGAGAGCGCCTTACGCCTCCGACGCTCGAGGACGCCAGCAGCGACGCTCTCGGAGCATGCCCGAGGTAGAGGCGGACGATTGCTGAAGCCGTCGGCGCTGCATGACGAGAGCATGCCAGACGCAACACCAGCACTGGTGCTGCTGCTCGGCAGGCTGGTTGCTCTCGCAACGCTAGGACGCCTTCCCTCAACCATGCACTCGGTGGTTACGTCTTTTGGCGCTTCCATCGTTGTGGTTTCCCCAGCTTTTGCGGCGGACAGATGGCGAGTGATTGGGCGAGCGGGCTGCTAGTGGTGATGCAGAGGCTTGTAAGACTGGCGTTCAAGAGAAGTGTGCGAGATGACGGCTGCAACGACGATTTAGACGTGAAGCTGGGAGCTCAAAGAACGGCTCCCTGCAAAAGGCGTCCAGGTGGACCGCCAACGAAAGCCACCAAGAGCGGGATGGCGACGACGATTGAATGAAGTTGGCGCGCCTGCGAAGCAGTTAGGGTACGCTTGAACACCGAGCCGGATAGACGTCGGGATGCCGGCGGTGGCTTCGAGGTGGGTCGTTGATGCTCTCGAATCGAAGGGAGAGGCTACTGCGCAGCGCCGCAGCCGGGTCGGCTGAAGCCTGAAAGGTTGAGATATGCTCGTCGTCGCACCAGACCCTAAATGCCTCGCGAGCGCTGGTTCGAAGACGACCTGGCGTTGGGAACTCGGCGTGAAGTTGGAAGCGTGCTGCTGCGGAGGAGCGTTCGGAAGAGATCGAAGGCGGTGATGTTGATGGGAAAGAGGCGATAGCGGATAGTGCTGGACGATGGAGGAAAGGGATGGGTGGCGTCCAACAAGCCTGCTCCCCAAAGCTTGAACGGGTTTGAGGAGTGCGGCGGACGTCGCTGGTCCGGCAAGAGGCGGTCCTGGGATGACGCGGTGAAGCCGTCGGCCGTTCCCTTTGTGTCGCGGGCACCAGAGACCGAGGAGAAGGTGGGAGTGGTCACCGTGTGCACCGCCTTGACGAGGTGAGACGAGGCGGGAAGGCGAGGCAGGCTGCCACAGAGAGAGAGAGGAACTGACGACGAGGCGAAAAGGGGAGGGAGGGCGAGGGTGAGGGCGAGGCAGCAGGCAGCAGGCAGCAGGCAGCAGGCAGCGACAAAGGGCACCCGGTCCACGCTCGGCGGAACCCAACCCGGCCAGGCGGGTGTTGAAGGAAAAGGAAAATCGTTGAAATCGAGCAGGTCATCGGGTTTGTATTGCAGCGATACAGGACGTTTAGAGTCCGCGCCGGGGTCGACTACAGACTACTAGACTCTGGACCGAACTCGGGCCCCTGGGGTCCTCGAGACTGGGTTAGCCTTGGCCGGCCTGTTTTCCCGCCCGCGCCCCCCCCCCCCCCCGCCGCCGGCCTGCCGTCCATCGGATCGCTCCGCTGGCTTGTTGCCTGGCCGCCCTGCCTGCCTCTTCTCGCTGGGCCTGCCTGCCCGTTCTGGTGTGGCCCAGAGGCTTGCTTCTCTCCAGCTTCGTCAGACGGAGGGGCGGATCAATGCCGAGGACCATATAGGCAGGCAAGACAGATGAGGAAGCCAGGCAACGCAGCAGCGGTTAGACTCTGCGTCGGAACGGGGCGCGGCGGGTTGTCGCAACCTGGTCGTGGCTCCGATCCGGCCCGCGTCGCTCCGCTTCTCCGGCAGGCAGCTGCGACGACGCTGCGACCCGTTGCGTGGCCAACCAAGGCAGGCAGCGTCGGCCAGCTGGGGACAAAGGTGCCATCGTGTCGACAGAGAATAGAATCCGTCGAGTCGGACAGATGGGCGGCCCACGTCGATAGGCACGCTTCGACGGGGAAATCACCTTTGCCTTCCTCTCTAAGCCTGGAGGAGAGAGGACTGACAGAGAGAGTCGAGACCGAGATAAGCTTGCGTGGGAGCAGGTGCTCGTGGTCGAGTGCTCAAAAGTCGTTTCTGGGCCGGATATGAAGGCGAGCCAAACATGTAGCAGACTCGGGGACGATGACGACGCATCGAGAGAAAGACGTGGGGGAGCGGTCGAGCTCGAAGGAGGCCGTGGCCGCGTTCACGGCCACAGCATCAAGATTGCCGTCGCCTCAGACATGTGTGCCAAGCACGTTGTGGCGCGTCGCCAGCCATCACCAACCAAGCACCTCCCAGCGCCATCCACTCACGGCCTTGTACGTCAAGCGGAATCGTCGACCTATAACTCGCCCTCTTGGGCCTGTGCTGTGCTTCTCACGCTCGCGGAGCACCACCTGCGCGGAGACCTGCACAGGGAACCACGCCGTGTCTCTCGGGGCGAGCGCCTCTGGCGGCATGCCCTCTGATCTCTACATATACCTCGTCCGTAGCCGACCGCAGATGTTAGCGGTACGGTTGCGAGTCGCTAACTAGCCTCGATTTGCTCGCTGGGCTCAGCATCCGACCGCCATCCACACGACCCGGACGTCGGCGCAGTCTACTCTTTGGCACGCCAAGTGGCAGGCAGGCAGGCAAGCAGGCAGGCATGTGTCCAACCCCTTGCCTCGCCGTGGTGGGGTACGGTGGTACGCACGGTGTCGTCGTCGCCGGCGCACGAAGCGAACGCGGGGAAAGCCTAGCCTGTGACGCGGGTCAGGCAGGCAGGCAGGGGGCCCAGCAGATGTGAGCAGCCGAGCATCTGGCTGGCTCGACTTGCTTGCCACGAGGCCCAAGCTCCGATGACGAAGCGAGGATCGCGCGCTGCTGCGAGGCTCGCCCGGCTGGCAGGTAGCATCGCTGCCTTCGCAGGCCAGGGCCGAGGCCAAGCCGAACAGCTCTGGCCGCTTTTCGGCTCCGAACTATTTCCAGGTCCAGGCCCAGGCGACCCACAATTTGCTGGCCCGCCCGCGTCGTTGCCAAAAAAAGGCAGGGCTGGGGCCTGCAGCTGGCGAGGTCTGGAACCCTGCCGGCTTGCCTGTCTGCTCGCTGGCCTCGCCTCGCCTGCTGGCACGCTCCGGGAAAGCAGACGACGCTCGGGCTGCCCGGGCACGGGGAGCTGGGCCCGACCGTCGTGGTCCAATCCCCCTCTGGCCCGTGAGTGACTTGTGAGTTCGACGATTGGCGTGAATTGTCGTTATGAACGGGGATGAACGCGGGATGCCGATACGATGCTGCTGTTGGCGAGAGAGGACTGGGGTTGTCGGGGTAGGGAGCAGCAGCTTGTTCAATCCTAGCCTGGAGGCACACGCAGGGGGTGGAGGATGGGAGGCGGGCAAGCCGCAGGAACACGTACAGCTCGAGAAGGAGTGGGTCGAGCCGCGAGTCTGCGACCCAGCAGCCAGCAGCCAGCAAACAGCAGCCAGGCCGCAGGATCAACACATACCGACGGCCCGAAGAGGCCGGAGGAGGTGGGTGAGCTTTCTTTTCAACCGCCTGCGTGCGGCTCTGGTTTCGGATGTGCCTGCCTGCGACTCGCCTTCGTGGCTCCTTCGTGACAACGTCACCACCATCATCACCATCACATCCCAATCCGCGTCGCCGGCCACGGCCCGATCCTGCAGGCCGACCTAGCTCGAGCTCACAGCGTTACATATACCAGCCGTGCCTCGCCGCGGCCCGTCAACCTTGTAGCGGTAGCTCGGCACCTTTGAGCCTTGCAGCTCGCCCTCTCAAGCCTGTGCATCTCGTCCTGCCCGTCGATGGCGAGGGACCCTCAAAGTGCAACCCTAAACGGAGCAATCTTGTTGCCACCGTCACACGACCCCTGCCACCCACACGACCATCACCTTCCGCTCAACGACCCAACGGCCCCTTTCCGTAGACGACCCACCTCCGTCGAGCGCAGCCCCACCCGTCATCCTCTGCAGCACCTTCATATAAAAACACCGAAGCTCGACAATCACGGCGCCCGGTCCCTGCTGACCACGAGCAAGCACGCCGACGCCCATCGAGGTCGCCGTCACATACCCGCCACCCGTCCTTGCTTTCCGGCTGGCCTCGCCCCGCGCCCTTCCAACTCATGGTCACGTCCTCTTCGCCTTCCCGGCGGCGAGGCGGCAGCACCAACAGGACGCTGCACCCAAACTCTCGTCCCCCTCCCGACCACGACCAGGACATCGACGGGAGCGAGTCGAATCGAGCCTCGATCCACTCGCTCCATTCCATCCACGATTCTAATCCTCAGCGCGAGGCTCCTCACCACCAGCTGGCCGACTCGGAATCCGAGGAGGGCGACGACAACGACGACAACGATAACGACGACGACGATAGCCAAGAGACGGCGGCCGATAGTGGGTCCAGCATCCGCAGGCCGAAAGCCATCGATGATGACAACGATGCCGCCTCGATTGCAAGCACTCGCTCAGACCAGTCCGAGGAAGCCGCCGGCCTCGTGTCTAGGCTGAGCGGCGAGAGCGACCGCGAGCAGCGCAGGGCCAAATACGAGGGCCGGGGCGGCAACTTCAAAGGAGCCCCGCGGCCCAACAAGCTCATCGACGAGGAAGGCTTTGGGGCCGAAGCCGACGCCCAGGATGGCGATGACGAGGGCCTCGCTAGCGGCCTCGCGGGTGACGACGACTTCGAAGGACGGCAGTCGCTCATTGGGCGCAACGGCTTTGTGGATCGTAGGGGCACCGCCGGCCGCGTGAGGAGAAAGGGCGTGCCGTCGCGCGTCTGGGCGATTGCGAGGGAGGCGCTGCCGACGCTCGTGCTGTCGCTCTTCTCGCTCGTCTTCAGCGGTGAGCTGCTGGTACACCTGGCAAGGTGGCCCGCCTTCATCAAGGTCGACAAGCTCTTTATCCTCATCCCAATCCTCCTCAACATGAAGGGCAACCTCGAGATGAACCTATCGCTCCGCATGTCGACCTCGGCCAATATCGGCGAGCTCGACATCCGCCGGACGCGCGAAACGCTCATCAAGGGAAACATGGCCCTGCTCCAGGTGCAGGCGCTCATCGTCTCGAGCTTTGCCGGCATCCTGGCCTTCGCCCTTGGCGTCATCACTCCCCAGACCGAGGTCAAGGCACCCGTCGACAAGGCGCCCACGCCGACCACGCCGGAGAGCGCCATGGTCGAGAGCGTCGTTCGCAGCGCCTTTTCCGCCCTCCGCTTGCGCAGCCAAACGAGGAGGAGCATCGGTGGCGCGGCGGCGCCGGGCACGGCGCTGGAGCCGAGGAGGATCATCCATCACCACCCGAAGCCGCCGTCGGATCCGGCGTTGCGGCTACGCAACGGCTATTTCGAGTTTGTGCTGGTCATTGCGACGGGCATGCTCTCGGCCTCGCTGAGCTCGGCCATTCTGGGCTCGTTCATGTGCGCGCTCGTCGTCGTCTCTCGGCGGCTGGGCGCCAACCCGGACAACATCGCTTCGCCGCTGGCGGCGTCGCTGGGCGACCTGACGACGCTGACGCTGCTGGGCCTCTTCGCCTCGTCGCTCATGCACTTTGAGGGCACGTTTCTCGCCACCGTCATCCTCGCCGGCCTGGCGGTGGCGTGCATCGCGTGCCTCATTGTGACCTACCGCAACGCCTACGTGCGCGAGCTGCTCACGTCGGGCTGGGTGCCGCTGTTGGTGGCGATGTTCGTGTCGTCTGGCGCCGGGCTGGTGCTGGACACGTACGTCGGGCGCTACCAGGGCTTTGCGCTGCTGGCGCCCGTCATGGCGGGCCTTCCGGGCGCCTGTGCCGCCATTTTCGCGTCGCGGATCACGACGGCGCTGCACTCGGGCAAGGGCGCCTCGATGCTGCGCAAGGCGTCCAAGGCGGCCGACGTGGGCGGCGTGGCCGGCATCCTTGCGTCGATACGTGCGGTGCTTTCGATCCCGCCGATCGAGGGGTGGCTCGTTCCGCTGACGCTGCTGAGCATCGGCGTGACGATCAAGGTGGCCTTTATCCTCCTGGTCCGCGCCTCGGGCCAGATGACGTTTGGCGTGCCGTTCGCCGTGGCCTTCTGCTGCGGCTCGGTGGCGGCGACGACGTTTGCGCTGCTCCTGTCGCACTGCGTCTGCCTGTTTCTGTGGTCGCGCGACTACGACCCGGACATCTACTGCCTGCCCTACGTGTCGTCGACGGTCGACGTCGTGGGCCAGACGCTGCTGGTGGTGGCCTTTAAGCTGGCCACGTCGATGGGCGACGAGATCACGGCCGTCGTCAACGCCGGCGCGGGGCACGGCGGCGCCTGATGCGATCTGGCGTTCTGTCCGAGCCCAACAACCTCGATTCGATGCTTTGTCTTGGCTGCATGGGAAACGGTGCATGGGCTGACGGCCAGGCCTAGGGACGACCGTCTGGCCGGGGAGGAGGCGTTTGTCACTCTGTCTGGAATATATCGTGATTAGCTGCTAATGCGGCTACCCGCTGTTGGGTGACAGGTGTCGTTGTGAGACCACTAACTGCTGCGGAGGCAGCAGGAGCAAGCCGGTTGCTAGAGAGGGCAGTCGAGAGGAAGGATCAGAGGCTCGCGAGGGAGCCGGAATTGGCCCGGGCTCGAATCGGCCTCGTTGACGCGGAGCCGCCGTGCAAAGTGGAGCAGCTCGGGGTCCCGCCGGTTTCTCCTTCTCAGACGACCATCATCACCACCACCACCTCAATCCCTACCACTTTGCAGCCCGCCTTCGGCCCGTCCTCGTCGCCTCGCTCAGCGTACTCCGCTTCGTCGGAACGCCCGTCAGCATGGCCCTCTCATCGCCCCTGTCCAGCCCCTCGAGCCACGAGGCGAGCGGCAGCACCTCGAAGCTGTCGCCCGCCACCTCGGTCCTCGCAGACGACGCACAACCGCCGCCCGCCAAAAAGATCCGATGGCGCCCGACGCAGCACCTGCGACCCGCAGCACCCCCGCCTCCGGATCAGAAGCTCATCGACGAGATGGCCGCTCAGCAGGCGGCCCAGTCGCTCGGATACGAGGGCAGGCGCATCAAGAAGTTCATGCAGCGCCGCACCGTCGATTACTGGGGCACCATCCCGCGCTGGGCGCTGCGGCGGCACACGGCCACACTCGTGCGCTCTGCAGAGTCCAGCACCTATCCCATCTTTCCCTCCTCCCACCAGATCGTCAATCTCCTGCCCCCGGCCGCCTACGACAACCCTTCGACCTCGCTGGCGACCACGCTGATCCACACCTCGACAAACAAGATCCGATGTCCCGTCAACGTGGTGCGCTGGATGCCCGACGCCCGCCGCCTCCTCACCGGCTCCACCTCGGGCGAGTTCACCCTCTGGAATGGGCTCACCTTCAACTTCGAGACCATCATGCAGGCCCACGACAGCGCCGTGCGCGCGTTTGAGTGGAGCAAGTCTGGCAACTGGCTCATCAGCTCCGACCAGAACGGCACCATCAAGTACTTTCAGTCCAACATGAACAACCTCCAGGCCTTTCAGGGCCACCGAGAGTCGGTCAGGGCGCTCAGCTTCAGCCCCGACGACGCCAGGTTCGTCTCGGCGTCCGACGACTCGACCATGAAGGTGTGGAACTTTGACGATGCGCGCGAGGAAAAGAGCCTGACGGGCCACGGCTGGGACGTCAAGTGCGTCGAGTGGCACCGCACAAAGGGCATGATCGTCTCCGGGAGCAAGGATAACCTCGTCAAGTTCTGGGATCCGAGGTCCAACACCGTGCTCGGCACCTTGTGAGTGAAGCGGTAACGGGGCAGCCTGTCGTCTTGGGAAGCGGCGGACTGTCTGACCGACCGGCGACCGACCGGCGTCATCCTTCCTCATTGCAGCCACGGTCACAAGAACACAGTGCAGGCCTGCAAGTGGAGCCCGGACGGCAACATGGTCGCCACCGCCTCGCGCGACCAGGTGCTCAAGGTGTTTGACATCCGTGCCATGAACGAGATTTACACGTTGAAGGGGCATCAAAAGGAAGTCTGCTGTACGTGCGGCCCTCGTTCCTTGCTCCTGGCTTTCACTTGTCGCTCGCCGCTTGCTCACCGATTGACCTTCGGTCCCGACCGACGTTGCCCGCCGTTGCTCTTGCAGCCGTCGATTGGCACCCCGTCCACCAGGACACGCTCGTCTCGGGCGGCTCCGAGGGCGCCGTCCTCTTCTGGTCGCTCCGTTCCGCCACACCCGACACGCCGGTGCACACGATGCCGGACGCGCACGAGTCCAACGTCTGGAGCCTGCAATGGCATCCCCTCGGTCACATCCTGGCCAGCGGGTCCAATGACCACACCACCCGCTTCTGGAGCCGGGCCAGGCCGGCCGACGGCCGGGAAGGCGCTGAGGGAAAGAATGAAGAGAAGCAGCGCTGGAATGCCAAGCGCGGCGGTGATGACTGGGACGGTGAGTTTCGAGCGCTCGATACTCACTGACTGTGGATTCCTTCGAACCACCTGGCTGAACACGTCCTTTACCCCCTTTCGCCCCTTGCCGCAACCTACCAGACGACTTCATCCCTGGCCTCACGTCCGCCAACCGATCCTTTATCCCGCAGACGGGCGACACGTCGGCCTCGTCCATCTCGGTGGCACCTTCGTTTGGAGTGGATGCCATGGCGTCGGCAAATGCGATGGCGGCCGGGTTTGGCGGCGGTGCGGGCAGCAACATGGGACACATCCACCCCTCCCGCCTCCAACAGCAGCTACATCCCGGGCCGCCACCCCCACCGCCGTCGGACGACTATATTCCTGGTCTCTCGTTCAACCGTCCGCCGCCCCCACAAAGGCCCCCACAACCGCCGCCGGGCGGGGCCTACGGCTCATTCTACGGCGGCGGAGGGGGTGGTGGGGCCGGTGGGCCAGGGCGATGGTGACCTCGTCTTCTTGTCGACTGCTTCATCCTTGTATGTAGCGGACATTGTGTGCAGCGGCAACTCAGAAGGGCATCGTTTTCAATATGCAACCTTGGCAGATCCCATCTGCTGCCCGCCCGTTCGTCATCATGAGAAGCAAGCACTGTGACAAGCCCACATCGCGCTGCCCCTCTACCTTGTGCGTCATCTCAGCATTGTGCACCGCCATCCATGCCGCGATTCCCTCCCAACTCGGGCGTCTGCGCCCCACTGCACAACCTGAAGTGAAATCGACTAGGAAGACGAGACGTTAACAGAGCTCATTTTAGCTTCGACAGAGGTCGCACGCACACATATAAGGTGGCTCCTGATCCTGATCCCCTTGGCAGTTGCAGCTCAACCCTAACTCCAGTACCGCTGATCTTCGTTCACTCCCGATCTAACTCCCAGACCACTGAACTAGCCCCAACATCAACATGAAGACGACCTACACCTTCGCGTCGCTCTTGACGCTCCTGTCGGTCGGCATCTCGGGCATCCACGCCTTTGACAAGGCCCAGAACTACTACGTCGAGATCCCGGGCGGCTACGGAAGGCTGGTCTGGCATCCTCGGGGCAAGCTCGCCGAGCAGATCTGCCTCGAGCCTCCAGCCACCTACAAAAAGGCCGCCTACGGGGACTGGACACTTTCATTCGCCGACGATGACGTTAGCGGCGACCTTCCCTTTTCAGGACGATGCACCCAGTACGGTCTGGCTGGTTGGGACATGGTCATCTCCCACATCGAGGGCGGCGGCGGTGACGGCACCACGTTGAGGATCGATAGTGAGTTTGCAGCCTCGCCGCGTTGGCTCGAGAGGCTGTCGTTGGGCCCGGTGCGCCAACGCAACGGAGGCTCACTCTCGCTGCCTCTCGGCCTCTGCCGATGTCGTCGTCGTTCTTCTTCCACCTTGTTTCAGTCTCGGGCGTGACCAAGCAGACCGTCACGCTCCCTGACCACTTCATCCCCACCAACTGGAGCTGAGCGCATCGTGGCGTGCATCTTCAAGGCGCCACGCTCGTGCCGTGCACCAGCGACAAGCCGGCGTCCTGCTCAGCTCGAGTCCGCCAAGGTCAAGTCGGCAATGCTTCGAGCCTTCACTCGTGACTGCCAGCCTTGAAGATTCCCCGTTTCTCGTTGTCATCCGTCTCCCTACGCATCCCTTGTCGCTTCGTCCTCCGTTCGTAAGCCCCGTCGCTATGACAATCATACAATTTGTTCCGTAGCCGTCCGTGCGTGCAAGCTGTTACCTTCTCTCAACGAATGTGCCGACGTCCACAAAGAGAAATATTATTCTGACTGGGAGAGGGGTCAGATGGGATCGAGTTACTGGATGCACCCATCTTGGACCGTGTCCCGCACCTGGGGGACGGGTCCGCATCATTCGCTTCATTCGACGACGTCTGGCCTGCGAGACTTGCCCCGGTGGCACCTCGAGCAATTCCGCGCTTCTTTGAGATCAGGCGTCGCCACTGGTAGACCGCTGCTACCCCCCACCTTGTTCGCCGGCAGTTGCCTTGCTCGTTGCACAGACCTGGTGCATTGTTCCTTTTCAATGAGCATCTTTGCAAAGCGCTGGCCTATCGACGTCGGCAGTGCGGGACGGCCCGGCGGTCGACCTGGCAATGACTCAGGCTGCACTAGACCCTGGTCATCAGGAGCGAATGAGGGAGTGGGCGAATCGTTCCGCCAGCAATGGTATAAAGACTGGGTCGGACCACCCTCGACCTCCAGCGCCATCCTCAGATTTTCCTGAACCCAAGAACCATCGACAGGGCTGATCACCTCACGCACCTCAAATACCGCTCAACGAACATGAAGGCCACCACCATCCTCGCTTCGCTAGTCGCGCTCTCGACGAGCGTCTACGCCGGTCCGAGCATGTCCCGTCGCTCCCCTAGCATCGAGTACGAGCCTCAGTCCTCAGAGTACTACGTCGACGTGCCCCAGGTCGGAAGGGTCACGTACCACACCGACGGACCGAACGCAAACCAAGTCTGCCTCTCAACCGCCGGGGCGACGTGGGGATTCTTCGCCGAGGCTGGGCCCGAGGAAACCTTCCTCTACCCCGCCGGCAAGAGGCTCTGGACTCAGCGGTGCATCGGCAACATCCCTGGCAACTCGCCCATCGCCATCGTCATCATGCACGGCCCGCAGAACGACCTGCACATGAATCTGGAGAGTGAGTTGGCAGAGAGCAGTGTCTTCAGCGGCCCCCGCCGCAGACCTTCCGATCCCGCTGCCTGCGCTGCGACGTCCGAAATATGTATGTTCGCCACCTTCTCACACCCTGCCCTCCTACCTCTTTTCTCCCTGCGACCCGTCAGTCGAGGACGCCAAGACTGGACAGCGCACTGGCTACCGTCTCCCCGACCAGTGGAACGCCGGACCCGACGGCGCAAGAGCCATGCTAGGCTCCGGCGATCAAAAGCCGGCTGGCCAGTCCCGGTCGCTCAAAACGTTCTCGCCCATCTTCCCCCTTTTGTGCTTGTCACTATTCGAGATTGACATTCAATTCGTGCTCGACGTCGAGGTCGGCGTCGTCCACGTCCTCTCGCTCACTCTGGTTGCCTGGACATCAAAGAGTCCTTTGACGCAGCGTCCCTGTGCCGCTCGAGGAGACAAGGCGTCGCTCTGCATGCCCACTGTCCGAATCTCTCGCCCACCCGAGCCGACCGTGTGCAGTTTTATCGCCTGTGACGGCTGTTGCGCTAAACACGTTACTGCGTAGTCGACCCACATACCGCGACTTGGCCGGTTCGACGGGCCGAGGGTTGCTCGTGGGGCGACCAAGCCGGAATGCACCGTTCGGCGCAGATACGGCGGTGCATGGCTGAAAGTGGCTGGAGTTGAGGATTAAAGAAGGGGCCAGGTCGTCTCTCTTCCCACCGTGTCTCAGCAAACATCGAAGTAGCCGCCTCGTCGTCCCAAACTCCCAAACAGCCGATCGGTCCCAGAGATCCCACCAAGCAGCAATCATGAAGGCCACCTACACCTTGAACTCGCTTCTGACGCTCCTGTCGGTCGGAGTCGCGGGCCTCCATGGCTTCACCACTGCCCAGAACTACTTTCACGACCTTCCCAACGGTCTGGGAAGGCTGGTCTGGCACCCTCGCGGCCCCCTAGCCAATCAGCTCTGCCTTGAGAAGCCTGGAAGCCCGACGGCCGCTTACAGTCAATGGTCGCTCATCATTCTCGAATCGCCGGACTGGTCGGGACCTCAGCCTTTCAGTGGACGGTGCGGTCCCGTCGCGTCGTTCTAGGCACGAAGCGGGACGCAAGCTCCGGTCGTGGATGTCTGCCGCCGCCACTCAGCCGGCGATCTCGATTGTGTATACTGAGCGTACTCAGGCCGCCCCTTGGTGTGTGGTCGAACGGAATCAGGATGTTGACCTGTCACGGAACTCGATGCTTGCTGGTTGATACTGTACAAATGCTGAAGAGCGATGTGGTGGCCCCCCCTCCCTCCTTCCCCCACTGTTGAGTAGGACTTCAAAAATCTAGTAGCCACCGCCGCCGAGCATGGCGCCCCAGCCCGCCTGTCCGCCTCCGCTGCTCTTCTTGATCTCGCCGCACGCGGAGCACGACCAGAATGCCGCTGCTCCGTCCTTCATCCTGTAACCGCACCTGTGGCACGTCCATCCCGGTGTGTCGGTGTCAGCATTCCCGACTTCCTGCATCAAATCATGGCGTTGACCTGCGCTCTGGCCAGGAGTCGCCGCGATGCTCGCAGAGGGTCGGGGGATACCGCAGGCTTGGCAGGCCAGCTCCGTCGTCGGATTGTTGAGCGTGCAGACCTGGCAGGTCCACTGTCGAGGAGCCGATAGCTGGGCGTTGTGCAGGGAGAGTGCGGCAGCGGAGCGGGTCTGCAGTGTCGAGCGGCTTGGGGTGCGCTCGCTGACGGCGGGAGCGCGCGTCGCCTTGGATGGAGGGGCTCGCGAGGCTGGCCGTGCTCGTTTTGCAGGCGGTGCACGACGTGGGTCCTCGTCTTCGGAAGATGAGATGACAATCGGCTCTGACGGCGATGCTCTGGCGTCGGATGGCTGTGCTTTTGGTTTCCGCTGGCCCGAGGAGACGCCGGCGGGGCACTTGGGTGCACCGCTTGTCGAGGGCTGATCAGGTGCGGTCTTCAGGACGTCATCGAGCTCGATCTTGACGCTTGGATGCTTGTCAGACCCGTCCTGCGCGTTTCTTTTGCCCGTGAACACGATCTCTTGACTATCTTCGTCTTCGTTCTTGTCTTCCTGAACGTCGCCATTGGCCCAGGTGCCGGCTCTTGGAAGAGACGTCGAGCCTGCCTGTTGTTGGCCGTCGTCTTCGTCGTCGATGACAATGACGTCGACCCCTTGCCCTCGCTCTCGTTTTTCCGTTTCCCTTGTGACTTTGTCGATCTCGGCTTGCGAGTCCGGACAGGCCGCCGCATCCCTGCGCCTTCGCTCTGCAGCCTCCGCCGCACGCTTCCTGCGCGCCTCGACCGACTCGACGATGCGGCCACCAGCCGATGGACCGCCGCCGAGCTTCTGCGCACCCGCAGATATCCTTCCGCCACTCGGGCGACCAGGAATGAGGGACGGGAGCCTGCTGCTGGGTGCGGCGCCGAGCTTTCTGCCGTTGCTGAGGAAGCCTTCGACCTCCCATTTGCCCTTTCTCTTGGCCTCGTAGTACTCTTCAGTGATCTTGTCGAGCAGAGCGTAGAAGCGCTCGTCGTGCGGACCGTGGACGTTATGGACGAGTTCGTGGAGCATGACGAGGGTGACCTGCTCCTCGTCGATGAGCTCGTCCTTGCTGGTGTCCCAACGCAGCCGTAGGCTGATGCGGGCTCCGCGATTGACATTGATGCCGAGCAGGTTGGGGTTAGAGGGGAGGAACTCGCTGAGCAGGGGCACAAGCCAGCCGTACTTGGCCATCAAGGGCGTCACGGTGCGGCCGATTGACTGTAGAAGGGCGAGGGCGTCTGAGGAGTTGGCGAAGCGCGAGAGGCTGCGGTACTCTTTGATCAGCTGGGGGCCGCCAGAGGAGCCGTGGTGGTTGGCCGAGGATGTCGATGGCGGGCGGAGGGGACCCCGACCCTCGATCGGCATCTTTGCCAGAAAGAGGAGTCGAGGTGCCTGTCAGGTAGAGTCAAGACGAGGGTGAGGATCTGAGAGAGAGGGAGGAGATGGTGGTGGGTGGTAGTCAAAAGGATGCGATGCTGCTTGTCGGTGCGTGGGTGCATGCAGGTGCACGCGCTCAGTCAGTCGGCTTCGCAGCAAGCAGCAGAAGAGTGATGCATGTGGAGGCTTGGCTTCCGCTCGCGTGATTCGTTTTCGCTACTTTACGCCACGGCACCGCGTCTCGCTCAGTGGTCGGCGCCACCGACGGCCGGCCCTTCGTCGCCCTGCCCACCGCCTCCTCGGCCCCTCGTCTCGATGGGCAGCATCGTCATGGCCGCAGAGACGCCCGCAAACGACGCAAATGCCAGGTAGAGCGGCAGGTTGCTGTTGATCGAGAAGAGCAGCCCCGCCGTCAGCGGCGCCACGATGCCCGTGACCCGGCTGATGGCCGACGCAGAGCCGCACGCCGTGCCACGGATCTTGGGACCCATGACCTCGGGCGTGTAGCCGTAGATGGCGGCGTACGAGATCGAGGCGGCAATCGAGATCAGCGTCAGGCTGGCCCGCCACGACGTCAGCGCAAACGCCAGTACTGAGAACCCCGTTAGCGCCGTCGAGCTCGCCATCGTCCCGATGCGCCCCAGCCGCGTCTCGACCAGGTACGCCGAGATCAAGCTGCCCGGCAGGCTCGAGACGTTGTAGACGAGGTAGTCGACCATGGCAGCCTTGGAGCCGCTCGGAGCCGATGGGTCCGCCTTGCCGTAACGCTCCTCGAGCAGCTTGGGCAGGAAGACGTTGAACGTGGTAAAGGCGAACGACATCCCGCCCCAGATGATCCATACGAGGATCGTCGTCTGCTTCCACTCTTCGGAGAAGAGCTCGGCATAGCGCGAGAGCAGGTCCGCGACGGTAGGATGCCAGGCCTCTGGCAGCGCCGCCAGCCACCCAGGCAGCTCGAAGTCGACGGTATGGCCCGGCTCCTCGTTGTCGTCGTCGGCCAGCGAGCCAGCCCCCTCGCCAGCGTCCATGCGGCCCTGCTCTTCTACCGCTTCCTCATCTTCCTCGTCGCCCGTCGGCAGGCTTTGATAGCCCTTTTGACCCGAACGCAGCCTCGAGGTGGGCTGCCACCGCTTCGGAACTGTACCCCGCGTCGACGTCGACTGCCTCGGTGTTGAAGGGCCTGCGCTCCCTTGACCGCTCGGATTTCCCTGTACGGCATCATCGCAGACGTCGCGAAGCTTGATGGTGACCTCGTTGCCGCCATTAAAGCGCTGGATCCTCTGCAGGATGTCCCTAGCCTCCTGCGGCCGGCCGGCATGGACGAGGTACTTTGGCGACTCGAGCAGGCGGAAGAAGACGACGCGCGCCGAGACAAAGGTGATCGTCTGCAAGAAAGGGGCAGCAGATGGTCAGAGTCAGTGCGCGGTGCTCGCTCTGCCTGCGGAAGGACCCACGTCCAACTCACAACTGCGGCCAAGCACCCGAGAAGCCAGCGCCATCCAGAACTTGCGCTGTCCGACAGAACGACCAGCCCGATGATTGAGGGGATGACTGCGCCCGCCGAGAAGAACACCGAGAGGGCGGTGACGTACGAGTGCTTGCGGGTCGGCAGGTTCTCGACCAGGTTGGACGAATCGGTCGGCATGGAGCCACCAACTCCGGAGCCCACGGCAAATAGAAGGACGCAGAGGGTGCCAAAGGACGTCGAGAGCGCCGAGAGGGTGCCGAAGACGGCGGTGATGAGCAGCGTCATGTTGAAAGCTGCCCTGCGGCCGTAACTGTCCGAGATGGTGCCCCACACGAGCGAGCCGACAAACATGCCGACAAAGATCGAGGAGCTCGCCAGCCCGACGATGGCATCCGTCACCTCGAACGTGCGCTGGACATGCGGCAAGATGACGGCCACCGCCTGGATCCACATATTGTCCGCCGTCCATCCCAGGCCGCTGAGGATGAGAACCGTCCACTGGTAGCGGCCCATCCCGATAGCATCCATTGTGCGATCGAGGGGCGTGACGCCGACCGCCGTGGCTCGCCAGTCGGTGGCCTCGTCGGCCTGGCGCACCGGCGGCAGTCCGAGGTCGATTGAGGCGACTCGGTTGCTGCTGGCACGGTCGAGCATGGCGGGCCGGCGCGAGGACCGCACATCGTGAAAGGTGGCGTTGCGAGGCAGCGTATGCCGCTGGAACGAGGGCCGGGCGTTTGAGTCGCCCAGCGAGGACGAAAGGCGTGGCTCCGGCAGATCCCGTTTGGCCGGTACGGTGCCGCTGCTCGTTTCGATACCGCTCCTGGGCCGCACCGAAGACCAGTCTGGCTCGAGGTCGGTCTGTGTAAGGGCGGCCGGGCCGACGCCGGCACCACGTTGGGGATCCATGTTGCAGGAGGAAGCCGACTCTGGAGGATGCTGTCCGCTCGGAGAGGCAAGGAACGGCAGGTCCGATGATCGAGGATGGAGGAGGGAAAGGGACGGCTACGTCGACATTGCGGATGAAAGGGCGGTTCAGGAAGGACGATTCACCGACCGAAAAAGGCTATGATGGTGGCTGGAAGCCAAGGCAGCACCGATAGAGCGACTCCGGGACACACCCCATCTCGAGCCAAACCTTCGGGTAGCGGGCCGACTCCGCAGGGACCCCTTGCCCTGCCTGCCTGCAGGCCGCAGTGCACGCACGGACTCTGCCAGCTGACGGCAAGGCCGCGCCCAAAGTCAAGACTCGCAATCTTGCGGACCCACCACTTCAGCTCTCATCAGCCCCTCTTTCAACGCCGACGTGCACCTCCTTATCGGCAGCTCCTCCGCACAGGCAGCACTTCTAGCTGTGAGGCCTATGCTCGTTGGGCGGCTGGATCCGAGGACGTGCGGTCGCTGCAATCACAGCTCAGACGACCTCGACATCCGCTCAAGGGAGCCGCGGGCCCTCCTCTCACCACCTAACCATCCGACAAGCACTCGGCCCATCTGACCACCTCCAGATCACCCAGCATGTCGCTCGAACCGGGCTCACTCTTCTCGGTCAGCCTGCCCCACGCAGATTCACCGCCGTCCTCGTCCTCGCCCCCCGCAGCGCTGCAACTCCGGCTGACCGAACACGCCCTCACCCAGCTGGCCGCCGCTCTCTGCCCCGACGGTGTCCACGTAGACCCTTCAAAGCTACCACCCGACCTCCTTCGTCTCGACCTTGGCTCAGCCTCGTCGGAAGCGGCCCTACTGATCGGCCCATCGCGCCTCCCTTTGCAGCGCTCCAGCGAGGCCGCACCACACGAACTCTTCCGCCTCAATCACAACGAGACCCACCTCACTCGCATCGCGACCGTCACGCAGAAGCTCAGTGTCCGCCCTTCGCATGTCACAGCAGGGGCAGCCTCGCGGCTCAAGGAGCGGCAAGAAGAGGAGGACCTGCGCAAGGAGAGGAAGCGCGCTGTCGTCGTCGACCAGCCCATCAATGCCGCAAAGCTCAGGCAGCAGAGGGGATCAGGCATCAAGCCAAGCGCGATAGGCGCGTCAGCCCTCTCGCGCTCGTCGAGCCTCAGCAAGGTCAGCCTCATTCGCCAAGAGAGCCGACCGGACAGGCATGCCTCGATGTCTCCACTGCGTGGGCGCGAGTCTCTCCCACAGTCGAGCTCGGCCGTCAACAGCCCAATCTTCGCAAGGCAGTCCACTGGAAGCCTCCAGTCCTCGCCGGAAGCCAAGGCCGCATCGTTTGGCAGTAGCCAGCGGTCCCGAATGGAACCAGATCGCCTGCACTTGCGTCACATAGACGCTGAGAGTGGCCAGGAGAGCGGACACTCGGACAACGAATCGATCACCTCCATACCAAAGTCGAGATCCAGCGCTCTCGAACGGCAGACGAGTGGAAACGCTGGCGCCTCTGGGAGCACCGCTGGGGCCGCGGCTGCCACCGCTCCAGCCAAGAAGGGAGGCAAGCTGACGACAAGGCAGCGACTGGCAAAGGCAGCGAAGGGCGGGAGCAAACCGCTCGTCGATGCGGACAAGCGAGCCAGCGCGACAGCTGCCACCAGAACTGCTGCCAAAGCAGTCACCGGCAGCGCCTCTCGCCTGTCTGCCGATGTAGAGAGCCAGTCGAGCGACGCTCGGCTGACACAGATCTCAAAGTCTCGAACGGAAGCTGCGAAGTCCGTTCTCCCGGCGTCTCAAGCCAAGACGAGGGCCTCGGTGCCTGTCGACGCGATCTCAAAGGATCCGTCCAGGTCCAGCGTCAGACTCACTTCCTCGAGTCAAAAAGCCCCGCCGACAAAGGCTGAAGAAGTCAAGGAGGCCGATGTCGAGAGGAGGTCGCAGGCGCGCTCTTCGAAGTCGCCGACGCGGCCCGCTGTGGAGCCGCCACTGAAACGGCGCCGAGCCGAAGCCATTGAGGATCCGGCGAAAGATGGGGTCGAGCCGCCGGCGCCCAGAACTGCCGCCTCGGTGGCACGAGAGGCTCGCCAGCCTGCTGGCGGACGAGACGAGCCATCGACGTCAACAGCGCGAAAAGCCTTGACCTCTCTGCCCGACGCAGGAGTTCCGTCACCCGCCAAGAAGCAGCGACGGCTGTCGCCTGCACAGTCTTCGCAGCAGTCGCGCGCGGGCCCGCCCCCTCCAGGTCCGCCGCCTGGCCCCCCGCCGACGAAGGCGTCGACATCGGGACCGCCGACGGCATCCGCCCTGCACTCTCGGGCACCATCACGCTCTCCCTCGCCTCACATTCCGCTCCTGCCGACCGTCAAAGGCGTCGGGCCGGGCGCAGCTCATTGGCTCGAACCGTGGCTCGACGTGCGCAGCCGATCCGACTGGCATCACCTTGCTGCGCGTTTCTCGAAGACGTGCGACGAGTACGCCGTCAACAAACGGCGGCTGGACGAGGAGCGAGCTCGGCTGGACCGCGAGTGGAGTCTGGCGACACGGGAGGAAGCCGAGGCGAGCCAAGGAGGCGGCGGTGGGGGGCTGATGATCGTCATGGACGAGGACGGGGGAGACGAGGCCACGCATCAGATCGAGCCGTCGCTACCGCCGGCGTCGACGAGTCGGCCGCACGTGTCCCCGCCGCCAATTCCAACCTCGGCAGCGCCTTCATCGTCATCGCTCGCGCAAGCAGCTCCACCTCGAGAGAGCCCGGAAGAGGGGATGCTGGAGGAAGGCGAGATGACCGCGGAACCGGAACCGGAAGCGCAAGACGCAGCAGCAAGCGCATCGATGTCGACCGGGACTGATGGATCGCAGGATCTCGCGACGGCCAATGCCCGCTCGGATGCAACGAGCCGAACACGGAGCGCGACGCCGGAGGATAACCTGGTCTGGCGATCGGAAGGGACGAGTCGGAGCACTACCGTCTCCCCGCCCCTCTCCCGACCTGATGGAACCGGGAGTGGGCACGACGGCCGTACCGGCGCCTCTGGGACGGCGGCGCCACCTCCGCCCCCTCTGCCGTTCAAGGAGCTCGAGGCGCTTGCAGAGAGACACCGCGAGCTTCACGGCAGTCTGATGAGGATGCAGGCCGTCCTGGTAGAATCCAAGGGCAGGTTCTGACCGCAGCGAGCACGCACGCTGCACTTCCACGTACCGCCGTCATCTTCGTTTGCGGGCCACGTTGGCAGCACTTTGTCGATACTACACAAACCAAGCGCGGCTCTCTTGCCGTTCCGTGATGACGGAATGCATTGCGTTTGATGGCCAGCCGGATCGAGTCGAGACGGGACCGGGACGAATAAGAGGATATCGCAAACGAGAACGGGGCGGATCGAGACGAGGGACGAGGGCGAGAGCGAGCAGGGGAATCCTAGGGAATGCTAAGGCGATGTCGTGCCACGAACAGGGGAAGCAGAGGGATAAGCGGGATATGGGCCGGGCGAGCGAGACGTAGGCAGGGAAGGAGCTAGGATCCAAGTTCCACGCCGGGCATGAAAAGCGCCTAGCGCATCTCGAAGCCTGATGTAGAGCGTTCGTGCACGTGGTGCAGGGACAGTTGCTGGTACCTGTCGGTCCGGACGACGATGAGAAGGATGAGCAGGTCAGTACGGTCATCCCGATCCAGTGTGACACCAACAGCAAGGGCAACCGACCGTGCAGACTGGTACACTCACGGTTCCGAGTTTTCGTGGAAGTAGAAGCCCAGCATCTTTCCGGCAGAGATACCCTCCTCGATGTCGTCGCGGTACTGCTGGTGGTGGTGGGGCGACATCCTCTCGTCCCGCATGTCGTCGTCGTTGCGGTCCTTGTTCGCCGATCCCGCTCCGGACGGGTGCACGGGGCTGCTCGAGGAAGCCGGCGGCGGCGAGGATGGAGACGATGGCCAGATGCTGCTGCTCGCCGCAGCGTTGCCGACAGAGAGTTCCCGGCGCCGGTTGGCGGTGGATCGTGTCGTCGCCGCGTACCACCCTCCCCCGCCGGCAGTGGCGCCATCGTGGGAGAAGGGATACTCCGACGACGGCGACGTGGCCCCGAAGCCTCCGACAGGCGTGTGGGTCGGCCTCCTCGCCGTGTCGCCTCCGAGCTCGACGCAGACATAGTAGAAGCCGGCAAACGAGGCGCCGTTGATGTCTCGCACGCGGTGATCGGGGACGAGGAAGCGCTCCTTCCATCGCATAAAGACGTACGGCTTGTTGTGGTGGCTGAACTTGAGCCCGGGCTTGGTCAGGCCGCTGCGGAGCGGGCGGAACGGCGGGAAGCGAGCCCAGTGCTTGAGATCGTCGGCCTCGGTCGCTCCCCACTTGCCCGTGACAAAGCCATGCCGATCGCCAATGATCTCGGCGTCGAAGTAAGTTGTCAGCTCCGGCCAGTCCTCGGTCAGACCGCGGATGTTCAGGTAGCCGCAGAGGTGCGAGTTTTCCATGTCGACATTCTGTCAGCGGGCGGCGTGGCATTGTCAGGGAAAGATCAGAGACAGGTCAGCATCTTTGCCATCGAGCGCGCATTCGCGTCCCCCCCTCAGCCATCTGCCAGTACTCACCACAATCCGCACCGTCACATCGTAGCTATTTCGTCCGCTCTTCTGCGTTCCGTTGAAGACGGCGCCAGGGAAGAGGCACCCTCGGCCCTTGGGAGGCGATCGCAGGCGTGACAGTTCCATCAGAGGGTCAGGCCGCAGCGGATCGTACCACCGACACTGGTCGACGCGGATCTTGGAGGCGAGGGTGGCGTCTTGACGCGCTGCCGGAACAGGGTCGACTTCCATAGCCGCCGCATCGCTCCCGCTGCCTTGGCCTTCGCAAGACCTGGAGTAGGGGAAGCGGAGGGGGTTGGGCAGCGTCCTGCCAGCCGAGCTGTCGTCCCTGCCCGAAGTCGAGCGGGCCATGGGCGCAGTGAGGACGTAGCCGCGAGATGGCCCGGAGGCGGCCAGAGAGTCAGAGATGGCGTGGGTGGGTATCGTGCTGAGCCTGGGTCGAGTCATCGAGGAGGGGCCGAAGGGATCCTCCTCGATGGCGTACCGCCCTGCAAAGTCGGTAGCCGATGCACCCATGCCCACCGCGGCAAAGGGGATCGAGGTGGGGCCAGTCGAGGAGCTAGATCGGCTGAGGCGACGAGTGACTGAGGGTCGTCGCACCCTCGCCGCGCCGGGTATTGCGCCTGCTGGTGCCGGTACATTGATGCCGCTGCTCGAGCTGCTGCTGCGTCGAAGCCTTCCAGCCGGTGGGGAAGTACCGAGGGCGGGTTGGTAGCCGGCGGCCGGAGGGAAGCTGACGATCGGGGCGGCGCCGCTGGGACTGGCTGTGGAAGCGTCGTGGCCGCTCGCGACATTGTAGCTCAGGCTCCTCGAAAAGCTTCCAGACCTTGCCAGGAAGGGTGAGCTTGACGGCGCGGCTGTGGCGTGCTCATCCAACGTGGGGATGCGCGAGGATGAGTTGGGTGGGGACCCTGGCACGAAACGTAGCCTTCCCCTCTCACGCGTGGGCGAACGACCTGGCGAGGTCGGGGACCGAAGCGTGGGCGAAGTTGCGGCACGGCTCAGCGGAGGAAAGTCGGGATCGTCGGTCGAAGGAGGATAGGGCCCGACGGCATCCCCGCCCGCGCCCATGTTGCCGACATTGATCGAGAGCGGCGCGGCCGAAGTCGGTGATCGGGGCCCCGTCGCCCAGGGAGCTTGGCGGCGTGGCGGAGACGCCGGCAGGGCGGCTGCAGCTGCCGATGCTGTGCTGGAGCCGGGAATGTGCAATGGGTCGGTAGAGGCGGCTCCAGTAGGGGGTCGCGATGTAGTGGCGGGGGCGGCAGGCGAGGCGGATGCGGCGGCAGCTCTAGTAGCAGGAGAGATTGATGTGGTATGGTCGCCAGCGAGCAGATCCGAGTGTGAGGGAGGCCGCTGAAGGTGGTCGGGCCTGCGGGTGTGCTGGCGTGCCTCTTGGCGTGTGGCTACGGCCGCGAGGTCGGGGCCGGGCTCTTGGGGGTTAAGAGGTGTGTGTGTGCTGTGGGCGCTCGAGGGCATCTCAAGGTCGCTCTGATCGCCCTGAGATGCGCTGATTGGGCTCCGCGGGCCCAGCCGAGCCCGGAACTCGTCCGGCGCTGGTGCTTCGGAAGCAGCCGAACAGCGGGAGCAGATGGCGTGGGCCTCGCCATCGGCGCTGCCCGACACCGACGGCCCTGCCGACGATGCGGCCAGGTGCCGAGACAGAGCAGCCGCAGCTGCAGCATTGATGGCGGAGGTGAGCGATGATTGCGGCTGGTTGTCGCCATTCTGGTGGAGCAGGCCATCGGGTGCAAAAGCAATCGAAGACGGACTGGGTGCCGGCATCGAGGGTGCTGGGTCCGAGGCAGACGCGACTGCGCCGAAGTTGTCGAGCTGCTGGCCGCAGTGCACGCACGTCTTTGGCTGCCCGCTTCCGCCTTCGGATGGTCGTGGCTGGGAGGGCGAAGAGTCGGCGGCGGAGGATGAGGCAACACTGGCCGACAGGGGATCGCCCCCCTCGTGAGTGGCCTGCGGGCTCAGCTGGGGCATCGACGACGGACCGGGCGTCATCTTGCACGGCGTGACACGCTCCTATCTGCGGTGGTGATGGTGGTGGTGGGTCGCGCCGTTTGGAGAGATGTTTGTTGGTGGAGTCGAAGATGGAGCGAAGGGTGCCGAGGCGGCGGTGGTGACGATGACGATGATGGAAGCAAGGCGTGCTGCCGGCCCTCTGCCCCGGGTTGCGGGGGCGGCTGCCGTCGACGGAGGGACCTTTTCGGCTGCCCCACGTCGTCTGCCCTCGCCTGGCAGGCCCCGCAGGCAGGCAGGTAGGCGGGCCCGCGCTGGACGGCGGGCGCGCTGCATGCGACCCTGCATCAGAGGGTGGACTCTTGACTCGACAGCTCGCTCGTGTGCCCGCTGCTCTGATCTCGCATCTTTCTTCCGCTCCCCGAGCATCCCTGCGATAGGATGGCGGGCTATCTCCTGACCCGACCCATCTGACCCCGTCACTACACTGCATCCATCTTCATCCCCTCTCGTCCGAACTTCCTACCGCGCATGCCGCTCGCTCAAGACGTGTACACACGCACACACACTTTTGGCCTAAGGCCGTACTCGGACCATCGCAATGGCCGCCCAAGACCCACCCCTCACAGCCATCTCGGCCGACGGCGTCGACCTCCGCCGCAGAGAATTGGGGCCCTCGTACCCGGTCCGAGCAGCGCAGTAAGGCTCTGCGTCGCTTCTGCCAGCGTAGCCCCGTCATCGTCAAATGCCATGTGCTGCTCGCCATAGTATTCCAGTTCGAGGATCCTCGACTGCGAGCTAATGGCCTCCGCAGGGCACTCGTGGATGTGTCAGGACCTGCTCGCTCGCATCGATGACAGCTTCCCCATCTGGCTTCGATCGCTGCCTTGCCGCTACCACACCGACCCATCTGACTCGAGCAAGGACGTATACGAAGTCGCACCCTCCTCGACCGGGCTCGGTTTGAGCAAGAGTGCAGCGAGATGCTCGAGCGGCCGCAGAACCCGGATCTCTTCCAGAACATCGGGTAGTAGACCCCCCTTCTTGATTCAGTCGGAGGGGGCCTGGAACAGAGGGTCACGAGCTGCCTGCTCTGCCTGCAAGGCTGCATGCTGTCCAGCCCCTGCCGTATAAAGGTTTGGCCGGTCTACAGACGTGCGCACAAGGCCCTCTCTTTCGTCTGCCTCGTTCACGACGGCGACCTTCGCTTTCGGTTGCTTGCCTCCATCATCTGCCATCTCGTCGTTCAGCGCCTCCTTTCTTTCTCTGCACCACGACTTCCTTTCACGACCCTCTCCCGACCCTCCCGCGTCTTTGGCGGAGGCGCCAGCACGGTGCATACAGCCTGCTTTCTTTCGCCTCTCTCCTCGCCGCCCTCTCGTTGTGACCGCGCTTTCTAGCCTCGATCTCAACAAGGCCATCGAAAAGGTCTACATACTCGGTACGACGCGGAGGAGGTCTGCGGCCGTGCCGTGCGTGTCATCCAGTCGAGCGGGACGGGCAAGAGCCGCACGGTCCACGACCTTCGACACCTTTGGCCGACGCTCGTCCTGACGCTGCGCAGGAGCGCTGACCTCGCCAACTCGGGGTTCCCAGTTGCTGAGGCGGCGACGGTCGATCTCTTCTGCAACATCGAGATGACCTTTATCGTCTTCTTCGTCGCATGGTTCACCAAGGTCGACGCCGTGCGGTGAACATCGCGTGCCGCATCCGGGCAGCCCCGCAACGACAGCGCAGCAGTGATCCATTCCTTTCCACCTATCATCCCTATGTCCAGGGCAGCGTCCGCCGTCGATCCGTTAGCGGCAAACTCGACCAGGAGAGAGCGGGAATGATATCATGGGCTTCGTGTTCAAGTGTGAGCCAAGGAAGTCCGGAAGTGCGGGGCGTGATAGTGTTACAGGTCGTGAAAATCGTTCGAGAGCGGATCATCGGATGGTCATCTGCGGGACGGTGGATGCGGGCGAGGCCGTGCCATTAGGCGTCGGCGGTCTTGTACTGCGTCGCGCCGTCGGCGGCGACCTTCTTGTCGTCGTCGTAAGAAGCCGTCTCTGCGGCAGCGGTGCTGCGGCTGTGGTCGTGGTCGTGGTGCGTGGTGGTAGCGTGCTTTGCGACTTCGGCATCGGTGTCCTTGAGTGGCCCGACAATGTACCGGACAGCGAGGGGTACGATGGCGGCGAGGAAGCAAAAGGCAGCCGTGACCGACCAGCCCTGGACGTACTCGGGCGCCGTGTTCGAGGGCCAGAGGAAGGATCCATATACGCTGGCAAAGTTGCCGAGCGAATTGACAATGGCGATGGCGACGGCGCGCTTGGCGATGGGCTCGACCATGACCGAGGTAACGTACGAAAGGTAGCACGGCAGCGCCGACCAGATGCCCGCCGCGACAAAGCAGAGGAGCGCGTACGAAGCGTGCCGGGGTACGTAGGTCGCCTGCACCACGCAGAAGATGCCGGCCAGCGAGACCGGGACGGCGGCGTGGAACGGCTTCTCCCTGAAGTGGTCGGCCGAAAAGTTGACGGTCAGCGAAAAGACGAGCGCGACGGCGTACGGCGGGACCGAGAAGAGCTTGGCGTCGGTGCCCTTGTAGCCCAGCTGGGTGACGATCGTGGGGATGAAGTAAGAGATGGTGCCGGCACCGCTGATGGCCATGTAGCCTGTGAGGACCGGGAGATGCAGAGGGGGGGAGCGAGGCCGGTCGGCGTGTCAGCGCGCGGCTCTTCATCGTCGTCCAAAAAAAGACAGACGAGAAAAAGCAGGGGTGATCCGCATCGCAACTCACCGACGGTAAAGGCCCAGGTCTTCCAGTCCTTGACTGCGAGCATGAATCCCTGGCGGTGACCGACCTCCTCGCCCGTGTACGTCGAGGCGTTCTGGATGACGAGGCGCTTGACGGCTAGGGCCTTTTCGCGGGGTGTGAGCCATCGCGTCGTGGCCGGGTAGTCGGGCAGCACAAAGACGGCGATCATGGCAACGACGGCCGTTGCAAGGCCCTCCATAACGAAAAGCCAGCGCCACCCAGCGACGCCGGCGAGTCCGTCCATGCCGTCGATGATGGCGGCGGCGAGGAGACCGCCAAAGGCGCCCGAGACGATCGAGGCCGAGTAGAAAATGCCAAAAACTTTGGACAGTTCGTTTTTCTTGTAGAGCGACGAGAAGAGGACGAGGCAGCCGGGGAAGAAGCCGCTCTCGATGATGCCGAGGATGAACCGGAGGGCGACGAGAGCGCCGTACGAGTTGATCCCCTTGAAGGCGATGGTGATGCAGCCCCAAGTGAACATGATCGCGGCCAGGAAAATCGACGGCCGCGACTTTGTCAAGATCATGTTGGAGGGCACCTCGAAGAGAAGGTAGCCCACAAAGAATATGAGCAGTGCAACGCTGTAACGGTTGCTATCGAGGTTGAGATCGTCGCTCATGCCGCCGACTTTGGCTAGGCCGATGTTGGTGCGGTCCATGTAGCTGAGAGGTGGCGGGTGGCGTGCGGGAAAATATCGACGCGTCAGTGAGGGGCTCTGCTTGGCACCAAGTGGAGGTCAAGGCCGGAGGGGGGCAGGACAGGCTCCGACTCACTTGAGAACGTAGCAGAGCCAGATCATGGGGATGAGGCGGACGCTGATCTTGCGGACGAGGGCCTTTTCCTCGGGCGAGCCGGGCACGTAGGGTTCGTGCCAAGCGGCGAGGGCCTCTGGATCTTCGAGAAACTTGCGGTGGTGGAGCGGGATGTGCTGGATCAGCTCTTCCGACGAGGGGAGACCGCCGTGAGGCAATGCCTCGACGGCGTGGGTGGCGTCGATGGATGGGGCCATCGCGTTGTATTGGGTCAAAGGCTAGGTCGAGGACGAGGGAGAGGATGGCCACAGGATCTGGTCGTTACTGGGGAAAGATGAGGAGGAGCAGGGGGGTGAAGATGAGGGGAAGATGGTAGGCCAGGCGGACACACAAGGAGAGGAGACGGTCGAGAGCACAGAGCAACGAAGACCTTTATACACAGACAGAGGCCAGCACTGGAACGACGAACCGGCGGGCGCAGCGTCCTTGGTCGCTGTTGCCCCCATAGCGTGGTCGCAAAAGGGCGCTAGCGTGTGTGAGATTGCGTGGCCTGGCCTGGCCACGGTGGCAGGTGCGATGGCATCTTTGGCGTCGCGGGCCCAAGAGCAGAGGCCGAGGAAGAGGTGGCCACCTTACCCCGCATTTTGCCGCCAGGCCCGTGGCATCCAAAGTGCGGGGTAAGCGCGGTGTGTACAGACATGCATGCATGGTGCAGCAACGAGGACGGGAGACGAAGCTGATGCCGTACGTGGTGCAAAGCCAGAGCTGGCGACGAGGACGACGAGGAGCGCCATCGCCATCTTCTCTTGGCCGAGGGGGGGCGCTGCTTTAGCCGCCTTTGCTGGCGGGCAGGCGGGGTAAAGGCGGAAAAGGGCGCTCGCCGGTCTGTCTCCTCGGCTCGGAAGGTTTTCGCCCCGCCCCCACAGATGTCGACTCGTCGTCGTGGGGGAGACGGGCAGACGGGCAGGCGGGCAGCCAAGCGGCCGACTTTCCTTTGGCCATGTCTCCTGATTCGCCACCCTCCGACGCAGCCGCCCCGTGTCTTCCTCTCACTCTGCTGCCCCGCTTCATCGAGCAAGGTCTGCACGATGCAACCCTTGCCTTGCCACGCTTTGCTTCCCATGGCCACAGGCTCCGACGCAACGTCGGCTGGCCCCGCCACGCCGCTCTGCTCGGTGCAGGGTCATGCCAGGCCAAGGCAGCTGCCGCCACCCGCGGATGTTCCGGCAATGCCTCGGTCGGAGTCCATACGAAAGCCAGGAATGGCAACCATCCGGGCCAACCCAAGCCTCTGTCTATTGTACAGATCAGCCCTCGGGACAGCCGGTCTGACTGGCCACGCCTTGGAGCACCCCAGAATGACGCCAGCGGTCACGGCCGGCCAAAGGCGTCGCTTGCGGTTCTGATCCGCAATCCACTTTCTCGCCCGATCTTGCCTCTCGTCGCTATCGCCAGCTCAACGACGTCCATATCGTTTGGAAGCGACCTGCCTCCTCCCACAACAGAAACAAGAGGGTATGCGACCGAAGCTTGTAGGACCATCTACTTCACTCGAGCAGACGAGCGGGGGGCGACTTCGGAACAGGCCCGGGCGCGGAAGGGCCGGACACGCGCGTCGTCTTCGGCTGCCCGACCGCGAATTGACCGGCGTATCGGCCGGCGTATCGGCCGGCGTATCGGCCAGCGGTCCGCTTCGGTTCCGACCGATCCCAAAGTTGTCGACTTGGCCGAGGCACGCCAGGCCGAGAGACAGGCGGGAGCGCGCCCCACCCCCGTTCTTCGCGCAAACGGGTCTGGACCTTATCGGGGCCAAAGCGGGATGCTTGCCTCGGCCCTCTGGACAGGACAAGGGACAGGGACATATGTACGGGCGAGCGGCTACTGCCGCCATCGAGATTGCACAAAGGGCCGTGAGGGACAATGATGATTGGGGAACGATCAAGGGCGGAGCGAGATGGAGGGGGGACTCACTCCGTCCTTTGTGCGGTCGCCACCCGCTTAACTACATGCCAGGTAGCCACCGTAGCCGCAAGTTCCCCATCCCTTCGCCTTGGCATTGTCCGGTAGCTGTAGCACAGGGTATGATGATTGGGCCCCTGTCGCCGTGCAGATCGACTCGTCTCGCCGTATCAAGCGCTCCGGATGAGCCCTTCGCGACAGTGCTGGCATTTGAATCAGGCGTGTCTGCAACGACAGACAGCACATGGGGCACTCTTGACGGCTCAACGGACGAGACGACCGGGATTTCACGGATCTATTTCGGTATGTGTGGATACATATGTGTGTATCGAGGACAATCAAGACGAGGGCAAGTGGGATGCGCTGTCGACGATCGATCCGGCCCGAGCGCGCCAAGAGGGTCGAGACGGGCCGCTATCGATGTCGATCACGACGCAGAGAATGGCCGAGCAACGTCCTCGCCGCCATGCGCGGCAGGTCGAGGATGCCCCTGACGTGGTCGCTATATCCCTCAAAGATGTCGACCACTCCGAGCGCGTTGGACCGCAGGGCGAGGTGGTGAGCCGCAACGTACCGCCGACGGTGGCCCTCGACCCCGCTCGACGCGGCGAGCGGCTCCAGCCTGACGCTGGCGGGCAAACGGCTGGGATCCTTGAACCGCAGCATCAGCGCAAAGAGGGGCAGGTGGTTTAGCAGGCCCAGCAGCGTCTCGACCACCACCGCCTCGAACGCCACCACGCCCAGCCGTATGACGGCAAAGGCCAGGTAGAAGACGTAGCACGTCGGAACGAGGAACGCGCAGAGCGTGAACAGGATCGTGCCCAGCAGCAGCTGGTCCAGCTCGTAGGTCGCATCGTCGAGTCGGCCGCCGCGCAGCGCGTTCCGCTTCTTGCCGCGGAAGAGGTCAAACAGCGACGAGAGGACGGTGACGAGGAAGCGAAAGACGCGCCGCGCGCAGCCGTGGAAGACGGTGATGTGCAGCGTCAGCAGCTGCACAGCGTCATCGAGCAAGCACAGCGACATCGTGATGCCCATCAACCGACTCGCCAGCGCCACGGCCACCACGACGCCCTCGAGGTGCGGCGCGACCGCATCCAGCACCTGGTCCCTCCAGGCGACGATGAAAGACGAGTAGGCGTCCTGGAAGAAGAGCGAGAGCTCCGTGTTGAGCTTGAGTCCGGCCGGCCAGTCGCCCAGCCAATCGAGGAGGCGCAGCACGTCGTCGACGAAGGCACGTCGCAGGCCGTACCGCAGTGCTTCGGCGATGGCGAAGCGGTGGTTGACGAGCAGCACGCTGACCGCGTAGCCCAGAATCACGTCGTTGGCAACCAGCCAGACGCTATTCCACAGGCCGATGTAGGGTGCAGAAAGGTCGCTTGTCGGTAGCACCTGACGCTTGCGCAGGCTGCGCAGGCGTGTCGCCAGCCTCGGCGCCACCAGCAGCTGCGAGAGGCGAGCATCTAGCTGCCGCGCCGAGGCCGAGATGGTGGTCAGCGTCGGCCGGTTGCCTTTGCGGAAGGGCACGGCGAGCTTGGCGTTGAGCAGGCGGTGGATGGCTTCGGCGACGGCCAGCGCAGGGCGGACCATGGCATCCAGCAACCGCATCGACGCCGTAACATCCATCGACACCGCACCAACTCCCTCGTCGTGGCGGCGGGCCAATTGCGGGCTGCGGCCCGCGCTGTTGATGCACTGGATGGCGCGGCGAAAGGCGGTCCCCTCGGGCCAGCGGCCAGAGGCCGGGTCGTCGCTGATCAGCTCCGTCCACCGGGCCGGGTCTAGCATCACGAGCTTGACCAGCCTGCGCTGCAGCGGCGTCGCGCCGTAGTGCGAGTCGCGGGCGTCGAAGAAGGCGTCTATCGTAGCGTCGTCGAGAAGCAGGGCGCCCAGTACGGCAAGCCGCGATCCGGAGACGGGACCGAGGCGGAGCGGCTCCAGGGCGAGATACTGCAGCATCTCGGCATCCGGTGCGCGGTAGTAGATGACGCTGACGGTGGTCTGCGGGTCGACGGGTGGGCACCTTGCTGAGGTGCGGTTACCGGCCATTCGGATGCTTCTGAGATGGATCGGTCGGCAGGGTGAGTGGCGCCACAGCTTGCAGGCGCCGGCGTGTCCGAACGAGCTGGGCGGCAAGTCGACCTCGAGCCATAGCTCAGTGGCGGACCGACTTGCGAGATGCGGCTGAGCCGAAGAGCCGGGCGTTGAACAAGCTCCAACAACGACTAGGTCTTCCCGACGTGATGCAGGTGAAGCTTGGTCGTACTGCTCCGACACGGTGCCGAGCACGACGACGGCGATCTCGTGAGGTGCGCCGAGCAAGATGCGACCGACGAGCAGCTGCTCGACGCGATGATGCCTGGCGCCAGGCTGCGCGTCGATCCATGCCAAGCGCTCCGGCCAGAAGATGGTGACAGCCGATGGCGTCGCCGCCAGAACTGGTGACAACAAGGCCGACTTCGCATCGGCATGGCGCGCGCTGGGTGAGGGTGAGGTACGAGGAGGTGACCGGGGCCGGTGCGGTTGCCCGTCTGCGACCGCCATCCTTCCTACCACGACCTCGAAGAAGTGCGGGATGGTTTCACGTTGGCGAGGTGGCGGCGGCGGCGGCACAGTCGATTCATCGGAAGAGAACGAGGGGCAATGAGGCGGTGAAAGGTCTTTTGGATTTCCGAGCGGGACTCCTTTGGAGACGATAGCAGCAATAGACACGAGCGGGGGAGGGGAAGGCGATTACGGAGAGGGAGCGATACGGCGAAGAACGAGGTAATGTCAGTCTTCCGCAAGTCTGATGCGCCCTTCCGAGCGCTCTCTGTCCGTGTCCGTGCCTCTCGCCAGCTGCAGCGACTCCGACGACGACGACGATGGCGGCGGCAGAAGCAGCGCCGATGCTCGGATCGTCTCAGCTTGATATTGGCAAAATTTTGTTGTCTTCGGGTTCCCCACAACGGAGACTCAGATCAGGTCTGTAATTTGTGTTCATCTTTGACGGTGCGAGCGCCATCGTCGTCGGTCGTCGGTCGTCCTGTCGCAGTGACGGATCGAGCGCGTTGCGTCGAGCCAGAATGGCACAGAGAGAGAGCGTCGCTAGTGCGGTGATGTCGCTGGTACTCACGAGTCGAGGGTTGGCTCGACCCCCGTGTGGGAGACGAGCGAAGGAAACAACGAGCCCAGCACTTGGGTCGCCGTCGGTCGGTGAAGGTGGTGGGAAGAGGGATGGCGAGGGGTCGGTGAATGGCGGGCTCGTGCGATTTTTGGTTCTTGGTCCTGGGACACAGCGGCTTCTTTTTGATTTTCCACAGCCGCGCTGGGTTTTTCTTCCCACCGCAGCTGCGGAAGCAACCAAAGCACACAGCTCGGATCCGAATTTTTCGCCGAGAGGTGCGTGTGCCGAGAAGCAAGCAAGCGGGCCTCGAGACAGCGGCTCTCATGATGCTTGCTGCTTGTTCCAGGTCCGCGCATCGACTGGCTGAGGGCTGAGCTCAACTTGGTCAAGATTTTGCAGCACACTCAGCCAGACCAAAGCAGAACACCTGCCTCTTTGCTTCCTGCTTGGCTTGACCTGGCTGAAGAACAGTGTATGTTTGAAACAGTGCCTTGAGGTCATGCTTGGCAGCATGCTGAGTGGTTTGTCAACATCACCTCTACATGCTCTTTACTGATGTTGATGTAGAAGCTGTCAGCTTCATGACCTACCAGGTGTTACTGCAGCCCCAGGCCTAACACCAGGTGACTGGCACCAAGGGGCAATGTGGTAAGGGGCATCCCACAAAGTTGACAGTTATTGGGTGAAGCATGTCATTTCTTGTGCTGGTCAAAAGGATGGTGCAGCTCACCCACCAGGATGATACAAGGCAACCTCCAGAAGGTCATGCTGTTCGACGGGACAGGCGAGTCTGGCCTGGCCAGCCAACTCATCCGTCACGCCTACCAGCAGATTGAGGAACTGAATCTGCCTGAGCGCGGCCTCGAGCGGTCCTGGTGGGGCCGCTTCGAGGTCGAGCTCATCTTGGATCACATGGCGGCCGACTTGGTCCGTGGGGGCTGTGTGGCCTTCGGCCTACAGAAGATCGCATTGCTGCAAATCGTCTTTTTGACTGGGCTCCGCATCGGAAGCCTGGTCGCGACAGACAAAAAGGACCGGTCGCGCCTCAGAATGCTCTGCTCTGATGTCTCGTTTCACAAGGAGCCTTCAGGTTACACAACAACACTCTGCATCTCGCACCTAAAGTGGTTCCAAACCCCGGACAAGCATGAAGGTACACCCCATCTTCCCGCGCCTGCTGCCTCTGTCTCTGCCCACCAACATGGGACTGGAGGTGACTCCAATCATCTTGACACTGTTCATGCACAGATGGCATCTCTGGATCAAGGATACAAACTTGATGATTGGCTCTGTTGAGGAGCTGCTTGACAGCCAAGCCCAAGTGCTTGAAGGATGTAGCAACAGCCTTCTCTCCTGCATCACTGAGCACTGCAACAGCAAGATGGAGACTGAGGCTTTCTGCCAGTGGTGCTGCAGGGTGGATGCTGAAGGAGAGGGTTGATGGCCAACCAGCTTGCCCAAGTGTGACAGGAAAGTCAATGCAGGCAAAGGTGATTGATGACCCCCTTGACATATGCAAATGCATTCAGCTTGTTCTTGGAAGTGTAAATCTTTGACGAGAAGCTGTTGCAATGAGGAGGCCGGTGGTACACGCCACCGTTGCCGAGCATGATGCCGACAACAGCAGAAGTCAACGCGTTGTTAGGGCAACCCCGAGAGGCGCCCAGCGGCGGCGTGGAGATAACTCCACACGCGCCGTACCAGGGCTCGGACCCGAGGGGCGCGACCTGCGCTGCGGTAGTGTCGACCCTACCGGCGGGGTGGATAGTGCAAGGCCGGAGTAGCTAGGTGTTTGCTTCCGGTCGTCGATTGTACTTAGTATCTATAGGATCCTACGGTACAACATCGATATCCCCTCACACGCTTACTGTCTCCCCCAACCTCTCCTGGTATGCTACGCCGCCTTAGGCCTACCTACGGTTAGCAAGACCCCTAGGGCTCAACACACGTCTCTGTTTGCAGTCGAAAAAGCCAGGGGGCAGGAAGGCAGCCTCGGACCAGTTGTACGGGGCGGCGGAGTTGATTCCTGCAAGCAGGATCTTCATGCATTGGCTGACCTTGAAGCCACCGTGCTGCCACAACAGGCCGATTTGGGAAATGAGTGAGGCCTGTTGCTGATTGACTAACAAAAAGAAGTCATGCTTGTTGATGCTGCATGCAGTCAGACCAACAATGTGCAGCACCAGTCAGACATGGTCTGGGTGTGTGTGCACACTTGCAAGACTGAAGCTGTGAGTAGCTGAAGACTGGCATGGAGTGCTGGTCAGTCAGCCAAAGCAATCAACATTGCATGGGAACTGTGGTGGGCGTGATGGCGAGTGGGAACCGGAAGGCAAGTGCAGGGCAGTGGGGTAAAGGAGCAAAAGGGGGGGCTGGTTGGGCCTGCTTGTGCGGCCCCCGCTTGCGGGCTGGAGGCAGCAGGCACGTCGGGGTGTCTGACTGTACGCCGTTGAGGCAGGCCAGGCCAGCGCCCTGCTCGACTGCTACCGCCCCTGCTCTCTCTTGCCTGCCCATCTGCTGCAGCAGCTGCCTTGCCGCCAACTTCTACAGCCAGGCTCTGTAGCTCGTACTGTATTACAAACATCGCCCGTCAACTAGATATGGCTGTGCGGGGTACGAGCAGCAGCATCCAAGGGCCGAAAAAGCGCGGCGACGTTGGAGGAGGCGTGTTGAGCACGGGCCGGCTCGTTGCGAAATTGCGCTTGCTGCAGACAAGGGTCCCACGACTCGACTGCCAACGAGGCTAGAACACGCCGCCCCAAGCCCGCACTGACATCGCAAGGTCATCGTGAGTCTTTACATCGGGTAGGTCGTGGCCGGATCACCGGCTGCTACAGGAAGGAGCGCTTGCGCTGGAGTTACAAGATCCGAGATCGTGAGAGATGAGTCGAGACGAGACGAAATGGGCCGAGTTGGGAGGGACGAGATGAGGCGCGAGGTCGGCGGCGAGGGGAAAAAAGGAGAGGCGGCGAAGCCTTCTTGGAGGCTCGCCCCGGTCTACCTATCCGACACTCCTGCTATCCATGCGTTCTACTAGCTGCGATCTTCCACCATCTACCCTTCGTGCGTGCGGAGAAAGGGGAAGAGAGAGCACGACGACAACCCGCCTAGCAAGCGGCGTTGGGGCGCGAGTTGAGGTTGTACGTGATCCAGCCGCCCCTGAGACCGCGCTGGTAGTCCCAATCGGCGGCGCGCTCCGTCTTCCAGGTCCAGTAGATCCAGCCGCTGGCGCGCTCGTAGACCGAGATCTGCGTCTCGAACATGTCGCGGAGGTAGTTCTTGTACACCTGGGAGAAGCTGGAACCGTCTCCGGTGCGCTTGGAGCAGTCGCCGATGTAGTAGCTGTCGCCTCCGTACGATCCGTCGTAGCGAGCGCCGACGAACCGACCGTTGAGCTCGCCAGCACAATCAGTCGTCGCCGTCGTCCACTCTCCGACGACGGTGTAGAGGTTTGGCTGGGAAGCCTTGAGCGAGTCGATCTTGCCGCAGATGGTGGCGAGGCGCTGGGACTTGGACATGGCGTTCTCTGCGGGGGAGAAGACGGTGTAGATGTGGGTGTCGAGGAGGACCTGCTGGTACTGGGGCGGCTGCATGAAGCCGTTCCACGACGAGAGGGGCTGGAAGGCGTCGTGGATCATGATGGCGGCGTTGCCAAAGACCTCGCGGGCGGCGTAGTAGCCGTCGATAAAGTACTGCTTCGTGTAGGGGATGATGTTGCCGCCGACGAAGCCGGCGGGCTCGTTGAGGAGCTCGATGGCGGTGACGGTGCCCGCGTACTCGCCGGCCGAGAAGCGCTTGGCGAGGACGACGATGGCGGCCTTGGCGCGGTCGGCGTTGTTCTGCGAGTTGGGCCAGCGCACGCTGCCCTTCTGTCCCGAGTTGTCGAAGCCGTTCTGCGATCCGGGAGCGCCGTGGAGGTCGATGATGACCTTGATGCCGTAGTTGCGCGCCCAGCGGACCGCGTTGGTGAGGTGCGAGAGCTGGTTGGAGCGCACGTACGGCTCGCCCTGCGACGGCACCAGCGACCAGTAGCCGATGGGGATCCTCACGTGGTTTAGGCCGGCGGCGGCAATCTGGCGGAAGTCGTCCTCGGTGATGAACGAGTTCCAGTGGTTCTGCAGGCGGCCCTCGGCGTTGCTGGCGTACTGGCCAAAGGTGTACTCGTCGATGACGCGGTTGTCGCCCGTGCTGCGCGGCGGGGAGAGGCGGGTGCCAGTGGGGAGCGTGCATCGCGTCAGCATCGGCCGCTCTTCGCACATGACCCGCCGTCGATGCCCACGATGGCCCATCCCGGCTACTCACTTGTCAAAGAGCGACGGCGTGATCCAGGGCTCGGCGACGAGCCAGCCGCCGATGTTGACGCCGCGGACCTTCTTGGAGCCGTAGTCGAAGCCCGGGTTCTGGCGGGTGTCGAGGAGGACGCGGGTGCGCTCGGGCACCGCGCCGCGCTCGTCGACCAGGTCGCCCATGAGCATACCGTCGGCGTCGGCCTGGACGACGTGGGTGTCGTTCATGCCGACGAAGCCGGCCGACGAGGCGGGTCGCGCCTGGGCGTGGTGGAAGCAGCCGAGGCCGAGACACGCGATCAACGCGGTCAGCGCCTGAGCGTGGAGCTTCATCGTGGAGAGGTTACTGTATGCGGTGTCGTAAAGGGTCGGAGATCCTCTGTAGGTCGGGGAAGGTGAAAGGGACCGGCCCTTTGAGGTGTCTAGGGGTTGGCGATGGCTTCTATTAGAGACAGTGGATGGCGAGGAGTAGGGGCCGAGGTAGGGTCGGGAGAGAAGGTGAGGTAGGGTGTGAGAAGGGGACAAGAAAGACGGGGAGCGTCGACGAGGGCGGCTCTTTATAGCCCTCTAGGTGCGTCCGGGGCAGCGCAGTTCCTCGTGGTCGTCCAGGCTGGAGGATGACGGCTAGCGCTTTGCGGGGCGCCGCCGCCTTCAGCAACGCCAGATTTGGGGGGACTAGCTGGTGCGAAGCGGTGGCGCTCGCCTTCTGCAACTTGGCGTCCCTCCTCCTTGCCTGCGTGTGCAGCAGAGCAAGGCGGCGATGTTTCAGCTCGCCCGCCCGCCCGCCCGCCCGCCTTGGCCTGAGCGAGCAGCAACGGCAGCAGCAGCAAATGGACGCATGTACCGCCGTCACGGCATCGAGCATCCGGTAGAGGCTCGCGAGGCTAGACTGTCCAAACAAGAGCGCACACTCACGCACGTCTAGATCCAGGCCGTCCGCTCTTGTTGCGATGTTCCGTGTGCTGCGTCTATGCCGGGGAGGGCGAGAGTCTATCGCTCCACGAGAGGGCCGCCAAGCAAAGGGTGGTTGATGACAGGGTAGCAAAGAAGGATCTGAGCCAGAGGCAATCGATCGCAGTCGTGGGGGACAGGTGATGGACGGGTGCTCGAGATGCCCCTGAGTCGACCTTGATGGGAGCTTATATGTCGCTCGCGAGTGCGGGTGACGGCGCGCGGCTGCCGGCAGCTGCTGAAGGGCGACCGAGTGATGGCGGGGCGACCGGCCGGTGCTTGGCCAGAGGTACGGTTCGGTACGGTACGGTAGAAGGGCGGGCTGCTTGAACGAGGCCAGCTCGCTCTAGTGTGGAGAAAGATGGGCAAGGTCGGGGAGAAAAGAGCTAAGCAAGCAGGGGTAAGGCGAAGGAGGCGAGGGGAAGGGAGAAAGGTCCGCGACAGCGACGACGACGGCGACGACTCGGGTGGCGGTCCTACATATGGAGGAGCAGGGGCTTGCATTGGCGTCGAGGCTAGCGAGGGCAGACGGCAGAAGTAAGCAAAGCGAGGCTGGGCCAAGCCCCCGTCCCCCTCGGTTGTGGTCCTGAGCCAGCCGGCTGTGTGTTTGGCCTACGCATAGAGTGGCCGACACGGTAGACCTAGCCTGCGTGCTCGTCGTTCTCGGCGAGGCTAGTCGCCGCCACCAACCAGCCTGCCTGTAGCCAGCGCACTCGCTCGCTGTCCCTCCCTTCCGCCCTAACCTGCCGTAGATCCCGAGCGCACTGGATCATACAAGAGCATCATCGATGATGTCTTGCAAGCGCGTAGCTACGTGCTTGGCCAGCCAAGGACGATACGGCGCGTCGATCTTTGAGGTGCTCCGTCGACCTGCTTGGTTGGCAGGAGGATCGAACGTCTAATTGCGGACCAGCCGTTGCCGGCAATCAGGCTGGGCGCCCGTCTGCCTGCCCCGCCCCGCCCTCATGCAAGCCTGCCTGCCGAATTGCGCTAAACAGCGGGCGCCTCGCTCGTCCTCGAATCCCTCCGCGCCGCCCCGCTCGTTCGGTATATGCCGACAGCCGAAGGGGGCGACGGTGCATCTTCGGTGCGACCAAAAGGCCAGGCCCGGCCTGGCCTGGCCTGGCTCATCCCCGCTTCCTGTGTGGGGCAAAGAGGGACCTCCCCTCCCGTGGTTCTTGCTATCGGCTAAGCACGTACCGTCGCCGTCGCGGCGGCGTGCGTACGCGCGCGTTGCTCAGCAGACCTGGCAGTTGAAACCCCAGCTAGGTAGCATCTTGGCCGACCGGGAAGCGATTCGCCCGGCTTGCGTCGCTCTTCTTGGTCAGGCCTTGCCCACGGGTCCTGCTGCCGCTCGCCTGGCTTTACGCGCGCAAGACCGGGCCAGGCTGTAGGCGAGACCAACACCATGCTGCTGCAGGCCCGGCTCAGCTCACGAGTTGGTGTCGCGAACCACACCCCGCCATGACGACGCCGCAAGCGGTAGGCAGGTAAGTGCGGTTTGTGACCTTGCCCGGTGACGCCGCTACGCCAAGAGACGGCTTCAACTTCTCCCAGGCCTCGACCAGGCCCGCGCTGAACACGCGCTCAAGAAGGTCGTCCCGTCGGCGGAGGTCCGTCCGATGGATGGGCCACGTCGATTTGCTGGAAGGGCCGCCTGCCAAGCCAGCGACGGCGTCTCAGGACGACCTCGTCCACTTTAAGGCTGTCCTCCTCTTGTTCCTCGTGATGGCATCGAGCCGGCCTCTTGGCAAAGCAACGACGAAGGAGCCACTTCGGGGCCTGGGCCAGCAAGAGCAAGGACGGGGTGTTGCAAGCCCGATGCCGCAGGGCGGTGTTGGATTATGTAAGCGTCGGGTCGTGGCTCCGGTCCCAGCTTTTTCGGGAGACGGGGTTTTTTTCAAGGCGGCCGAAGCGAGGGGCGCATGGCCTTGCCTGCCTGCGCTGTTGGGCCCTGGCTGGGCTGAGCTGGGCTGGCTCACCGTCTGGCTGGCACCGCTGCTGGCTCGCCGCGTGTTGGCCGCGGCAAAAATCTGGCAAAGCTTCGCACGGCTGCTCAGCAGCCCTTAGTCCGGTGCCATCCCGCCACCACCACCACCGCCACCGCCATTGCCATCGACGTCTCTGTTCACCTGCCACCGAGCATCTCGCAGATCCACACACCAGCCATCGCCACAGACCACCGTCCTCGAGAAAGGAGGGGCTGCAGCCTGGAACGCTCCGCATCTTAGCAGAGACCAGGAGGGGGAGGGGATCCGTGCACCATGGCCGACGTCGACCCCTTTGAGCACCTCGAGGGCGCGTCCAACTACGGCGCAGACGCCTCCGAGTATGGCTTCACCGACTCTGCCTCCGTAGTCTCGGGAGCGGACTCCAGGCTGTCCCGCAGGAACAATGGCGCAAAGTCTGGCAGGACCAGGGCGGCGGACCAGATCGACCTCGACCTGGATCTCGACCTCGACCTCGCCGCAATCAAGGATCTTCAGCTCGACGAGCACGACCTAGAACCCCACCGCCACCAGCATACCGGATCCAAGGCGGCCAAGCCGCGGAGCACCCGGGCGACCGATGGAGACGAGGTCGATGAGCTGTTCGACGGCATGCTCGACGATGGCGAGGCCGACCTGCTTCAAAACCTGCCGCCCCACGCCTGCGCCTACTGCGGTATCCACAACCCGAGCTGCGTCGTCAAGTGCCTGATCTGCAACAAGTGGTGAGTGCTCGCTAGGGATGGGCTGCACGCTTCTAGGAGACCGCCTTGAGTCGTCATCGCGGGAATCCTGGGCAGCTGATCCGAACCCACTTGCCGCGATCCTCTGCACGGGCCCATACTGCGCTCGGCAGGTTCTGCAACTCGCGAGGTTCTACCTCGGGCTCCCACATCGTCAACCACCTCGTCAGGGCCAAGCACAAGGAGGTGTGCCTGCATGCCGAGTCGCCGCTCGGAGAGACGACGCCCGAGTGCTACCAGTGCGGCGCCAAAAACGTCTTCCTGCTCGGCTTCATCCCCGCCAAGAGCGAGACGGTCGTGGTGCTCCTCTGCCGCCAGCCGTGCGCCGCCATGACCAACTCCAAGGACGTCATCTGGGACACGTCGCAGTGGTCGCCGCTGATCGAGGACCGCTGCTTCCTCACGTGGCTCGTCAAGATGCCGACCGAGCACGAGCAGATGCGCGCCCGGCCCATCACCTTCCAGCAGATCAACCGCCTCGAGGAGATGTGGAAGGAGAACGAGAACGCCACCCTCGAGGACCTCGACAAGCCCGGCGTCGACGAGGAGCCGGACGGCATTCTGCTGCGCTACGAGGACGCCTACCAGTACCAGAACATCTTTGGCCCGCTCGTCAAGATCGAGGCCGACTACGACCGCAAGCTCAAGGAGAGCCAGACGCAGTCGGACCTGGTAGTGCGCTGGGACCAGGGTCTCAACCAGAAAAAGATTGCGTGGATGACGCTCCCGAAGCTCGAGAGCGGCGAGGTGCGCCTGGCCGTCGGCGATGAGCTCAAGATCCGCTACCGCGGCGAGATGGCGCCGCCGTGGGAGGGGGTGGGCCACGTCATCAAGATCCCCAACAACGTGTCCGACGAGGTGGCCATCGAGCTGCGCCGCGCCGACGGCGTGCCCGAGCACTGCAGCCACAACTTCAGCGCCGACTTTGTGTGGAAGTCGACCAGCTTCGACCGGATGCAGAGCGCCATGAAGACGTTTGCCGTCGACGAGCAGAGCCTCAGCGGCTACATCTACCACAAGCTGCTCGGCCACGAGATCGAGAGCGCCACGCTGAGGACGGCGATGCCGAAGCGGTTCAGCGCGCCCGGCCTGCCCGAGCTCAACCACAGCCAGGTCAACGCGGTCAAAAGCGTCCTGCAGAAGCCGCTCAGCCTGATTCAGGGCCCGCCCGGCACGGGCAAGACTGTCACCAGCGCCACCATCGTCTACCAGCTGAGCAAGATGAACCCGGGCCCGGTGCTGGTGTGCGCCCCCTCGAACGTCGCCGTCGACCAGCTGACGGAAAAGATCCACGCCACTGGCCTCAAGGTGGTGCGCCTGACGGCCAAGAGCCGCGAGGCGCTCGACAGCCCCATCAGCTTCCTCACGCTGCACGAGCAGGTGGCCAACAACGACACGCACGTCGAGCTGCAGAAGCTGATCCAGCTCAAGAACGAGCAGGGCGAGCTCAGCAGCAGCGACGAGCGCAAGTACAAGGCGCTGACCCGCGCGTGCGAAAAGGAGATCCTCAACACGGCCGACGTCATCTGCTGCACGTGCGTCGGCTGCGGCGACCCGCGCCTGTCGAAGCTCAAGTTCCGCACCGTCCTCATCGACGAGGCCACACAGGCGGCCGAGCCCGAGTGCATGATCCCGCTCGTCATGGGCTGCAAGCAGGTTGTCTTCGTCGGCGACCACCTCCAGCTCGGACCCGTCATCATGAACAAGAAGGCCGCGCGCGCCGGCCTCAGCCAGAGCCTCTTCGAACGCCTGATCATGCTCGGCAACCGGCCCATCCGCCTCCAGGTGCAGTACCGCATGCACCCTTGCCTTTCCGACTTCCCCAGCAACATGTTCTACGAGGGCACGCTGCAGAACGGCGTCACGGCGCCCGAGCGGCTGCGCAAGAACGTCGACTTTCCCTGGCCCGTGCCGACGCTGCCGATGTTCTTCTTCCAGAACCTGGGCCAGGAGGAGATCTCGAGCTCCGGCACCTCGTTCCTCAACCGCACCGAGGCGTCGAGCGTCGAAAAGATCGTCACGCAGTTCTTCAAGGCCGGCGTGGTGCCGTCGCAGGTCGGCATCGTCACGCCGTACGAGGGCCAGCGCAGCTACGTCGTCAACCACATGCAGATGCACGGCAAGCTCAAGAAGGAGTTCTACAAGGAGGTCGAGGTGGCCAGCGTCGACGCCTTCCAGGGCCGAGAAAAGGACTACATCATCCTCAGCTGCGTCAGGAGCAACGAGCACCAGGGCATCGGCTTCCTCAGCGACCCGAGGCGCCTCAACGTCGCCCTCACCCGCGCCCGGTACGGCCTCGTGATTTTGGGCAACCCGAAAGTCCTCAACAAGCACCCGCTCTGGCACTACCTGCTCGTCCACTACAAGGAAAAGGGCTGCCTGGTCGAGGGCGTGCTGTCGAACCTGCAGCCGTCGATGATCCAGTTCCCGCGGCCGCGCCGTCCGCTGCAGAAGCCCGGCGACCTGATGGCGCGTCATCGGCTGGACCTCAACGACCCCGTCGGTGGCTCAGCGGCCGGCGTTGGCGCGGGCTCGGCTGGCGCGAGGAACGCAGCCGGAGCAGGGGCCACCGCCATGGGCCCTGCCGACGCGGCCTTCTTCCGCACCCACGACCCGATGTCGTACATCCCGAGCGACGCGCAGAGCGTCATCAGCATGGGTACGCAGGCTACCTACCCTTCGGTCCACCTGCCGCCGTTTGGAGGCCACTCTGCCGGACGCAACGGTGGGCTTGGCGCCGGCCTCAATGGCGCCTATGCCAGCAGCATCATGAGCCAGGATGTCGATTCAGAGAGCGTGGCCGGTAGCACTGCACCGCCCGCCAGCATCACGTACAGCCAGAGCGACCGGCTGCGTCGTCGCCTCAGCCTCAGCAGCATGGGCGGCGCCTCGGACCTGGCTAGCCTCGAGGGCTACAAGAGCCAAGGGTCGGTGCTGGACTCGCAGGACGACGACTCGCGCTCGACGATCTCGGCGGCCATCTCGCAGTCCTCGTTCACCACGTTCTAGCGGTGTTCGCCCACGAAACCGTGCACTTCCATTCCACCGAGCGCACCCGTCCCCACCTCCAGCTTCGCTCTTAGCCGCCATGGCAGCGGGAGTCCGACACTGCCTCTGGGCGACCTTTCCCCTCGCCTGCTCACAAGGCGAGGGCGTCTCGCGCAGCCTCGACGCAACCCTTCGGGCGTGCAACTTTATCCTCGCCGCCGCCGCCGCCGTCCCTGATTCGATCCGCTGCAAGCCTCGACAGGCTGCCTCGCGGTGCGCACATGATTCGGTGCCTGGCGGCGTCAGCTGCCGTGCTAGGAACCCGCTGTCGGTCCCTCCTCACGAAGGCGTACCTTCGGTACCCCCGCAAGCACAGACCCCTTGCTCGGCCCTGCATCGACCTCCTTCCATTGTCGGCGCCCATTGCTCGTTTCCCTGGGCGGTCCGTGGACGTGCCCGCGCCCCCTCGTCTGGCCGCAAGGGATGAACTTGTCGGTCGCCGAAGCTGCTCGACTTGCATGACGATGACAGTCTGACGAGCATGCGTTCTCCTATCTGCCTCGTCAGGAGATGGCATCTCCAGGGCTAGCGTACGTAGAGGCACGAAGCCTGCTGTCTGCCTAGAGAGCGCCTACGCAGCAGACGACAGCAGCAATGTATCCCAGGCGAGCTCTTATCAGGCGGCCTTGTCATCTCTGCCTACCTCTGACATGATTGCCTGCCCATCGAAGTCATCAGATTTCATCACAGTGTCATTGAGCATGAGATCGTCCGGGCTGCACCGGGCGGGAGCACCGGGCGAGTGGTAGCGTGGTGAGCATCCAAAGAAGGATGGTATTGCAAGGGGGCTCTCCCGTGTCGGCCAAAATCATGGAGCAACTCCGACCAGGGACGAGGCATGCCCCTCTGCTGGACCCCCCTTGCCGTTCATGATCATGCGACGGATCCAAAGCTGTGGTCGGGCCCGGTTGACGATCACACAAATGTTCGGGTTGCTACGATCAAGGAGCTTGACACGGCGCAGTCATTGTCGTCTGACGGTCGGTATCGGACGGCGCTGTATGACACCTACCACCAAAGGCCGCCCCTTGGGGTCTCCTTTCTTCAACCATGGCATGACGGGACGATGGCAAGACGTTGGTGACAAGCAACGACGACGACGATGATGGTGGCGGGATGAGATGTAGATCTCCATTGCGGGTGGCAGCGAGGCCGGGTTGACTGCTCAACCATGAGATCCGCGCGCGGCCTTTGCCTTTCCCCGCCCAGTCTGTTGCAACGGACCCGCACGGCTCGGCAGCCGGTCCGAAACGCCACGGTCTACGCCCGCACATCGACCGGAGTTTCGGATGGAGCGACGAGCAGACCAGGCTAGGCAGGGGCTCCCAGGCTCGCATGAAACCAGGAGGTGCATGGCTCAGAGCCTCCGGCCTCAGCAAGCAAGGAGGAGGTAGGGGACAGAGCCTGAGACACCGACCGACCTTCGCACGCCCCCTTTCGCCCGCCGCCCTCGACTGGCGACCTACTGCATGTAGTCAAAGAGCGTCTACCTCCTCCATATCCTCTCGCCTTTCGCCGGTCAGGAATGGCCCACGGCTGTTTGTCCTCTTCCCCGCAGTGGGAGGTGCCAAGACCATCGATATTCTTGTCAAGAGAGCCAGCGCTGCCGGGCGGCGATGGCTGATGCCGGGCGCACCTCGTCCACGCTCCATTCAGTCGGTCGGAGGAGCCGCCACGATGACCGGCGAGGCCGTCGGAGGACCCGGTCGAGAGACTTCTTGCCAGAGCTCAAGCGAGGACGCTCGCAGATGCTGATTTCGATCGGCGTGCGGCTGCTGCCAGCCGGCCTGGCCTGGCCTCACCTCGCCTCGCCTCGCCTCGACCTTCCTCCAGTTCCTTGTCCCTCTTTCTTCCGGCCTCAACAACGGTCGAGGATAGGGGGTGCCGCATCTGCACCAGGCGAATACCGGTACCAAAGATGAACGGAGGTCGCCTTGCTTGGATGTTGACCTGCCAGCCTGTACGCTGGCACGCCATTTGCCTTTCCACCAGCAGCCTCTCTTTCACCAGACACCGCACTCTCTAGCGAGACGGGTCAAATGTAGCCGCGGCAGGCGTTGACAAGCTGCGCCCGGCCCACTAAGGCTACGTGCGTGTGTAGGCTGCGTGTGGCTGGCTGCGCTGCGCAGTCAGGCAGGCAGGCGGGCGGGTTAGACGATGCGCGCTGCCATGTGCTCCAGTCGAGAAGAGCAGCGCGCTCGTCAGGCTGGCCTGCCTGTATCGGTACTGTATGTAGCTCGCACACCGTCGCCGGCCATCACCGGCAGGGGTGAGGCGAGCGCATGAGCTGGCCTCGAGATCCTGTCGCTTGGGGCGGCGTGCAGGAGAGCATGAGAGCTGTCTTTCCCAAGCTCCTGCTTGACCCTTTGTCGCCCGACGCCCATGACCTCTGGACCTGCTCGTTCTCAAGGCAGGACGAGATGCAATGGCCATCACGGCTCGCTTGCTGGAACGACGAAGACTTCTGGCCGCCTTTGATCCTCAGTTGAATGGTGTCACGGCATCAGCTTGGTCTCCCTTGTGAAGAGAGCGGAGGAGAACCCGCCCGGCAACGCTGAGTCCTGTCCGCATCGCATTCGGTGGCTCTCTTTTCAACGGTCGCAGTGTAGTCTAGACTACCGCCTCGCCCCCCGGAGGGAGGGGGCCACCTTGGTCGCTGCAAAAAGCCAATTTGTCCATTTCGCTACGCAACGAATGAAAGTCTTATCGAAGCAGGCCGCCCTGATGAACAGCTCCGTCCCTCTGTCCCGGGACGGTTCGGGAACATGGGGTCTGTAGCCTCGGACGTTCCTTGAACGAGCAACGTAACCGTATGTCAAAGGTGGCACTCCCCACTACTGTAGCGCGACAGCTCGCGATCCACGGCCGCGCGATGCTGGAAGTGAATATCCTGCCCTGTCTCTGGCCTGGCGACTGATCATCGCCGCAGCTCCCGGCTCTATTTTAGCGAGACAGGGCAGCCAGCGACGCCGTGAACTTTCGAAGAAGGAGCCATGCCACAGGCAGGCCAAATTACGCGGGCCTGAGGCTGCCAGCAGGCAAAAGGAAGAAAGCTAAGGCTACGGCGCACGTGCGTACTGCTGTCGCCCTCTTGAGACAGCTGCTGCTGCTGCTGTCGGTACACATGGCAGTCGCCTCGACGAGGGAAATCCGACCTGGATCAGGCCTGGCAAGCCGGCCAGCACGACGTCGGGCGCTCCGTGTCTAGCAGGGGAACGGGGCACGCGATGCGGTCAAGAAGGCAAGGGCCGCTGTGTCTGACACCGACCTCGTACCGTCGCCGGCTCTTCCGCCGCCCTCGGAGCCCACGTTACGCCCTGGCTGTCTGTCTTCCCAAAGGGGTAGGGTCAGTTTGCCTGCCTGCCCCGTCGTCGCGCCGGCCCGATTGGGTGGGAGTTGAGAGCACAGACAGAAAGTGCAGGCCAAACACCTCGAGGCAGGCTTTCGGGATGGTCCCTCGCTCGCTTCGACGATGGCTCGCTGTGGCGAGCTGCAGCACCGCATCCCTGCCTGCGCTTCGCGCCAAATCGAGGGTACCGCCATTGTCCAGCGGCTTGCCTGCCTTCTCAGGCAACCAGGCCCGACGTCCGACGTCCGAATGCTCGACCCGCTTCCCGTCCCCTTCTGGTCTGAACGGGGGACCCCCCCTTCGGACAGGATCCGCTGAGAACCTTGACCGCCCCTCCTTGCTCTTCGCCATCACCACCCTCCTCGACTCCAACGTTCCTTCTCCGCCCCTGCTTGGCTGCCAGCCTCGCGCTCGGATCAGACTTCTGCCACCTGCTTCGAGCTCTCGACAGTCTCAACCCACCTTCGCTGCCGCCATTCGTATACCCGCTGCCACCATCTCGCTGCACTCTGCCCTCTGCTTCGTCGCCGCTGCGCTGCACCTGCTCATTTCGCACTACACCACCTAGACCGGCGCAGGTGCTCAGTCTCGATCTCGCTGCTCGGCGATACAGCCGATAATCCAGCCCAGCTCACGCTCTAGCCTCACCAGGGCGCGGGCCGCCCTGATAGTGCCATCTTCGACAAACGGGCTGCCCCCTGAACCGCCCCGATTTTCCGCGTCTGACACACACGGGATGCTCCTCGGCCAGCCGTCACCAAGGCCCACTTTTCGAGCAGCTCGTGCCTCTCTTTGAAGACCAGACGCTTTCCTGGCACTCGGCCTCCGCGACGTCGACTCGTGAAGACTGGCCGAGCAGCTACCTTTAGCACCCCACCGCGTCTTGTCGATCTTCTTGCTTTGCCGACCACCGCCATTCGACTTCCTGCTGCTTGACGGTCCGACAGCACGCCGGCTTCTGCTTACCTGCCGTGAAGGCCGCGGCCTTTCACGATGTTTTCGCAGTGGCGCGGCAAGCGTCACTACCCGTTCAACGATGCAGACACGGCCGCATCAGCCATCGGCGACGCCAACGCCGTTGGAAGGAGCTCTTCCCGGCTCGCCAACCCCAAGCATGCCCTGCGGATCAACGCGGCCATGAGCGGTCTCCGTACAAAGGCAATCGTCAGGCCCGCCAGCCGCGGCCGCGGGCCTCGCGACGGCAGCACCTCCAGCCAATCCGACTACGACTTTGCAGCAGGCCCACGATCCGGCAGCCGCGGTGCAAAGAGCCTCGAGTTCGGCAGCGGCGTCGTTCCAGAGCCCCGCAGCGGGGACGATGACACATATGCCGACTTCCGTTCCGCGCCAGTCTCGCTAGACGCGGGCCCCTCTGCACCACCACTACTGGAGCCGCCATCTCCTAGGACGGTCATTGCCTCCGGACCCTCGTCTCCCCGACGCCCACCTCTGCAGACGTCCAAGTCGTACAGCGGGCCTCTCACGTCGAGCTCTTCTCCGCAGCTTTCGCTGGCCGAAGACGATACCTTCAGCTTGGGCGACTTCGACGACTTCCGCGCCATCCTCGCCCTCGCGACGTCACCGTTGAGCGATGATATCTCCAGCAGCCCCAGCGGCTGGACCGAAGCCTCGAACCTCACCACCCCCGAGACCGGCTCATCTTGGTCACCCCGAGGCAAGCTCACAGGCAACCCTGCCGCGCAGCCTCATCGCGCAGTAGCGCATGCCCAGAGCAACCTCGTGTCGAGCCTCGCCAACAGCGCCGGATCCGGGGTGGGAGGACACCGCAAGAAGCTCTCGCTTGCCGACGCCATGGCTATATTCGGCCAGATGTCTCCGGCCACTTCCTCGGACGGAGATGCCGGCGCCGCCTCGGGGCCCTTGCCGAGCCGGGTCAGGGAGCTCTCTCACGGCCGCGCAGATAGCGTATTGAGCTTCCCGGAGACGGTCTCTGGGCCATCTTCGACCGACACCGAATGGAGGGAGTTCAATAGGCGCCCGACGAACTCGGAAACTTCTCTGCACGGCGCAGGCTCGGCGGGCCCCTCGAACGGCGCGCCGCTACACGGTGCGAGGCTCATCGATCCGCAGGAGAGGCACGGCCTCGGCATCTTTGGATCGGGTGAAGAGTCCCACTTTGAGGGGTCAGAGGCGTCTAGCCGCTCGTCGCGGATCAAGACGTCTTCGATGAGCGGCAGCAGCTTCACCGCGAGCTCGCACAGAAAGTCGGAGAGCTACCACTCTACGCAGAGCTCGACGGACAGCTGGGCACGGTCGTCCCGCCCCGTCGAGATCGACCGACAGTCGATCGACAGTGCCGACGATCGCGACAGCGCACCGAACCGCCGCACAGCTGGCCGCATGGTCTTCAGCGACAGCGATCACAGCGTCAGCACAGCCGAGACCAGCACCGATCCGCACGACCTTGGACCTCTGAGCACCATAGCCGAGAAGGTCGAGGAGCATCAACCCGAGCCTCGCCAGTCTGCCTCGGGCGTCTGCGGTCGGGCAGGCGTTGAGGTCCCATCGACCCTCATCGAGGCGCATGCAATGCCTGATGGACAAAGTGCACGGCCGATGGACGCTGCGTCTTCGTCGATGCCGCCCCAGAGTCCCTCGAGCGCTTCGGGAACCCGCGCATCTCCCGCAGTCAGCAGAAAGACCTCGTTCGGCGTCCTCGCTCTTGCCACGCCAACCTTTGGCAGTGCGCCGGAGCAGCGCGGGCGAAGCAAGGGCCACCAGGCTTCCGCAAGCGCCAGCGGAGCATCGGTTTCAAACGGCACCGAGTCATCATCGACGCCGACGGCATCTGCCTTTGGGCCAGGTACTCCCACAAAGCATGCTCGGAACACGAGCGGTCCCGATAGCCGTCGGCGGCCGTCTGCACCTTCGCTGCTTGAGACTGCTCCCATCAGCGCGAAGTCATATCCAGGGCCAGAATCGAGCAGCTTGACTGCACCGATGCCTTCGGCGCCCTTCCCAGGCTCCTTCCTCTCGACCCCGGATGCGATCGGCGGATCAGGCTTCGCATCCCTGCCTGCTTCGCCGCTGACTGATGGCGGCCCGGGCCAGACAAAACAGGGGATACGCCGAAAGGCACGACCAGCGGCGCTGACCCTCAGCAAGTCGGCCACCAACCTGAGCGCTCCCTTTTCTGCGTCGGCCCTGTCGCCCGGCGGCGCTCTGCGCGGCGCACCGAGCCCGACTCGGAGCAGGGCACCGCCGCCTTCCGCTCCGCCTCCCGACGAACCGTTACCGCCTCTGCCGCCGACGCCCTCGTTGATCTGTCCGAAAAGCCCGCTCATCCTCAGTCGCAAGTCGAGCGCAGCCAACCTTGCCCGCGCGGCATCCGAGGCGCCTCCGACACCGACCCTACCTCGGAGCACCCCAAGGACGCCCGCTCTCTCGTCCTTTTCATCCCAAGCGCCGAGCGCTGCGAGTCCGCTGCCTAAGGACAAGCCCTTCTCCTTTCCTACGGTCGCGCCCGACCATGTCTCGAGCAAGCGTGGCGACGACACCTTGCCATCGCACTCGCTCGTGCGAAAAGCGGAGGCGCCGAAGCAGGGCGCGTACGGCGACGTCGGCCTCGATTCGCGGCGCCCAAGCCTCTTGGACGCCCAGGTTTGCGGCGTCGGCTACTCATCTTCGACGGAAGAGCTGGACGACAGCAGCGCTTTCCCAGGCCCCCGACGCCTTGACGGCGCGGGTGTCGCTCGAGGTGTGCCTGATGCAGCGCCCTCCCCGACAGCCTCGACTGTCGATCGGGGCAGCATGATCTCTGTCGATTCGGGCGAGGGCACGTGCGATGACGATGCACAGCTCGCCGTCGCCACGACTCTGACTCGCGTCCCTTCGACGGCCGTGCGCATGACTGTCTATCGTGGCAATGCAAGGGTCAGGACCCCGAGCGCCGCCGCTGCCGCCGCCCCGGAAATGGTCACCTCTGCGCTCCCCGTCGAGCGTGCTCAAAGCGTAGGCGGACCAGCCTCACCTCTCCGTCCCGCAACGGCACCAGCACAAGCGCCAGCACCAGCTGAGACATCGAAACCCGCATCGGCAACTGCTTCGGCAGTCTCGGCCGTGCCCATAAGCACTGTCCAGCGCATGGCGGCCCAATTCGAGGGGAAAGCGGTCAAGCAGGGACCGGGCGAGCCCATGCGGGTCGTTGCGCCTGCCCCTGCGCCGTTCAATGGCCGTCAGCAGACGGCACCGCCCTCGGCCTGGACCAGGCGCTTCGCCGAGCCTTCCTCGCACGCTGCCACCGCGAGCATTGACAGTTCGGTGGCGGGCGAGCACGGTGGGGGCATGAGAGCTGCCACCGAAGGCGGGCACGAGCGGCTGACTGAGAGCGCTCTCGAGATGCGCAGCGGTCTGCCGCGTCGAGCGAGCTTCAGCAGCATGCGCGCTCGACGCCTCGAGATGCTCAAGGACAAGGCCGACTTTGCCGCAGCGGTCAACGACGAAGCCAAAGCTCGCATCCTCAAACGGACCGAGGGGAGGTTTACCGATGCGTTTGGAGGTAAGTCGCCCTGCCTCGCCATACTCGTCTCGTCGTCCGTCCGTCGCTGACCCGCAGTGCTTTGCCTTCCTTGCACCGCCGCAGAGGTCGCCTTTGCCTTCAAGCAACTGCTGGCCGAGAAACGCATGCTCGAGCAGCTCGTCCGGGACATCACGCCCCTCGATGGACTAGGCGAGAACGGCCAAGGGCTGGCGGACTACATCGTCGGACTGAACGAGCGTCTCGACAACAACACCGCCGAGATTCGCAAGCTACTCGACCTCCTCGACCAGCAACGCATCATCATTGACAAGATGCTCGACACGCACCGCGCCGAGGTCGGATCCTACCTCGATGAGATCGACAGTCTCCAGCACCACCTCGAGACGGCAATCCACGATGGCGAGGTTCACAGATCGAACGCGATCCGGCTGCACGAGGAGCTCGACCGAGCTCACCAGGAGCTCGTCTCGGCCAAGGCCGAAGCGCTCAAAGCGCGCAACGGCCTCCACGACGAGGGTACGAAGCGCGAAAAGGCCAGCGCACAGCTGAGAAGCGTGCGCGAGAAGCTCCATACGACCGAGGCCGAGCTGGCTTCTCGGACCCATGCGCTCAACGCGCTCCGGTCGGAGCGCGCCAAGGACAACGAGGCGCTCGAGGCCGAGGTCGGGCTGCTGCGCGAGACGCTGGCCAAGGCGGGCATCCGGCCACCCCAGATGCGTAATGCGTCGCCGGGGCCTCACACGCGACGAAACACCTCGCCAGACCCGGGCAAGCATGGCGAGATCAGCGTCGAAGGCCTCGCACAGCGCGAACAAGCTGCACGTGCCCGTGGCAGCCCTGGGCACGTCAGCTGCGACGACGATGCCGACATCGAGGCCAGAGGACCGTCCGGCTCGGGGCGAGGCTCGCTCGATAAGGTGACCGACGATGCCGAGGGCCATGCGGTCGGGACTTTGCGCGCCGCTGAGGAGACGGAACTGCTCGCGCAGCTGCGACGGGAGAATGCCGAGCTCAAGAAGTCGCTGGTGGGCAAGGAGGCCGAGCTGGTCCAGGCGCGGCTGGGCAGCGCCGATGGGGCCGTGGGCGAGTGGTCGGACGATGCGTCGAGCAGCAAGCCGGCCTCGGAGACGGCATCGGACGCCTCGTCGCTGACGGAGCTCAAGCGGCTGCGCGCCCAGCTGGCCGAGCAGCGCAACCGAGAGTCGCAGATCCGCACCGCCTACAAGATCCTGCGCGAGGAGCTGCGCAAGACCCAGACGGGCTTCCAGAGCGAGCGCCGCCGCAACTCGGGCTTCAGCCTGACGGGCCACGGCGGCCTGCCCCCCTCGGCCTCGTCGGGCATCACCACGTTCGGATCGCTGCACACCGACGACGACCCTTCCGTTGCCGTGGCCGGCAGTGGCGAGCCGAGCAGTCCGGCCGAGAAGCGGCGCAGCCTCTCGTCGGTCCAGCTCAAGCGGCTCAGCCTGCCGCTCAACGTCGATCCGTTCGGCCCGCGTTCGGCCATGGCGTCGGCGGAACCCTCGCCGTCGACCGCCGCATCATCCTATTCGGGCCTCAACACGCCCCAGTCGGCCGGATACCGGCCCAGCAGCGTCTACGGAGTCTCTGGGCTGGCGGGCAAGCGAGCCGGAGGCACGTTCCGCGTCGGGCTGCCCGTCTTCCCCTCTTCGCCGCACGACCCGCTCTCGCAGTCCAAGAGCCTCGACTTTTGAAAGGACGAGGCCTCGCTTCTCATCCCTCCTCGCTTTCGACTCCCTTGCAACTTCGCATGCGTGACCGACCTGTCCGCCCCCCCACCCTTTCCTCGCTCGCCTCGCTCTGCCTACCTTGCACTTTCCCTTTCTGGCCTGCTCATCAGCCTCGTCGCTCCATTCGTTGCTCTTTGCCGTCGCCATCGCAACCATCGCTGGGCTCGACGATGCCGTCTCGTGACGGCATCCCGTCGGCCCGCTGCATACGCATCCACCTCTTTCCAGTGTGGTCGGGCTGTGTGCCGTCGTGTGTGCCGGAGGATGCGATTGGTGTGCAAGGCAGGTGGTCGTGCATGGGTGCGCGTGCGGGTGGCAACGAACGGGCCTAGTCGTACAAGAATGGTGCGGGCGCAAGATGGTGTGAGCTTCGACGGAAGGGTGGAACGGGGGGGGCCGAGAGGTGAGTCGGGCCGGGCTAGGCTGGAACCCGGTGCTAGACGGGCGCCGGTTCGACCGGTTCGTGTGGGTCGGGAGGCGGTGTGGTACGGTCGGATGGTGAGGCAGGTCGCGCGGACGGCGAGGTCGGTTGGGCGGCCGCTCGCTGCTCTTGCTGCTGCTGCTGCATCGCTTCCGCCACCTCGGGTGCCGCGGCCGTCACTCCGGTACCATCGTCTACGCCCGCTGCGAGGGCCGCCGCCGACGGGGCTCGGGCATCCGACGCGTTCGGAACAGGCTCGCCCTCCGCCCTCGGCTTCGATTCTGCATCCGCCGCCGCAGCAGCAGCGGCAGCCGTCGCCGTCGCGGGCGCACTCTCGATTGGCTTCTTCTTCTTCTTGCCGAGGCCCGCGCCGATATGCAGGTTGCTCGCCAGCGCCTTTGCCTTTTCTGCGGGTCCGTAGCCGAATCCGAGGTGCACCTGGGCCTTGCTCGCGGCGTCCTTCTGGTGGAGCGCCGTCGACCCCTCGTCTGATAGGCCCGAGTACATGAGGTACATCATGCTGCCCCACTCGAGGATCTTCTGGTTGAGCCAGGGCAGCGAGACGGGCTTGTTGAGGAAGTCGTTGCATCCCGCCGCCAGCGCCTCGACCCGGTCCGACGAAAGCACCGAGGCGGTGAGCGCGACAATGATGACCTGCGCGCGGAACGGCGACGGGTTGAGCGGAGCAGGGACCAGGCCCTTGCGTGACGAACCCGACGAGGCGGTGGACCCGGAATGCACGCTGCTCGCCGGCGGCGTGTTCGGGAGGATGCCGATGTTGGCCGATCGCTCCAGCTTGCGGATCTCCTTTGTCGCTTCGATGCCGTCCATGACGGGGAGCTGGATGTCCATCTGCTCGCCGATGGGGGAAGAAGGTGAAGGCCAAAAGAACAGTGAGCTCGTCTGCGGAGCCAAGGCAATGCAAGGGCGGCACCTGTCCCCACTCACCAGGATCAAGTGGAAGCCGCCCGTCTGCCACTTCTCTACCGCCTCTCGACCGTTGGTCGCCACGTCGTACTTGATCTTCTGCCTGCTCATGAACATGGACAGAATCCTCTGGTTGATAGGGTTGTCTATTGGAACGTGCGTCAAGGTTGGGGTAAGTCAGTGAATCGGGCGGAAGTGCGACCGATCAGCGCATCGAGAAAGCATATTGTCGGGCAAACGTACCTTCGACGATCAGAACCTTGATCGGCGGCAAGACTGCCTCTCTGACGGGCGCCTTTTTCGGTCCAGTCCCTCGGCGGGCCGTTGGAGCAAAGCCCATGCCAATCATGAAGCCGCTTTGCGGCTGCGCGCTCGGCCGCTTGGTGTCCGCAGGCGAAGTGGCGGCTGCGAACGTCTGCCGCGCCATGAGCTTGTTGGCGACCGTGCGCGAGGCCCCGCCATTGGCACCAGTGCCAACGACGGGCGAGGCTGGCGCCGACACGTCCGAGCGGGACGAGGCCTTGGCTGGCGGCGTGGCCTGTGCGACCTTCAGCGCTGGCGGGCCACCCTTCGACGAGGAGCTCTTGACAATCTTCTTACGAGGCGGTGTGCCGGTTGTCGAGACTGGCGACGGCGCCGCCTGTTTCGTTGCCGGCGAACGCTTCGAAGTACCGGACTTGGCCGACGTCTCGCTCTTGGTCGTGGTCGAGGGCTTCCGGGCCTGTCTTGAAGGCGGGGGCGCAGCAGCGGCCTCCTGCCGATCGGTTCCGGAGGCCATGTCCGCAGACGTCTTTGCGAGGCCCGGCGTCCATTGAACGTCAGTCGTGCCGGAGCCGCCCGGCACAACCGACGAATTGCTGTTCAGCGGTGTGGCCATGGGAGGCCGCGAACCGCTGAGGACGCTTTGGATGCCGACCTGAGGGGCAAAGATACTTCCTGCTGGATAGCGAGAGCTGGACGCCGACGACTGCGTCGAATCGATCAAGCCCGACGACTTTGAGGATCGCGAGGTGGCAGCACGGGGCCGGGTAGTGGCAGCTCCGGAGGATACATCCGCCTCGCCCGTCATCCTCGACAGGCCCGATATGCCGGCAGACATGGAGCGAGGCAGGCCGTCCTTCTGCCCCGCAGCGCGCCCAGACACAGAGGCCTCTGACCCTGCTTTCGAGACGTGTGCTCCGCCAGAGAGTGACGCTGGCTTGGTCGAGCTGTTGGTGCGACGGAAGGAGCCGGGCGTCGAGGCTCCGTAGGACGAGACTGAGCTGCTCGATTTGGGCTGGAAGAAGATGCCGGCCGGCCGACCGTCCGGGCTCTGGATGACCATGCCGCTAGCACCACTGCCACCCATCTTGGCGGCGGTCTCGCTGAAGTATTCGAGCGCGTCTGGAGGCAGCGGACTGTGCGGGAGGCTGCTCTTCTGAAACCGTGCCGTATGGTTCGAGGCATTGGAGCCCGGTGCAGAGACCGACGTTGATGCCGGAGCGGGTCGGGACGAGTCCGCCTCCGTCTTTGTGCTGCGCGACGCTGTCCCTGGTGCCGAGGACGAGGAACGAGTCCCGGACCGCGAGTCCCTCGGCACGGTTTCCAGCTTCGACCCCAGTTGCTCCGAGGGTAAGGCTGTCCCCTGGCTCAGATTGCGGCCGCTACCGCCCGGATCCGGTGTTTCGCTCTCGCGACCCGCAGGCACGGCGTCTTCCAGATGGGCATCGAGAAAGGGCGTCGAATCGAGCTCGCCCGAGCGAAAAGAAGGCGCCGGTGACCAAAGGTTGGAGGGGCTCTGAAGGTCGCTCTGCTGCCGCGCTAGCGTCATCAAGTTGCCGTTCCCTGCGCCATCCGAGTCCCACCACGAGGACCTGCCCCGAACAAAGGAAGGCGAGATCGGGCTGGTGGCGATCGGCAGGAACGGAGCGTCGACCATCGGTTTGTGCTCGGCAGCGTACAGCGCGGTGAGGATCCGTCGAAGACCGGCCGGCTTCGGTAGCACCATGACTTCTGGGGGCGGAGCGCCACCCGAGAAGCTCGCCGAGTCGATGATGGGCTGGACCGTGTCGCGGACGAGCCGATAGGATCTGAGGCTGGTGAAGAAGATGATGACCTGCGAGACGCTTTCCTCGTTGCTTCCCATCGAGGCTGCGACCGATCCGAGCGAGGGCACGCTCATCGGATGCTGGGCCTTGACGCGCTCAACCTGCGGACTTGACTTTGTTCGATGGTCAAGTGCTGGACGGCTAGGCCTGCTCGCCTGACGGCTGGCGTTGAGCGAGGAGCGCAGCATCGGGACGGCGGAGCGCAGCCGCAGCAGCTCCCTCTGCAACGTCACGATGTCGTCGTCGATGATGACAAAGTTGAAGGGCTCCACTCGAGATATCGGTGGCCCTTCCGATATGCTTGGTCTGCCGGAAGAGTTCGGCCCCGACTGTGCGTCGCTCGCAGTGGCCCGGAAAGCTGCGGGAAGCCGGTTGACGAATGTGACAGGAACGCCAGTCACCGGATCCAGCACGGCTGTGTCGTCAGGCAAAGGTGTCTCCGACTGCAGGGAACCTCTTCCCCCAGCATTGGCGGCCCCGCTGCTCGCGCCGATGTCGTCGAGGTCGCTCTTGTAGCTGACGAGGGCCGGTCGTCCGTTGGTCAGCGCGACCGCAGTCTTGACCTGTGGACCGGGCAGGCCCTCACTCTCCCCCGGCGAGCCGAGGTTCTGGGTGTTCAAGCCGACATAGGAGACCTGACAGCCCAGCGTCGATAGCAAGCCCGTCAGCTGGCTTGCAAAGGGGCTGTTGCGCTGGGCGTGGAAAGCGACCTTGTGTCCCGACAAGTCCTTGGCGAAATCGAGCAGCTCCTGTGTCGTCGGCGCGCTGACGCTCTGTCTTGCCTGATCGTCTGTGTCCGCCATCGAAGGCGACGGTGGGGGCGCGCCTTGGCCGCCAGATATCGAAATCTCGTGCCGCAGACTGGTCGTAGCCCGTGGGACGGGCATAGCGGGACCGGTGGTCCGGATCGCCGATCGGAATTCGGTCTGCAGGCTTCCGCCCACATTGTCCACGAGAGCGGCGATGAACTCGTCCTTGAGAGCGTCTCGCTGCTCGTCGTCGATATCGGCCTCCATCGGCGGCGTCAGGGTGAAGCTGACGGTGGAGCGTACGAGGGGCACCTCGGGCTGTCCGTCCTGCTTCGGCACGGTCCCTTCGAGGCGCTGAAGATTGAAGTCGATCTCCAGCGTCGAATGCGGAGCGGCGGACTGGATGACGTTGGCCAAACACGACATGAAGAGGAACTTGGTGGCGTCCGGCTCCGACCAGATGCAGCATTCGAGCATCGAATCGAGCGATGCTGAGTCCGACGCCGCCTTTGCGTCTGGCTGCAGGCCGATCACCAGATCAACGCCCTTAGCAGCAGCGATACCGCCGACCAGGTCTGCCACCTTCTGCATCATGGCAGCAAGGTCAAAGTCCCGGTTGGTGAGAGGCATGTCGTATGGTGACTTCCCTCCGCCGACCGAGGACCGCCGAGTGAGCACACTCTCTCCGAGGGTGTCCCCCACGAGATTCAGGGTTCGCTTGCTGACCCAGTCGAGAGCCTGGCAGGCTTCGAGCAGTGCGCCGAGGCTGGCCACGGGGACCTGCATGGCGCTGGCACTAAGGGATTCAGGTGCCGGGGACTCGAGCAGCGGATGGGGTATCAAGGATCGCAGCAAGTTCAGCGGGATCTGAACCGTCTGCGCTAGGGCCGCGGGAAGGAAGCTGATGTGCGACATTCCCAGCTCTGCCTCTGGCGTAGCTGGACGGTGAGTCCATGTCGTCGAGGATCGCTTGATGCCCGGCCGCTCCGGAGCCAGTTGGGATGTGTCCGCAGAGGTCCAAGAGCGAGTAAGCTTAGCGGGAGGAGCGGCGGTCGGGGCGTTGTCGTCGAAGCCGGAGCTGCCATCGCCGGTGGCGGGCGGCGACGTGAAGAGCGACTGCTGCGGCTGTCTCGCCATACTGGCGAGGCTTGGATCCGCATCTGCCGTCTCAAGGTCCACCTCGTTGGGGTCGGCCTCGCATGATTGCTCGACGTCGTTCCGTGGGTCGGCCACCTCTGTCTCGTCTGGCGACGTAGAGGGAGCGCCAAGCGGCGGCGTCGGCCACTGAAAGGCAGCTTCGGGACCCTGCGATTCGGAGCTTGGCGGTCGCCCCCGCTCGAGGTGCTCGAGCTGCTGCTGGTTGAGCGGTCGCCCGGCCCTCTCGACGCTGTCAGAGCTAAAGGTGAGGTCGGACGACTCGTTGTGAGCAGACTCGGGGTTGGAGCCCTGGGGTTGACTCGACATGGCGGTCACTTGGGCGGGGGGTGGTGGTGTGTGTACGGAGGCATCGGTCGTGGTGTCGGCGTCCCGGACGAGGTGGTGGCAGTCTGTGCAGAGAAAGAGGCCCGTGGCGCGAGTGGCAAAGCGAAAGGCGCGGGCAGGCAGGGAGAGCAGTCGCGGCCACGTCTTGAAATGCGCTTCCAGAGAGGAGCTGCAAGAACCCGATCCGAGTGACCGAGAGCGCTGGTGGTGTGAGCTCGGTACGGCGTGGCTGGTTGCGATGACAGCGTCGGGGCAGGAGTGCTATCTCGAAGCAGGAGCGAACACTCGAAAAGGTGCGGCCAAAAGGATCGAGAAGAGGGGAAGGAGTGCGAAGCAGGGCAGGTCGAGGCTCTGAAGGCAGCAGGACAAGTGGGCCCGGCGGAGGTGAGGAGAGGTGCGGGGCCACCAAAGGCCAGGCGCGCGTCATTTTGCCGATTCCTCAGTCACGGCGGCGGCAGGAAGGCCCCCGCCCCGCCACGCCCAACGGAGCTTGCACCTTGCCCCCGATTCGGAACTTTTGTCCCCGACCGGCCTCGAAATCGGGCTTCGGCACCCCGGTGCATTCTGGCGCTGGCAGCTACCGGTAACCACCACCACCGCCCGACGGGAGATGTTAGGACTCTGCTGATTGCTCTGCAGCATCGCTGTCTCCGGTCCATTCGCGAGTCCACTACAGGTGCATGTGCATGCGCATTGCCTTCGGCCGCCAATCCTCTACGGCGACGCAACGTTGCTCTCAATCTCGCCGTCAGAGTCGTGGCTCGCGCCCGACGGCGAGAGCAGCGGGACCGTCTCGCCGCTGTCAGTCACAACGAGGAAGCGGATCACCTCAAACGACTTGCTCTGGTCGCGTCGGATCGACGTGAAGTAGGCCGTTCCCTTGTCTGCGGGAGATGCCGTAGCAGAGGATTTAGACGTCGGGACAAGGTGTCAGGGCGGCGGGTCGTTCATCTCCATGTCCCAGAGCATGGCTCTCGGCTCACCTTTCGGGCCCTGCAGCCTGAAACTCATGTCGACCCTCCCCTGCATCATGTTGACCTGTTGGCAGCCGCCGGCAAGAGGTCCATCAGATTGTCGGCTCTACAGCACGAGAGCGCCTTCCGTGGCCTCGCAGAGCCAGACTCACCGAACCCGAGACCCAGGGGTCGCCAAAAGTGCTGGGCACGAGCATGATGGGATCGCCCAGCGCCCGCTGCACCTCGGCCGAGTCCTTGAGCTGTACCAGCGCCGACTTGAACACGGAGGAGCTCAGCCTCTCCTTGTTGGTGGCAAACGACGCAAACGCGGACCATGACCCCAGAGCGATCAGCGCCGCCAGGATGAAGACGGGTTTTCGGTTCTGCAAGAGGAGAGGAGAAAAGAGCGCAATCAGCCGGGGCCGCAACAGGAGCTACGATCGTGGGGCGTAGATGGAGCATGCGCGCTGAAGTACGCACAGGAACGTTGGGCAGTTCGGCCTTGACGCGGGCCTGAGGTCGAGTCGGGTTGAGGTTGCTCGAGGTGGCATACGTCCTGAACGACACGGGGCGGGTCCTCGGGCTCCTTGCGAGGGCTGCTTTGCCAGTCGACGCTCAAACAGACACCTGATCAGCGCGGCTTTCTAGCAAGCAGACGCCTTCCTCGCCATCAAAAGCGTCGGTGCGCACCTCTCGATCCAAAGAGCGCGGGCCCGTTCAGCATCCCTCGACCGACTGCGGAGAGGGGCGCGCTGGCGGTACGTGCTGAAAGCATGCTGGGCAGCCTTCTTCCTGGTGGTCTGATGCGAAGCTTCCACCCGTTTTGATGACCGTCGATCTGATCTGCCAGGCCGTGGTGTGGGACGAATCGAGTGGCTCTGCTGCTCTGACGATGAAGCTCGGGAAGACGATAGAGGGCCTCGAGTTCGGAAGGTGTTGGGGGAACGGGAAGCCAAGCAAGCAGGCCGCGCCTTTTCTGCCAACGGGCGAAACGTCAGCCGTCCTTCGAGTGGAGGTCTTCGACCCTCTGGCACCGACGGCCAAAAGCGCGCCACCTTCTTTTCCCGCGCGAGTGTGCCACACTTCAGTCGCACTCGTCCCATCTCTGATACGCCTTCCGCGCACGCACGCCGGACGAGGATCGAATGGGCGCGGGTGTTTTCGAGTGTGATGTATGTGCATTCGCGAAGGAGCGTGAACGTTCGGTCCCCGGAAGATGTGGCTTTCGCCGGTAAGCCGCGGCCAAGGGGAGAATTCGGTGACAGAAGAAGATGCTTTTTTCATGTGCTGAGCTTGAAGAGGAAAAGGGAGACGGTCCTCCGCGGCTCAAAGAAACGGGACGGAGGAAACGTTTGGGGCCGAGCGTGCAAAGTCGCCACGGGGAACGGCCGGCAGCGCACGCCCAGCAGAAGAAAACAACGGAGAGGGGGGAAGCGGGAAACAAGATAGGATCGGGATGTGGGACCGAAGGCAGCCCGGCGTCTGCGTCGAGCGGCCTGGCCTGTGGTATTGAGGCCCGAGACTAGGACTTGGTCTCGGATCGCCTTGGATGGAGCGTTGCTGAGGTAAACGAGAGAAGAGAGAGGAAGGAAGACCACAAGCTCATGCTGCGACGTGCTGCTCCGGCCGTCGATGCCGGCGTCGCCTTCTGCCCGCTGCACTGATCGGATTCGGCCAGCGGAACCCGCGCAGTAGGTGATCGTGGGAGGCGCGAATATGTTGCCGACGTTCCAAGCTCAGCCCCCGAGCTTCTTACGGGACGCGCGCGTGCTCGGCCAGGGCAGCGGCGCTGATGCGGAGTCGATCCGATCCTCACCGGCGAAGTAGATGCCTGAGCCCCTGCGTACTGATTCGAGCACCGGGACTTGCGATGGAGGAGAGGGGAGTGGTTCGAGCCCTTTGAGAGCGACGGCTCAGCCACATCGGCACGTCAGCACGTCGACGAGCTTCTGCCCGAACGTCTTGCGCTCGGCGGGGTGCTCCTCGCCGTTGGCCATGCCCGACACCTGGCCTCGGGCCTCGGCGCGGCGCCCGGCGTCCATGCCGACGCCGCTGCCAGTCATGCCCGTCGGCGTCATCTGCCCGACCTGGCTGTGTTCGCGCGTGCCGTTCTGGTGAGGAACACCTGCGACGGTGGCGTCGTGTACAGCAACGTTGGACGCGTGGCCGACGCCGCCGTACCCTGACCCGTTCTGTGGAAAGTCTCCGTGGCTGGCACGCAGCGCCGCTGCCTGGCTCCGCTCACTTGCCATGTGCTGCTGTGGCCCAGGAACGCCGGACTTGCGCCCCTGTTTGGATCCGTTCCTCGCCAGCGCCGCCTGCGTCGGGTGCGTGGGCTGCGCCGGTGGCAGCGCTGCACGAGGCTCGCGGTGTCGCTCGCGGTCGTCTCGGCGGTCGCGGTGGGTGCCGGCCTCCCACCCCTTGCCCCCGTTGAGGAGCATCCAATCGTAGACGCCATCCTCGGCCTCGCCAGAGCTCTTGAGCACCTTGGTGAAGAGCTCGCGCAGGAAGTCGTAGTCTGGCGTCTCCTCGAAACCGAGCTTGCGGACATAGTTGAGGTAGATGCCGAACTCCTCTGCAGTGCGGCGAGAGTCGAGGTGGGACGGCGCAGGCCGGATAGGCGGATCCGGTCAGCGCGTGCAGCATAGCCAACGCAGCCGCGGCCGGGGCCGACGTCGCAACTCACCGGGGAAGCCCTCGCAGAGCTCCTTGATGGGGGTGCTTTGCTTCTTCTCGCCGATCTTCTCGTACTTTTGCTTGTTGGTCGCCGCCTTGAGACCCTGCCAGGGCAGGCCGCCGCGGAGGAAGTACATGAAGACGTGCCCAAGAGCCTCGAGATCGTCACGACGTGATTGCTCTGCCGGGACAGGAGAAGAAAATGATCGGGGAGCGCGGACATCACGGCGACGTCAGCTCTGCCATACGTGGGGGTCGATGGGTGGAACCGAGCAGCTCGACGGACGAGACCGGACAACTCACCTCGTCCAAGGTGGGTGTTGATGCTCATGTAGCGCGCAGTTCCGCTGAGCGACTTGCGCTCGCGATAGGGGATGTGCTGCTTGGTCTTTGGGTCGCGGTACTGCTTGGCCATGCCAAAGTCGACGACGAGGACCACGTTGGCGAGCTTGGTCATCGGCCGGCCGATCAGGAAGTTGTCTGGCTTGATGTCGCGGTAGATGAGGTTCTTTTCGTGGATCGTCTGCACCCGCGTGATCTGGACATGGTCGAAAGAGATGGGCGCGAGCGGCCAAGCGGGCGATCGTAGTGGAAACGATCAGCGGTCCTGGCCGAGCAAGGCGGAAAGGCATCGAGCACCGCAAGCAAAACAGACAGCGGCGGCGGCCGAGACGTACCATCTGCTTCGCCGTCATGACGACCGTCTTGATGCTGAACTTCCGGCCACACATGTCAAAGAGATCCTCGAGCGATGGGCCCAGGAGGTCGATGACCAGGATGTTGTGCAGGCCCTCCTGGCCAAAGTAGTAGACCTGGGGGACACCATCTGCAGTGCAAAGTTGCGAGGCAGCCGGGCAGATGGTCAGATGGCGCTGCCAGCGGTGGCCGAGACGGCGACGACGGGCAGTCCTCAAGACGTGCGACTCACGGCAACCGGCGAGAATCTTGTAGGTGCGGTACTCGTCGCGCAACTGCGGGGCATCGCTCTTGCGCGGCTCAAACTTGATGGCGACAGTCTGGCTATTGAGAAGGTTGGTACCCTCGAAGATGACGCCAAACGAACCCTCTCCGATCTTTTTGCCGATCCGGTAGTGCACGCCGACCACGTTGGAGCCAGAGCTGGCGTGGGAAGAGTGAGGTGCCGACATTGGTGCAAAAGAGTGGTGGTAGGGCTGCGTGGACTGGTGTGCCATGGAGGGACGGGGCGGGCCAGCAGGAGTAAGAGTCGGGGCGCTTCGGCGGAAGGGGCGGCTGGAAGTGCGGTCGAGTGCGAAGCTTTCAGATGTATCGGGCTAGGGAGCAGAGTGTCCAGCGAGGCAGCCCAGACCGGAGCACTGAAAGAGCCCTGCGAGAGATGGGCTGAGGCCGGACCGAGGCGTTGGCTTCAAGACCTGACAACAGAGTCGAGGGGGAGACGCAGAGACCAGTAAAGGCGTCGAGGCTGGTCGCTACCGACCGAACAGCGGGGCGAAGCGGAGGATCGGCTGCGAGGCGGGACGATGGCGGGCACTCGATATGCGGCCGACTTGCAACGGGTGAGGCAGATGGCAGAACGGACAGGAGACGGTCGTGTCGGCGGTTGTCGGAATGACTAGGGCGCAGCGTGATGGCTGAGACCGCGAAGTTTGTGAGGCGACGAGATGCGCGAGAGTAGCACGGTGGAGGTCGCGATCAAGGGGATGGAGGGAGGGAGGGGAAAAGAGGAGGGGTTGCGAGAGAGGCACGGGTAGGGATGGGTATGAAAGAGACCAGACGAAGGCAGGAGGAGTGAGGGGTTCAACAGCGACGACGGCGACGACGAGACGCTGGCGGGCGGGCCCAGGGGGGCAGGGGCAGAGAGGCGAGGCTCAATTTTGGCAGAGCCCAACAGCTCGCTGCCAGACGCACGGCGAGCGCCGACGGGTGGCCGACCCACGCAACCCAGGCCGCAACCAAAGGCGACAGGAGAGACCAGAGAAAGGGGCTGCCCGCCAACCTCTGCTTGTCCGTCACGCCCAGCGCGGGCGAGCGGTGCAGGTGCTGGCTTGGTTCCAGGCCACGCCAGGCCGTGCCGATTTCGAAATCGGAGTTGGCCAAGTCACGGCCAATTCTTCTATTCAAGCGGGCCTCGCCGTTTGTAGTCGGCCCCCCTGGACGACAGCAGCTAGTCAGAGTAGTTGTATTAGAATCGGGGCCCAGCCCGTATTTTCAATCCCCCCCCTCGGTCTCGGCCGTCGGTGGCCGCCTGCAGCCAAAATCCAATTTTTCAGGGTGCAGCAGCGCTGGCAGGGTAACGGCGGGCAGGCGGGCTGGCGGGCAGCTGGCAGGCAGCGACCGGCGCAAGGCTCAAGCAAGCGCACAGGGCGGGCGCGTTCTGTTGTTCGTGTGTCGAGCTCAGCCTGAGCTGGCCCGGCCTTTCCCCGCCTCGCTCCTAAGCTTGGTTTTGGGCATGGACAGGCAACGACGACCCGCGACCAACCCAACCCAGAGCCACCCCTCGACGACCGAGCCCCTCTCGAGGCGTTCAGTCCATATTGCCCATCGCTGTGGCCCTCGCCAGCAGGTTGGTCGCCGGACTCGGTCCTCTGAATCGTTTGTACGTTTGCGCTGCACAGCGAGGGCCGGTCGAGATCGCCGAGTGGGCGGGCCGCCCTAGTTACCTGCCTGCCTGTCCCCTTTTTTCTTCTGCAAAACAAGACGGGGACGCATGCAGATCAAACACCACCCCCCGGGCCCTTGCTCCTCGCAGTAAGTAACCTCGAAAGCTGGCCTGCCTGGCCACCACTCCTCGACGCCTGAGACCCCTTTTAAGGTGCGAGCGGTACCGCCGCTTTGTACGTGGACGCACACGCACGCCACGCACGCCGTCTACAGTACCTGAACCCCTCTCTGTCTGCTAATGCGTAGGCAGGCATGTAAGAAGGCGGTTCTTCGAGGGCCAAAGCGGCGGGTTGATAGCAACACAGCGGTCCACGCCCCTTTGTAGCTGAGCTCCTCGGCGGCGATTTGGACCGCAGAAGCCGGCGGGGCAGACTGTGTGACAGAGACGGTCCTCGACGTGCATGGTCGACCAGCAGGCAGGCTCGGTCGGTCGGTCGCTCTTGGTCCGTCGGCGGCGTCTCGTCTCGCGCACCGATAAATGCACAGCTTCGGCCATCACCGCAACCATGGAAGCGGCGAGGGCGGGACCGACGAGGGCCCTGGACATCGATCTGTATGTGTATCTGCATTCGTCCATGGCATCAAAAGAGACAGGACGACCCCGTCCGTTGACACAGCGAGTTGTCGCCTTTCAGAGGCAACGACGTCGACGGACGCCGATCAACTGCCGTGTTCATCGGGATGCGCCCTCCCCCTTCCGTCACCGCCAACGCCGCCGAGCCTCGTCGCCATCGCTCCCCTCGGTCGCTTCCAAAGAGCGACATACCGAGTGTTAGGCCGTGAGGGGCACCATCCCTTCGCCCCCTGAACCAGAGGGAAGCGAGCGGACAGACCCTAGCCTCCTTTGTACCTTTCCCGGTGATGAATGCGGGTAGACTAGCTGAGGCAAGGCTGAGCCCACCGCCCGATTCAGCGCATGAAAAGCGCAAACCCCCTCAGGCACCTCTGGGGTTCGGGTCGCTCGCGTGCAGCGGCGGCTGCGTCGAAGATCCTTCTTCGCAAGAACGCCCCGCCCCAGCCTGCCCTCGCACGCGGCCACAACGTCGGGCTCGCGGAGCACCTGCGTGCACATTTGTCCCGCTTTCGTCTAGCTGGCAGTTGCGCCCGACGACGTCGACGGTCATGGTCGAGGATGCCGGCTCGGCCACTCTGCAAGGCTCTCGCGAACCGGCCCTTTCACGGTTGGCAGAGTCAATGACCATTTCCCGGCCTCGCTCCACGTCCCCGCATCTCGGCCGCCGTGGGTCTACCACTGCTTCCGACTCCATCAAGCCGGCTATGGTACAAGTCATCATATGCTGTCCTTTCCACTACTGAGACTCCTCCCGAGGATCGAAAACCGTCGGACGAGGCTCAGCTTTGGTAACTCTAGCTTCTCTTGGCCTTGACCTTCTTGGCCGAACCCGGCTTGGCGTCGACAGAGGGCGACCCAGTGTTGGCTCCGGCCGCATCCTGGGAAGCGCTCGGTCGCTTCTTGGACGGTGTCGCAGCCTTTGAGGGCGAGGCCGCCTTGCCGGCCTTGGCGCCGGCGCCAGCGCTGGGCCCTTCGAGGATCGCAAACAGCTGCTTGACCAGCGCGTGGATCGAGGCCGAAGCCTTGAAGCGCTCGCACGCCTGCAGCTGGTCGGTCGACTCGCGCAGCTTGGCCACCTTCCATGCGGCGCGCAGCTTGTCCTCGGACGGCGCGAGCCTCTTGGAGAGTCGCGCGACGTGGAGCGCAAACTTGATCGTGTCCTTGAGCCGGCCCGCATTGTACGGAGGCTCGGCATCGGTGGCGGCCGAGGCCACAATCTCGCCGATGCACTGGCTCACCTGGGGCACAAAGTCCAGCACCGCATCCTTGTCGGCCGTCTGGGCATACTGCGTCAGCATCTCCTGGAGCATCTGCATCGCGGTCAGCTGCCGGAAGGAGTGGGCTGCAGCTCCCGGTCGGCAGCTGTCGAGGACATCCTCGCGCAGCGACCAGCCGAGCTGGGGGAAGCGCTTGAACGACTCGACGAGGAACGCAGGCTTGACGTGCGACTTGCGGCGCGTGAGGAAGTCGGTCAGCGTCGCCTTGTACGCTTCGATGACGACCGCATCGTCGGTAGGCGAGATCGAGCCGCGGCCCGAGAGCGCGATCTTGGTCAGGTAGAAGATGACGGCGGCGGCAAGGTCGGCGACGTTGCCCTTGGAGACGGATCGGACGACGGTGTGCATCTCCTCGAGCTCCTCGGCCACGTCGGCGGCCGTGACGCCTTCCGGAAGCTCTTTGGCCTTGCACAGCCGCGAGCGCAGGATCCCGGCAGCCCGGTTGGACAGCTGCTTCTCGTCCGCATCGTCGTCCCTCGCCAGATTGAAGAGGGGGGACACCAGTCGAAGCACGAGCGGGTTCGCGTGCTGCTTGCGGGCGTACACCTCGAGAATGTCCAGAATCTTGTTCTTGAAGATGCTCTCCTCCTGCTTCGCCTCTGCTCGGATCGGTGATGGGAAGCGGCAGCGACAGGACGCGCGCAAAGAACCTTGTTCAGCAGACCGCGGGCCATAGCTCGCAGGCTCCGGACACCCATCCCAAGCGATACTCACCCTTCTTGCTGTTCTTGGACTTTTTGGCCGAGAGCTGCTGGCGGAACACCTCTGCCAGCTTGTCATCGAGCAGCATCATCTGGTCGTCGTCGAGGTCCGAGAGCTCGACGCTCGACTCGGAGCCGCTGTCGTCCTCATCGCCATCCTGGTCCATGTTGTCGTCCTCGCCGTCTTCCGGGTCGGGCTCGGCGATGCCGCCCTCGCGCAGCACAGCCTGGATCTTGGCACGAAGCTCTGGGTCCACGTCGTCGGCCTCGTTTTCGTCGTCGTCGGCGTCGCTGGCGTCCATGTCGTCATCTTCGTCCTCGCTGGTGGCCGACGTGTCAGATACCTGCTCGCCATCGCCGGCCTCGACGGCGTCCGCGTCAGGCCCGGCACCTTCGCCCATCTCAGCTTGGCCCTCAGTCGCTTGACCGAGGCCGATCTGCGCAAAGAGGTGGTCGAGGCTGTTGGCCGTCATGTCCTTGGCGAAGGGCTCGAAAGCGTGGGTGGCGACGAAGCGCAGGAACGCCGAGGGAAGCTCGAGGAAGTTGACCAGGCAGTCGACGAGCACGTCGATGCCCTCGGCCTCCTGCTCGTCCGCCTGGACGGCGGCGGCCGCCTTCTTGGACTTGGGGACTGCGGCGAAGAAGAGGATGCCGGCACAATCGCAGAGCGGCTCGACGAGATCGGCGGCTCCGTCTTCGGCGTCCACCGAGACGATCAGGCCGGCCAGGAGCAGCACCCGGAACGCCCGCAGCTGGTCCTTGAGCGCCGCTTCCTTGGTGGCATTCTCCTTCTTGCGGACCTTGTCGAGGCACGACCGCCCTTCCTTGAGCCTCGATTCGATCTCCTCGTCGCGATCAAAGATGGAGGTGAAAGTCTTGGCATCCTTGTCGAATCGGAGCAAGGTGTCGTACGCGACGGCCAGCCACAGCTCGCCCTTGCTGTTGATGCCCTGCGCCTTGCGGCTCTTGCCGTCGCTGTCCGACAGGACCGTCGTCTGCGACGAGAGCTCAGAGAGGCAGGACAGGAGGCGCGAGCGGCACAGCTGCCTGTACTCGTCCGAAAGCTCGACTTCGGGCAGCACATCGAGCATCTGGCTCTTCTTGAGCGGCTGCTTCATCGCAAAGTAGCCGTGGGCGATGAGCAGCTCGAGGATGTCCTGCACGCAGGCGTCATCCTTAGGGATCGAGACCGTCCTGACGATCAATAGGAGCTGGTCGAGGGCCCACTTGCGTTGCGAAGCGACTCCCTTGACCCCATCCGCTCCGGCGGCATCTGTAGCCGTGCAGATCAGGTCACGGAGGTGACGCGTGTACTCCCGGACTCCCTGGACGTCGAGGGCCGAGAGAACCCCGGAGACGGTCTTGGTCTTGGTGATCTGGTCAAAGTTCTGGTGGCCGTGCTCTCCGATGAGCTGCGAGACGAGGCTGAAGCCGATCTTAGGGTTGCCCGAGACGACGTCCTGGACGGTCGAGGCGGTCTTGAGCGCCGCCTTGTGCAGGAAGCGGTCCTGGCCCGACAACTGGTTGATCCAGGTGCGCATAAAGTTGGGAGTGAAGAGCAGCGGCTTGTCGCCGTCGCTGGCGCGAACGAGGGCTCGCTCAAAGACCTGGAAGCCCCATGACTTGCGCTCCGTCGAGCCTGAAGCGGCAAAGAGGGACTCGTCGACGACGACGCGGAAGAATTCGGGAAAAGGAACGACCGGCGACGAAGAATCTGAGCGGGCGGGGCCGAAATAGCTGTCGAGGATGACATCCCAGACGAAGTGCAGCTGCGGGCGGAAGCCGGGCCGGGAACCGGTTGCGGCCTCGTTGCTCTCGGATGCAGATGCATCCCGAAGAATGCGGGCGAGGGTGGGAAGGTTGGCAGACGACAGCAAGTGGGTCCCCTTGTACGGCGGGACGATGACGCTGTCGCGCGCGCCAAGACGCCCAGTCTGCTCGAGCCGGAAGAGGATCGCCACCTTCTCTGGCGTGTTCTCCGTCGCGGCACCCACCGTCCGCGCCAGCCACGAGAGAGCATCGTCGGCCCACGCCGGCGCAGCATCGCTGCGAAGGTGACCGATGGTCTGATAGAGGACCCAGCCGCAGCTCTCGCCCATCCAGGCTTTCTTGCCGGTGAGGGCAAGCAGGACATCCATGGACCTTTCGAAGTGGGCCAGGGAAGAAGTGGGGCGGAAGAGAAGCCCAGACTGGACGAGAGCGAGCACGCCAAACAGCTTGGCGAACATCAGATCCCTCTGCTCCTGCCCGCTGATCGAGCCCTGCGGCGTCGAGTACTTGAGGATCAGGGCGAGGATCTCTTGGCTCGTGACGGACTCGAGGTTGGACAGCAGCTGCGGTACGGGACAAAGCAAGCGAGAAGGGGACAGAGCGGGGCCGTTAGAGATGAGATGCGGGGACGGCATGACGACAACGACGGGAAGGCGCGAAGCCGGAAGCGACACCTGCTGCTCACCTCTGTCAGTGCGACGGCGAAACCGAGGCGCGAGTTCTCTCGCGGGCTGGCCAAGCCGCGAATCAGCCGCTTGATGGCGTACGCCACATCTGCTGCGTTCCTATTGCCGATAGCCTCTTCCGCTAGGAGCGCGGCCTCGTCAGACACGAGCAACGGGTCGTTGCTGCCATCGGCGTCCAGCGGGTCATCTGCTTGCTCGGTGCTCTCGATCGTCACCTTGGAGGTTGAAGCCAGAGCGCTCTGCTGCTCGAGCAGGTCCCCAATGAGCTTGTCCGACGAAGCGAGTCGATCCTGCTTCGAAGCTGAGGCCAGCTGCCAGAAGAGCTGCAGGTTTCCGGACATGGCGGGCAAGGCGCAGTGCAGCCGAGGGGTCGTCCAAGGTCGGTGGCGAATAGAGCAGTCACGGATGTAATGCGCGACGAAATGTGCCCGGCGTTTCCTGGATCGACGAAGTGAAGGCTCGTTGCGGTCAGCGTGCTGATTGCCAAGGGAACCGATAAGGGGGGTATAGCCGCTGCTGTCAAAGGGCCGTTGGTTGGTGGTGGCAGCGGGATGCACGGTGGAGCCGCCATCTGGCCATGGCCCCTTTGCGCCCTGCGCTGCACAGCGAGAAGAAGAAAGTGCGAAAAAAATCTCGGGGCAATCGAGAATCCTCGCAGCCAAGCGCAGCCCATTTCTCCGACTTCCGACTGTGAGGAAAATCCAGATCGGGTTGGATCGGGCACCACTTCCTATCCAGCCGTGGCTTCCGGCGCACGGCAACTCAATTTGGCTGAGCCTTCCAACCCCGAGAATCTGCCTACATAGGTTGACGTCCCATCGCCTCGTCAGGACGGGGCTCCCTGCAGCCCGAAGGGTGCCAGGACAGCGTTCTCATGGACGCAGATCTTGACGAGCCTTGGTTGCCTCTGCGACGAGACAGGGTGCTGCGAAGTGTCGCCGTACGGCCGAATCTTGTGCAGCTGGCGGGCTTCGCAACGCTACCCATGCCATCTTGACAGGCAGACACCCACCGTCCCTCGCGTATTGACGCAACGACTGCTCGGTGAAGGCCAGGCCAGCATAGCGAGCTTGAACGAGCGAGGCAAGGCAGGCTAGCTATCGGTAGAATCGCTCTGACTGTGGTGGCGCGGGAAATATGGCGCTTCGGACACGATCATCTCGAGCGGTCGCACGTACTTCCCAGGAGCGGTCGCTGGTGCTTGGTACTGTACAGTACAGTACGTACATGCAGTACAGCGTGCAGTAGCGTGAGCGCTCGGCCGCTGGCCGACGTCCCGCGCAAGCCTTGGGCCGAGCACAACGGGCGTGACACTTTTTCCGGCTGATCCTTGCCTTGGAATCAATCCCACGCCATGGTCGTCCTGGGTCGTCGACGAGCTGCGTCTGGTCCTACTGTATCCTTCCACGTCGTCAGAGACGAACTGCCGCCCACCAGACAGACGAGCGGTCATGCTGCAAGCTCAGGAGTGCACGCGCCTGCTTGCCCGTTTGGCGCAAGCGACAGCACAGTAGTGGCGAGCAGCCCATGCAAGTCTGCACGCCATGCCGAGAGGAGGGGCGTTCGAGTCCGGCCAAGCAGCAAGACGACTCGCTGTCGCCTCCAGGGTAGAGGCAGTAGTGAGCGGCAAGACACTCAGAGTGCGCCGAGCAGCACCACGGCAAGACGTCGACGAGCAAGAAGATTTGCCAGGCCCAAGGCCTCGCTGCTCGTCGACGCGAACGCGAGCCATGTCGCTCCGCGGGGAGAGAAGAGGAGAAGAGAAGCGGGGGCGGGGGTCCGCAGGGGAACAGAAGCGGAGAGGAGGGGATGAGGAAGGCGACGGCCATCCCGGAGACCGCCTACGCAGCCATCTTTGGCCACCAGAAGGATCTCGTCGATGACAGCCATAGGCGAGGTGTCATTTGCACCGCTGTCGGTCTCCTTGCAGCGCACACGCTGCTGCAAGGAGGACCTGCTGCTCCAGCATGGTACCGGAGCCGCCGCTTGACGAACCTGCAAACAAACACGCACCGGTGGCCATGAGAGCAACGTTGAGAACGTCCAGCGGTATGGACCGGTGCCGGTATAGACCATCAGAAGAGACACGGACGTGGCAAACGAGTGCGGGGTAGGCCAGACATGCCCGGGAGCACCTTGCTTGCTGGCGGGCGGGCGGTCCTGCGCAGCTATGTACCAATGCTCGGGACTGCTGTCACCGGTCAGCGCCCATGACATGCGGACATGTGGGTCCTACAACGGGCAGCTAGCGTCTGGCGTCGTGGAAGGCGCGACATGTCCCACAGCCGAATGCGAGCCGGTTCAGAGACTCGCTGTAGCTACTGCGCAGGAGTACGAGGCGTGCGTGCCGCGCCAACGACAGCGCACACGAAGCAAGGCCGGCCTAACGACGGCGGCGAGGTGCAGGAAAAGACCTGCGTCGTCAGAGCCACAGGATCTGGCGATATCGATATGGGCCTGGCGAGATCAGGCCGACAGTGCCGGATCATGTCGGATTGGACGTTGTGTGACATGAAGCAAGGTGGTGGCGGTGCGAGCCGAAGCGGGTGCGCCTGCTTGGCTGCTGCCACGACCTGCCACTCTACATACATATGTACATACACTACCTACTACTCGCTTGTTGGTGCTCATGGCGCACAGCGAGTCTTGTAGGTGGGCTCCGCAGGCATGCCCGCTGGACTAGCCAGGCCCTGCTCAGCTGGTCTGGCCCCACGCAAGCTGCGCGCGCGCGCCGCCAGGCCTGCAGCCTGAGCCGGAGGCCGAGAGCAACACATCAGCACCCCGAATCCGCGACGCCCAAATTTGGTGTTGGTCTCGCCAAAGTCACAAAAGCACATGCATTCCTGTACATGTATGGTCGCTGGAGGCAAGCTGGCCGCAGCAACACCGCGGCACGCAGAGTGCCCTTCCTTGCGCACGCGGATACGCGTGCATGCACCACGAACTCTTCGCTCGCTCTAGCCATGACGAACGCAGCCCTCGACGGCAGCCGCTGATCAGGAAGGCCTTACCCGACGGCCTCCGCTGTAAGGAGCAGATTGAAGTTCGAAACGCACGTCTTGCTAGTCGCAAGGAACCGCTGACCAGCGCACAATGGCTCGACCGAACCTGGTGGTCTTCCGGAGCGTAGCGCTACGCTTTCTAACAGCTCTCGGCGTCGAAAGCACACACACAGCCGACGAGCATGTCGTGCGACCTTGCACCAAGTCCACTCGGGTTGACGACCAAATGAAAGGCATGCCTGGGTCATCGTTGCTGCCCAAAGGTGACGGCGCCAACCAGTTCGTCTCGAGTTGCTCTTCTGTCTGCGTCTCGCTGCGACAGCCGCACAAGATGGCCGTGCGCACCTCAAATTTGCAGGCCGCGCGCCTCAGAAAGGCTGCACGATTTCAAGCTGGTCCGCCGGCCTCAACCCGAGGCTGACCACTTTGCTGCCAACGCCTTGAAGTTTCAGGACTGTCACGGAGCAGAGCGGGGCTGCGCAGTAGAGCGGCGACTGACCTGGAGCATCCGAATGCTTCGTCCGAAGGTTCGGACAAGCAGGTGCCGAGAGCGCAAGGTTCCGAGAGGGGGCGGCGGAGCCGAGCGCACAACCTTGTCGTCGGATCAACAGTGTAACATCTACTCTGGTGCTGCGCTTAGAGATCCGCCTCTCCGGCAGTCCCTGCGGGAGGGCGGTCGGGCGGGTGGGTGTCGTCAGCGACTCGCGGGCTCAACCTGTCCTCGCCAGAATTCGCTCCGCCTTTTTGACACGCACGAGTGCGTCCGAGCTGCCTTGCAGAGCATAGCATAAAGCAGCAGACCAAGCCCGACTTTTCCACGTCCGCAAACCCGACCAAGTTATGCGTACATACGGCGTACTTTGACCCAGGACCGGGCTCTTGTCGTCCAAACGGGCTTCTCGCCTTGCCAGCCTTTTTGAGGACGGAAACTTGACGACAAGAACATCTGCGTCCGGCCTGTCCGAGAAGCATAGGTAGCTCCACTCGACGCTCGCGCATAAGGCCCCGCTCGGTATCTACGACTTGCAACCCCGACCGCCACCGTGCCTTCCCCGCAGGCCGAAAGGGCAGCCAATGTTCGCGGCGCGAGCTGGCATTACTGTATTACCCCGAGCAAGAACCATAAGTCACCTCTGTGGGCCGAGCATGTCCTGAACGAGGGTCTGAAAGAGGTCGCCTCGCGATGCCAAAGCCCTCGATGGTTGGCGCTGCGGCGGCTGGTTACTTGACAGGGCCGAGCCGCAACCCGAGCGGCAGCGAGCCGATGAAGCTCTGTCAGACACGATCTTGGGCCGGCGACACCGGCGCACGGACGGTCAGGCAGCGATCCTGCTCTCCGCTGATCAGCAGCTCGTCTCTCAGCCTGACCTCCGACCTCCGACGTTTGTGGCGTTCCGGTGTTTGCTTCCACTCTTCGTGCCTGTAGATCATTCAGGGGCCGGACCTGACCCCGGCAAGCACTGTCCGCAGTACTCTTTCAAGGCGCTCCCGTATCAGCCGTGGTTAGGCCGCCTTCGTGGTGAACGGGTCGCCATGGCACGGGACAGGTCGTTCACATTGACTGTCCTCGCTCTCCGATGTCACGCCCAATCTGTCTGGATTGCGTGGAGGCTGTCGCCCTGGTACGGTATCACAACAACCAGGTTGCGAGCCGATCTGCCGATGGCGCTACTTACAAACAGTGCGTGAAGTCGATGGCCGCCGCAGCGATGCTCGTGGCCAGCGGTTCGAGAATGGACCGGCTAGCCGGTCGAAGACGCGCGTGTGGATATATCCCCGCGACGTTCGGTCCGGCCGCGATGCGAATGCGGTGTCTGAGCCCGTTGCGCCTTGCCAAGCGTTTGTTTGCGCTCGCGCGAGGGGCATGTCCGTGATACGCATCGAGACCGTGCCGAGCAAGGACGAGGACAAGGATCGGCACGGCATGCTTGGGCTTCGTTTGGGTGGCATCATCATCAGAGGCGGACAGTGAGGTTGTGGGGTGAAGGAGGGAGGACGTGTGGCCGCACAGGCGTCGCCGTCGACATCGGCGCCGTCGTCGGCGAGTCGATCGTCGTGGCGGCATTCGGTACGTGGCCGCTGTGTGACAACGGCCGTCCACGCGGATCAGAGGTCAGGGTCTTCGGCAACGGGGGTTTAAGGTTGATACGCGTTGTGACGCCGCTGTGCCAGCGTTGCCCGCCAGGCCAAGGCCCAGCCAGGCCAGGTCTGCTAGGCAGAGGGCTCGATCCTAACCTGCTGAATTCTCGCTGCTAAAGAGTTCAGGAGGGTGGTATCTAGTTGTACACACCTTGTTCGTTGTGCCGCAGCTTCAATGACGTCGATGTTTTCCCGATTGCTCCGAGGTTCGCGTGGCTACCGCTATCAGGCATGCACTCGTCGCCGCTCTGCCACATCGAGCGCCTCGACCATGGCGTGTTGTCGCGGCTTGACAGCGATCCGGCCGGTGATCCTCTGCTATGGCACATGTCCAGCGAACATCGTCTTCTGTCGATTATCATGGTCTCATTCCTACAGCTTCACAGACAAGCCTGAATCACTGCAGGGCAAGCTGACAATCATGAATCAATAAGGCGGTGCGAGGACGCCTTCGCAACGCCGACGTGGTCAACAAGGTACATTTCTTGCCAGGCCACAGGCCCGCTTCCAAAGTCACCGGGGAACTCGAGGGGGTGCTCGCGATGAAGATCGCACTAACTGATGCTCTAGATGATTTCGGGCCCTCGGTCTCCGAACCAATCTGGCCTTGTGGACGAGCGCCACAGATACCAGTGCCCCCTGCCATGAAGACCGAGCGGCAGGTGCGCAGTTGTTACGGCGTCTTCAATTGCAAGGTAGTTGCGAATACAGAAGGCAGCAGCATATACGTCTGTACGGATGTCGATGCCGGGGGCTGTGCGGCGAGCGTGAATCACCCCTGGGCAATGCTTGTGAGGACGCTGCACGATCACCGGTGCGGGGCGGTCCTGGCTGGTTCGCTTCGGCGTCCCGGCGCCGCCGAAGGGCCATCAACTTTTGCCACCCGATCCTCGGCGTCCAAGCCTAAGATGCCCGTGCGGAGCAGCGTAAACCTAACGACAGACAAAGAGAAATGTGTGGTAACTAGACGTACACTTGAAGATTTCGAGCGTTTGGCGGCTCGGCATCGCGAGACAACGCCAAGCGCACGCCACGAACTTGCAGATAGGCCTGCTTGCCACACACTGCTGCCAAAAGTCCTTTCGAGAGCTGATGGCAGCGACAGGTGGACAGCAGCGCCCTCGGCCGACGATGATGATGCTCCCCATGTGTTCGAGCGAGGGGACAGGGGAGCCAAGGAGGTTCGGAAGCTGCTGCGAAGACGACGCGGGTGCGCGCGCGTGTGTTGGGTCTGGGGCCGGTGTTTTGTGGCAGGCCAGGGCCTAGGGGCTGGCTGCTGGGTGTTGGATCGGCGATGGATCTGCAGGTGTTGCACTCGCTTATGCGCAGCCGCTTCCCAAAACGCGTCGGCTCAGATCGAGGACGGGCGGAAAGCCGGGCAGACGGCTGCTCTGACCTTTGAGGCGGCCAGAGACGGGTTCGGTCGCCCTTGCGTCCCGGCGCGACGGTGGATCCACAAACTCGTCGCCGCCGAGAAGCTGGACGACATTCGGGTCCTTCTCCGCCAGCGCAAAGGGCAGTACATAGAGGAAGCGCAAAGGCTTGGGCCGGTCAGGTTGGGAGAGCGGGAAGTCATGGGGAGCCAGCAGGTGATCTTACAGAAGAGGGTCGGACCGAGGACGACGAAACCCGGGCCTGCGTCTGCGTAGGCTAGGTTGCGCGGGCCGTGCTCGCCTCTCTGTGACCCGCTGCGCTTCAATCCGACTCTGACTACTGGCTTGGCTCTCCCCGCCACGACCTCGGCCTCCTGGCGGAGAGACGGAACAGGATCGTCGAGCCGTCGTGGACGTCCTGTCAAGCAAGACGACCGACCGGTAATGATCGACACCGCGTGATCCATCAACGCCCTTCGGCACCTGCTCCTCGGCCAGGTCGTACCGGTCCGATGGATGGAAGGACATCCAAGACGTCATCCGGTCGAGACCTGGCCAGCCGGAACAAGCGCTGCGCCTGAGATGCAAACCTGTACGTAGGCACGATGGCCCGACGCACGCGGACTTTTGCCAGGCAGCGCTGCCTGGATGTTGAGTCGAGCCTCGCGTCGTTGCAGCCTGTCTATCATCACCTCGCGATGGCCCGATGCCTGAGGCAAGGCAGGGTTTGGCAGACTGCGCTGTCTGGGCGGCGGACGCTCCCTGCCTTTGCCCCAGGTCTCCCCCTCCCCCCCTCCCCCCCCTCTTGCCCGCCTGCTTCTCGCTTTGGACCCCGCCTTTGGCTTCGTATGTGATCCCGGGTACAGTAGCCGTTGGCCCCTAGCCTCCTCTGCCTGCCTGGCCTGCCTTGGCCGTATGCATGGTCCTGCGGGAGTCGCCCATGGACCCTAGCAGAGCGCGCTCTAACTTGTCTGGGCGCGGCGGATGTTTTTCTGGATGTCGCCCGCGGCTCGCCCCCGGGCGCACCACCCTGCCTTGCTGTTGTTGCAGCAGCAGCAGCAGCAGCAGCAGCATCGCATCACCCGGGCCGTCACATTCGAGGTCATCACATCAATCGTCGGGCGGGTGCTGTCGGCCTGTCTGTGCGAGGGCCCGCCCTCTCGCAGCCAAGCACATCGACCAACTTTTTGATCCGCCGCCGCCGCCGCCGCCGCCGCCGCTGCCGCTGCCGTTGCACCTTGAGGCGGCCAAGGCTCCGCCATCCTTCATAAGGGCCGGCCCTCCCGCTCACCCCTGCGCAGGAACCCGGTCCCCAATCCCTCGTCCGCCAATCCCTCATCGTTAGGGCGTCTACCTCGCCTTTGATCCAGCTCTGTGGCCCATCAGCGATCGTCAACATCACCATTCACCTGCAACGACTGTCTCGTGCTTTGTCTCCCGGCGCTCGACGTCGAGCCTCCTGCAATCGCCTCGCCCTGGGCCGCCGGAACTCCCAGCACTACCTCTCCGACGACGACTCTTTCTCTGCCCACTGCCCTCTCCGCTGACCACGTCTTGACACGGTCAAATCGTTGCAGCAGTTCCGGCTCTTCCTGGCTCCCCGACCACGCCACCTGCGCCACCCTATCGCCTCCTCTCCCATCTGCCTACCCTGACGGTCGACGTCAGCTAGAGCGGCTCGCTGCGCTACATCATGATGGCGCTGCTTTCTTCGCCGATGGGTCCTCCCACGCGCTTCGACTTTGACCAACCCCCGTCGCCCAGCTATACACAGGAGGACCTTCCAGCAGACTTCGACCGCTCGTTCGGCTCATCGATGTCCATCTCGTCGTCTTTCGACGGCATCCAACTCCCACCCTCGCGCCCCAGCGGTCAGCTCCACAACGGGTGCTTTGGTCCGAACAACTTCGCCGTCGCCACCACATCTCAATCGGGGGTCATGGCGAGCAACGTCGGCAGCGCCGTCCAGTCTTCGGTCCCTGAGCCAGCGAGAAATGCCGAGCGTACCTTGCCTCGTCGTGGCCCGAGTCTAGGCGCGGCAATGGGCACCTTCCTCAACTCGCGCTCGCCCGGTCTGGCTGCCAAGCTGAGCTCTCCAATGGACATGGACATCTCGTCGCCGTTCAAAGGCGCCGTCTCTCCATCAGAGCCAGCGCCCGGCCTGCTGCGAGCAACGACCGAGTCCAGGCAGAAGCCTGGCGCGGGCCCATCGCCCCTCTCGCAGACCCACCGGGTCAAGGAGCAATGGTCGTCGTCGCCCGCAACCGCATCGCTCGGCCGTCTATTTGGCACGGAGCTCTCCCTCAACCCTACCAAGACTTCGGAGCGCGAGGCCGAGCTGCTCAGCAGCCCCGACAAGGAGCGTCCGCAGAAGCGCCGGCCCTCATCACTGCCTTCGCGTCAGACGGAGGGCAACCAGGAGCACATCTCGGCAAGACCGGTCAGCCTCAAGGCGAACGCATCCTTTGCCTCGCAGAGACCACGCCCGGCTCTGCTCAAGTGCTTCACCGAGGACTCGCGGCCGGACTTTGAAGGAGACATGCAACGCTCCTCCGCCACTGCTCCAAAACATCGCCTGGTGAGTGCCGAACGGATTGCGAGCCACAGGTAGCACCGTCGTTTGCGAGTCTAACCTCGAAGCCTGCTCGCTCGCCTCCTGCTACAGTCCGATCCGAGCCTTTCCACTGCCACGGCCCGGAGCGTTCGAAGACCACGCTCTCGGGCAGCCTCGACCGAGTCGCTTCTCGGCGACTTTGGTGCGAACATGGAGCCGACGGTCTACGACACCATCGTCGAATACCCCACCCCGTCCCCGTCCAAAGACGAGAGCATTGGCAACTACTTTTTCGACCCTCAGTCGCCCGCGCATGCCCCCGTTGCCACCAAGAAGGTGGCCGGGCCAAGTGCCGCGACACGGCCCAAGCTCATGGAAAGCCTCTCGTCGTCGTCTCCACCTGCTTCGTCGCCCTCGAACCGCGTTGTCCCGCCACGGCTGGCGTCGCTGGGCCCCAGAACCTTCGAGAAGACGCACTCCACAGCCTGCGTCCCGACCCAGGGAACTCTCGCGGCGGGCTCCTCGCGATCGTCGCTCGGCAAGCGCGCCAACCCGTACAGCAAGAGGCCGTCGCTGCCGATGGGTGAAAAGGCGCTCAAGAGCGCCTACCCGGTCCTCGGGATGCCCGGCGCCACATCCGTCACCCGACCGACTGCCCCCGCACCTCGACGTTGCCACTCGGCCATGGACAATTCGAACTTCCTCTCGGGACCGAGCCTCGCCGCTTTGGGCCGCCTCCCGGGCTCCCCCGAGCGGAGACCGGCCTCGACCGGCTACAGCGAGCTCGCCGACGCCAACGGCTCGCCTATCGCTGTCAAGTCTCGCACCAAGTCCCGACCTGGTCTACTGCGCCGTGCCAGCAAGGACGACAGCTCCCCCCTCGGCTACGGCACGGGGCTCAAACGCAGCGGATCCCGTTCCGGCGAGAACATGGTCGACGATCTCGGCCTCGACGAGGTCGCGCAGCAGGTGGGCTCGCCTTTCGGCGCCGAGGGCATGCCTGGGTTCGGCGCTTCGGAGAAGGAGGGCAAGGTTCTGCCATGCTTCACCGTCAAAGACGACGGCCTCATGCGCATCTCGTCGCACACGCTGACGGACCTCCTCCGGGGCAGGTTCGACGACCAGATCACGTCGTACAACGTCGTCGACTGTCGCTTCGGCTACGAGTATGAGGGAGGTCACGTCCCCGGCGCCATCAACCTCAGCACGATGGAGAAGGTCAAGAGCTACTTCCTGGTGCCCGATCAGGGCCGCCATGCCGGCGGCAAGCCCCTCCCCATCCGATCACAGAGCGGCAAGGCGGACTCGAGCGGCAACCCGCGCAAGCACGTCATCGTCTTCCACTGCGAGTTCAGCTGCAAGCGCGCACCCTCGATGGCCCTCGCCCTCCGACAAGCCGACCGTGCCATGGCGCAGGACTACCCCAACTGTCACTTTCCCGAAATCTACGTGCTGCAGGGCGGCTACTGCGAGTACTTCCGGACATACCCGACGGTGTGCGAGCCGCAGCAGTACATCCAGATGGACGATCCGCGGTACCAGGACCGCCGGTCGGCCGAGCTCAACGGGTTCCGAAAGCAGTTTGCCCGGCACCGCAGCTTCACCTACGGCGAGGGCAAGGGCAACCAGGGCGGCCGGACGAGGAGCTACCTCGGCAACCCGAGCATCCAGGAAGAGGACCTGTCGCTCGAAGACTCGCCCTGCGCTGCGGCCGGAGGGGCGAGGCTCGGCGCGCGACTCGGACCGAGCCTCAATGCTGCCAGCGCCGCCGACACGAGCTTCGGCAGCGTGGGCGATTCTTCCTTTGACGAGGAGGTAGGCAACAGCCCCTGCGCCGCTGCTGGCTCGCGTAGGCCCTCGGCCATGCTCCTGGCCGGCCCGTCGTTCCCGCAGCCGGGATCGCGCAATGGCTCGCTGAGCCGCCGAGTCATGCAGAGGGCCGGAACCACCGCCAACATCTTGACCCGCTAGCATCCCACCGGGCGCTCGGTCTCGACGACGTCTCGGCGTCCTCGCAGATCGTCAATCAGCATCCTCTCTGTATCGGCATCCGACACCAGCAGCATCCCATATACCTTTCCGGCTCCACATGCATTCAGTCCGCCTCTCACCGTCCTGGTCCTCACCGGACCGGTTCGTAGCATATCCCACTCAGGTTTCCCAGCTTCTCCGAGCTCTCTCATCCCCCCACCTCATATCTCGATATCCTCAGCATCGCCACCCTCTCTCCTCTCTTCCCCCGTCCTCGAGCCCACTCATGCACAAGCCTCCGTCTTCGTCTCTGTCTTCGTCTTCGTCTTCGTCGCATCGCCGTCGCAGCCAACCTGCCATCATTGCACTCCCGCGGCTTTACCGCGCGTTCCCTAGCTTGCCGCTCGAATCCATGCTCTACCCTGCCCCTCCTCCGGCCGGTCTGTACGCGGTCTGGGCGCGGCTGCGTGATCGCCCCATCGACGCTCTGGCTCGGCCTTGAGTCTGCGAGACAGGGTGCCGATGCAAGGTCAGATGGCTTCTGGTTCGTTCGTTTTCCGCCTGCTCCACTCTGACAAGACGGGGCTCTAGGTCGGCTTGGACATGATCTGGTAGTCGACTCTATCCTTCATCGACGCATCCTTGGAGGGCGAAATCAGATCCACCTCGTACCTGCCGAGCATCACAGCACAGCACAGCACAGCACAGCAGGACATGTCGCAGATAGGACAGATCAGCATCGGCGGAGCGAGCGGGAAAAAGACTGTGGGCGACGGGGAAACATCGACTCACCCTTCGGACTGGTAGAACTTGTAGGCCGTCTTGTTCTGGTTGAAGACGGTGAGCATGACCTTGTGCAGGCCGAGGTGGGCCGTCAGGTCGTAGAGGAGGTGCATGAGCTCCCTGCCCAGCCCGGCACGCTGGTGCGGCGGAGATACCTGGATCTCGTAGCTGCATTCCGGACCGTGCACGAAGTAAAGACCGGCGGGTGAGTCGAAGAACCAGCTGAGTTCAGTCCACCTGGCCTCACCGCCCACCATCGGTGGCGGCGGCTACGGCCGGCTACCGGGAGGAGAGAGACGCGCGCGCGTCTGAAGACTCACAGGTACGAGATCTCCAACTTGCCATCCTCCTTCGGGTCGCCCCCCGCGGCTCTATCGGGGTGCAGTGGATCCTCGGCGCTGCAGAGCTCGGTATCGAAGCGCCACATGACGTAGCCCGCAATCTCGGCACCCACGTCCGGCGGACGGATGATGAGGAAGCGCGACGAGGCGTGGAAGAGCTCCTTCTTCTTGTCCGCCGGTTTCCAGCCGAGCGTCGAGTTGCGGTACATGCTCTTCATGTTTTCCTCAAAGATGGCAAACACCCGCTTCCGCTGCTCGGCCGAGAGGCTCTTGCCGTGGCTCAGTTCTAGCGTGTACCTGTGCAGACCATGGATCGACGACGGCGCGAGGCAGATCCGATCGATTCGGGCCGATTCGGGTCGGGTCAGGTCAGGCTAGGGCCGAACGGGAAACCTCCAAAGCATCGGGCCCAGACGCACCTCTTCTTCTTGAGGCTTTCGCTGAGCGGATTCTTGCTCCTGGTGCTTCGCAGCTTCTGGATGCACTTGAGCAGGTCATCGCTCGACATCGCCTGGGCCTTTTCGAGGGCCTCGTGAGCCGAAGACGGCTCCTCGACATCCATGGCTTCCTCCTTGACCTCGCTCTTGACCGTCGATTTGCCGCGTCGGCTAGAAGGGGAGCTCTCGTCGGTCGCAGAGGCTCCGGCCTCTGCCTTCACGTCGGACTTGCTGTCCTGCTCCGCCTTGGGCTTGAGCGCCTTGCCCCGCCGTCCCAGCAGGCCGGCAGCCTTGAGCGGACAAGGACGGCCCCTGCTCCTGTCGATCGGGACATCTCCCTCTTCCTTGACCTCCTTCTTGACCGCCACCGCATTCTGGTCGGCTGGCTTCTGGTCACCCTCGTCTGCCGAGCCCTCCTCGGCCGACGACGGCAGCTCCTCCTTGACAGTGGCGAAGCCCTTTGCGGAGCAGTTGTCGCAGGTCTTTCCGTGCTTGATGAGGAGCACGTGGAGCGGGTACTTGAGGTGCCCCGGTACGCGCTCGTGGAGGTGGTAGTAGGTCTGGTCGCGGTTGGCCTTTTCGGGCACCCAGCCCAGCGACTTGCACAGGCGGAAGACGTGCGTGTCGACCGCCATGCTCTGCCGGCCGATGCAAAAGGCGAGGACGCAGCTGGCCACCTTGGGGCCGACGCCGTTGAACGAGACGAGCTCCTGCATGATTTCGTCGTCGGTGGCCTGGTGGAGGTGGTCGAGCGAGAGGACGCCGTGCCTCTCCTTTGTCTCGCGCAGGATGCCACGGATGGTCTTGGTCTTGTTGTTGGCCAGGCCGCCGCAGCGCAGCGCGTCGACGACGTCGGACTCGTCGGCGTCGAGGATGGCCTGCCAATTCTGCTTTCCAAAGCGCTCCGTCAGGCTGCGGTGGGCGGCCGACGAGTTGCGGTTCGACGTGTTGCACGACAGCACGGTGCGTATCGTGGCGTCGAGGACCGAGGCGACGTCGCCGCAGCCGCCCCACTTGTTTTCGCCCTTTGGCGACGTGTACTGGGGCAGGCCGCGGCCGCCCTCGCTCTCGCGCTTGTAGCCGTGGTGCTCGCCGAGGATCCAGGCCACTCGCTCGGCCTCTTCCGCCGTGGGAAGCGGGTGATCCGGAAAGGGGCTTCCCTGGATCGACGCCTTGTACGTGGCGAGCTTCTTTTCGCTCGTCGTCTGCTTGCGCGGCGACGATGCGGGCGCGGTATCTTCGATGTCTTGCTCCTCCTTTTTGACCGTGGCGCGCGGGGGAGTAGATGCTGCCGCCTCGTCTTCTTCCACCTTGACGCTGCTGCCGTTGTTCGTGGTGCGTGCCTTCTTGGGAGACGAGCTGCTGCGTGTCTTGGGCGCCGAAGACAGCGGCGGCGGCGGTGGCGGCTGATCCGGGTCTAGCTTGGGCGACGTGACGGTAGCCATCCCGGACGAGGATCTGGTGCGCTTCCTCGTCGGAGCGGCATCCGGTTTCGCTGCAGAGGCGGCCGTCGGCCTCGGAGCAGCCGTTCGGCTGGGTACGGTTCGGGTGGGCATCGTGTGTACGGCCAAGCTCCTCGGCGGCGGTGGCGGAACGATCCGGGATGCGCCTACGACCGAGGTGGCCGAGGGTAGGAGGGTGGCGGCCAGCGCAGCTCGCAAGCCAGGTATGGCCCGCAGGCGCTGCGTGGCGTGGAAGATGGGCGGTATGGCGAGAGTGGGCTGGTCGGGTGAGGCCGCAAAGAGCAGCCGATGGCGCGATTTGGTTGCGCTACGAAGGTGCAGTGATGACGGTCGGAGTCGAGACGATGTCGACCTTGGCGGTCCGTGGCCAAGATGGATGTGTATGTAGTCGGGTAGGGCGGCGATGTCGACGTCGGCCTGCCAGCTTCCCCGCAGTCGTGAGTGCAGTCCGCCTCCTGGCCTGCCTCCACCTCGCGAAGGCCAAAAGCGTACGGGCGTTAGCCAAGCGCGCTCCAGACTCCCATCTTCCGATACTGCGTCATGGCACATTCCACCTCTGGCTCTCGTGCGAGTGCGCCCTCTGCCGCTGAGCCAGCCAGCCCCCCCCCCCCCCCCCCCCACCCCCAATCCGAGACCCAAGGCCGTCATCGACCGGCGGGAGGCGGCGCCACTGTCGCCCTCGCACGCTTCACTTGATGAAGGTGATAGTTTTGCCGGGGGGAGCCTCGTCAGGGCCCCCTTCTTTTACGAGCGCTTGGCATTTCAACGGCCAGAGGACATTATCAGGGATTTTGTAAGCTACGGATTTTGACGGGGTGAGGGAGCGCAGGGCAGAAGCGGTGGTGATGGTGGTCGTGGTGATGGCAGAGACAGGCCGGCCGCAGAATAGAAATAGTAAGAGTATGGTACACACGAGGGAGCTTGGATGCGGGCGCAGCGGTTGGCGGCGGCATGGATCGTCCAGGCCCAGGACGGCGGCAGAGTAGGACTACGCTCCGCCCTGCTTGGACATCAGGTCGAGGTGTTGCAGGTGAGTGACCTTGGCGCGGCGAAGGCTGGTCGTCATGGCGGCTGCGGGGGTCGAGCTCGCCGAGAGGTTGGCCTTGACGTCCGGCTTCGACACAAGGCCGCTGGCCTCGACCTGAGTCTGTGCAGGCCCGCCCCACACCTGATCGAGCTCGCGCAGGTCGAGCTTCTCCGGCGGGCCGAAGAGCAGGCTCTCGACCTCGGCGTCTGCAGCCATGTCGCTGTCCGTCCGCGACGCAGGGCTCGCGGAGCCGGAGCTAGCCTCGGACGACGTGCTGCCCCCGCTGTAGACCAGCTCCGGCGTTCGATCCATGGCCGGGGTCGTCACCGCCGAAACCGTCGCCGCAGGCGCCGCCCCCGTCGTTGTCGTCGTGGCCGCCATCTGGGGCTGTGGCGGTGGAGGTGGCAGGCTCGGGGTCGGAGCCGGCTTCTGCATCTGGAGCGGCATCGCCGGGCGGCTGGGCGGTACCACCATCCTCGAGGGACCGGTGGACACAGGCATCGGATCGACACTGCGGACAGTGAAGCTGATGTGCCGCGGAGGCGGGTGATTAGGCGCAGTCCTTCGCACGAGCATTGTGTTGCTGCTTGGCTTGGCCTCTTCCACGACGTTTGAGGCGTTTGAGGCGTTCGAGGCAGGTGCTGCGGTGGGGCTCGGATCGGCCACCTTGCTGACTACGGCGGCAGGAGCCGCAGTGCTGAGCTTCGGCGCAGGTCCAGCTTTGGGCGCAGCCGCTTCGTCCAACGACATGGCAGCGGGTGCATCGATCGCTCCTTCGTTGGCGGCCGCCATCACCAAAGGGCTGCTGGGCTCTGAGGCCTTGCCAGCAGCCAGTTCGAGACCGAGTAGCGGCGAGTCCATCTCGATGCCTGGACTGAACTGCAAGAACTGCGATGCACCGGGAGCATCCTCGCCCAGGCCGCCGAACTTCATCGTCATCGGGATACCAGCCGCCTTGGCCTCAGTCCCAGGCACGTGGAGTCGACGGGACACGATGGGCGTAGCGAAGCAGTCGGTCGCCGAGTCGGCCTTGTCGGCGTCGATGTCCATGGCGGTCTCCTTTTCGACATGGCGCAGCTTCGGCGAGGCGACGACGTCGGGCGAGTAGGGCAACGACAGCGTCAAGGAGCCCGCGTGCTGGTGAGGCTTGTCGGCACCAACCAGCGTCGTGGGCAGGGCATGGGCAAAGACGGCGTCCTGGACGGCGGCGAAAGCAGCCGCGCGAGCGCTGGCAGAGTCGGAGGAGCCTTCCTTGTCGGCCCTGGCCTTGCCGTTGTCGCTGAGCGAGCCCGGGCTGTCTGGCATCGACATCTCGCAGTGAGACTGAGGGCTCCGCGGAGTGGTGGCCGGCGTGTCGTCCGCGTAGCTTGCATCGCCCTTGTGGTCCAGAGCCGGTGCCCAGGCCCGGCCTTCAGACTTTTGAGAGTCGAACATGTCGAAGTCGCCGTCGAGCATTGCTTGGTGGAAGTCCTCCTCATCGTCCTCTTGATCCGAGCCTACGTCGGAGAGAACTTGGCCGGACCCGAGCGGCGCAGCCGCGAAGTTGAAGCCACGGTCGAAAGCGGCGAAGCCGTTGCGCGGCCCGGACACCTTGAGGTAGCCGTCGCCAGCTGCCGAGCGGTCCTCATGCATCCTCCAGGGGTGTTGCGAAGACGAGGTGGAGGCACCGTTGTTGCCGACCTTGGGCAGACAACCGGGCGCGCGGTGCGGCGACCAACCACTGCCCCAGTGGCCGCCAAAGACCTGTAGGCCAGACTTGGCCCGCTTGCCGGAGGAGTCGGGCGAGACGCTGACGAGGCCACCCTTGGTAAATGTGGCCGGTTGCGCCAGTTCCCGAGGCATACGGATGCGGGCGGCCGACCCGCACCTCGGCAGCAGGGGAGGTGGCGAGAGTTCCGATTCCTGCAGAGATCCCGGTAGCTGGAGGCCGCCAGAAGAGCTCAGGGCTCGATGCTGCGCCGTCGGTACCTCCAACTCCAAGTCCGAGTCTTCCATTGCCGAACCAGCATAGAAGCCCCCGTCGGAGTCGTCCGGGTTCTGCTCCAACAGAGCGGACTGCCCGGATCTCCTCTCGCTGCCACCTCGCGAGAGCCGCCCGCGAGACTTGGCGGTTGTGCTGGGCGGAACGCCACGAGTCACGGAGCCGCGATCTTTCTCGAGTTCGGCACTGGTCGTGTCAGATCGCTTCTTGCCCTTGCCGACTTGCTGCGCCGAAGGCGATGGTGCGTCCGATGCGGTCAAGGTCGAAGGCGCTTGGATCATTGAGCTGGGCCTGCGTTTCGGAGGCAAAGCGTGGAAGAGATAGTCAGGGTCAGCGACCGAAGACTCACGAAAGGCAGTCTTCGGGGCTTTGGCGCTCAGCTCTGCATGGATACTCACCGTCTCTTCCTCTTTCCGAGTCCAAGAGTCTCGGCGGAGGTATCTTCATCTCCGTCCGCGAGCGCGCTGCTCGAGGTGCCAAGCTCGGTGCCAGAGGCAGGGGTGTTGGCAGCCGACCCGACGCTGTTGCGCGAACTCTTCTTTGCCCTGCTGCTGCCGCCCATGCTGCCGCCGGGGTTGGTCATGGGTGTGGTGGGAAGGCTTCCGCCCTCTTTACCACCCCTTGCGGCCTTGCTCGGGTTGTGGTAAGAGCTTGGCCGAGAGGGTGGAGGAGAAGGCGAGGGCAGCAGGCGGCTGGGGATCTTGCGGGTCCTGGTCGTGGTGCGGCGAGCAGGCGCGGCGGACCCTGTCGGTGGCGTGGAGCTCACATCCTTGGCCGGAGTTGAAGAGGGCGTCGAGTGGGAGGCCTCTGCTTGAGCTCTGGTCGCCGCCATGACCCTGACTCGTGGACCTCTGAATCGAGAGCTCAAGGCGCCGGAAACGGTCGATTCTCGCGGCGGCAAGGTCGGCCCAGACCTCAACGACGATGGCCGACGATAGTTGTCCTGTCCGATGCTCGGTTGGAAATCAGAGTGGCACCTCCCTCATGCTCGGACTGATGCGATAGGTTCCTCCAGGAGCCACGACACTTGTCCAAGCGTCGAGTGTCGGTGATGACTGTGCTGGAAGACCCGGATGAAGCAGCGGTGCGGCTTCTGCGCAGATCGGAGGACGGATGGGTCGAATTCAACGCAGAGGTAGAGAGGACGTGGCGTAGCCCGAGGGGCTAGAGGTGCAGGGGCAAAGATCGTAGCGGGCGTTCGGCGTTGTCGTTATCGGTCTGGTGGCGTCTGAACCGGGGCTTCGAAATGAGTGCAACGGATCAAGGGTTGGGTTGCCTTCGAGCGAGTGGCGACGGGTTGGGTGGAAGGAGAATGGTGTGGCGAGAGCGGGAGGTTGGTGGTCGATGGCGAGGAGGGTGGGAAGGACGGCAGCGAGGTGTTGGCAAGCGTCGAGAGAGTGGCCGCTTAGCGCAGCGGGAAGAGGGGCCGGGTGCTGCGCGCAGGGCCAGGCAGGAGTAGGTTTGGGAAGAATCGGCGGTGCCAGCCATCCAACCCGCCCAGCAGCGCCCTCGCTCGCCCTAGCCTGCAAGGCCTGGCGGGCAAACAAGCAAGCAAGCACCCCCGACGTCCGCCCGCCGCCCGCCCGCCTGAG